CAAAACCCTGGTATTTTTCTGTTTATCCACAGTCAAAAGGTGTTTTAGGTTGTTCACCATTAAAATTCAAGGTGTTCCAAGTAAATGTTTAAACTTATATCAGTTACAAACCTAAACTGCTTGTGCCGTGTTTTTTTCTTTCATGTTAAACTTCTGCCATTGTGTTTCACCAGTTCAAAACCATGCTAAAAGTGATACAGTCAAGCTTAAGACCTGAAGTTAGTTTTTTTCTGTTTAAAGTAATACTTTTTGAGGCCTTATTTGGAAAAACGTTGTCAAAATTGTGAGCATGAATCTCTCATGGTTGTAAGTGTCACGACGTGCTGCGGAGTGGAGCGGAGCTAAGGCGAGGATCCAGACCGGGTGAGACAAACAGGCAGGCAGGTAGGAAAGATTAACATGGGTTTATTAAGCACGCTGACACTGGAACAATGACTCCACACAGGACACAAAACAGACGGGGTTTAAATACAGGAGGACCGGGAGCTAAGGTGATTGGGAAACAAGAGGCAGGTGGGAGTAATTAACGAGAGACAGAGCTGAACTAAACAGGGAGACAGGACAGGGTGTGACAGTAGGACTGGGTTATTTGAAAGAGCCACAGTGCCATCAAGTGGTTAATGAGTGAAATACATGTGGGTGTGACCAAGAAGTTTATAAAGCCAGAGTTCAGACGGTGGCGGGACAAAAAAAAAAAAAGGATGCCTTACGCCGGGGACACACCGGCCGCGGAAGCGCCGAGAAGCGAATCGCTCACGAAATTCGGCCGCTGCTCGCCACTCCTCAGTTCAGATCAGACGCGCCCCAGTTGAGGCGCGCCTCGGCTCAGCTGTAGTTTTTCTTTTAAACACTTGGTGTCCTCCATTTCCTCTCTGCCTTTTCTCAGCTCTTTTCCTCTACGTTTGAGTGTTTGTACGCGCGCGCGCGTGTGCGTGTGCGTGTGTGTGTGTGTGTGTGTGTGTGTGTGTGTGTGTGTGTGTGTTTCTCTCTCCTATACACCAAAGAGCAGCTTTCTTCTCAGACTTTCTGCAGTGATGCTGTGTTTTATGCTGGACTCCATCCTGCCTCTGCATGGTACCTGCCTGCTAAAACAAACCAATAGATCAGGATTGTCGTCAGCTCGCTGCGGTGGTTTGGGGATGTCTAAGAAGTATGGTATGAGTTGTTTCTGCCAGTTGAATCTCTTGGAACCCGCTCCAGTTCTGCAGCTGTATCCTAGCAGTTTCTTCCGAAATGGGTACGTAAAAAACTATGTTTTTCGGGGGTCGTACAGCTCCTTGTGTTTCTCAACTTCCATAAATAATTTAAAGTCATCCATCCTAACTGCTTGCCTCAGACTTTCTGCCTCTCTGTCCTGTTTGCTCCGGTGAAAAGACACCCAAAACCACACCCCCCTTCACGCGGTCACACACGCACACAAGTTCGATGTGTGTGTGCGTGTTCGTGTGGTTTTTCTGCAGTGTCTGTTTACGAACACATTTGACTATTGCGGAATTTTATTTTGAAATGCTTTATTTTGTTAACTGTACCGGCCTGCCTCTTATGTCTATATTTGACTTCCTGCCAGAATTGACGCGATTCACCCGCGGCACGCGAAAAAAATAGAGCCAACACCGAAATGATCGCTGCACGGCGCGGGCTGGAGCGCCGGCGCGTGCCGGCGCGGGCTGGAGCGCCGGCACGCGCCGGCGCGAGGCGATTCGCGGCACTTCGGCGGCCCATGTGGTCTATAGAATAGCTTAACAAGGGCGCCGAATGAAGGCGGTCCCATTTTCGCGGCGCTTCCGCGGCCAGTGTGTCCCCGGCGTAAAGCACAAATCCCCGCGGGCTGTTTCCATCTGGCCTAGCAGAACACGGCGCTTTACAGTTGTCAAGTAATTAGCTCTCAAAAGTTACGGTAAAACTTAGAAGCAACTCCGTTTTTTTTTGTTTTGACTTCCTACGTGAAACCGGAAGTCTGTGTGTTCGGACGAGTTCTCACATTAAGAGTGAAACCTAATTTGGAACAGTTTCTCTGATTCGATCTCGTTTTGGATAATTCGGACTCGCGATCTGAATTCCACGTTTGGTGTAGCTGGAGGAACGGAAAAGTCAAGCCACGATCGAGGATTACCGTATCCTCCCCTTTCCACGACCGACGTTGACCGACCAGGGAGCCAGCACCATTTAATCCAAAAAGGCCTCGAGCCAGGAACCCAAGGCTGTTGGAGCCGCTGGTCACCCTTCCGGTGATGGAAAGCAGGTCTGTGAGCAATTCTATCTGGCTGGTTTTCTGCCATAAGCCGATTCGTGAATTCAGATTATTACATTTCGTTTGTGGCGTGTTTTATTTCGATCCCACATTCATGTTTAGCTCTCAAGATCCTCTTCCTTCTTCTGCCATAACGAGCCACACACACACACACACACACACACACACACACACACACACACACACACACACACACACACACACACACACACACACCTTCCTTTCAGAAATTATTCCTAATATTTACTATAATCCTATGTGTCACCAAATTTTCACTTTTATTACAGACTAGTTATGTCATAGCACTGCCATAAAGCTTTGGGTTTATTCACTTACTTATTCTCATGCATGAAACAATAAGCTGTGTTTTGTTCTTTTTGTCAATTGTCACAACTGATGTTTGAAATAAACTCTAAAAACGTAAATAACGCCTGATCGTTGTCTAGCCATTCTCGGGAATAATCGGCGCATTCTGTCCAGAACTCATCCTTTAGATTAACTTTGTGGTGTTAACTCTGAGACTGATTACATTGCAAAGATATAGATATTACATCCAACGGTCCAGTTCCGGAAACCGGTGGTTCCCCGATTAATTAATATACGATTATAAACAAGCTTGATCTATGCCACATTTGAAATATAGATATAAATCTATATTTATCAATACATATGAGAATATTAAAACAGAGCTCACTTGATGGTGAGTCAGTTCTAGAGAAATCTACGGACAGGCCATCCGGAGCCAACCCTCTTTAACCCAGAGCATTTTTGACAAGCTGTCAAAAACCCTGCTACACGCTGAAGCTGACACAGCAAACGGTTCCTGCAGAATAAAGCTGATACAGTTCCGACTCCCGAATGGGCCATTCCCATCTGTACCGGGTTGGCCCGGGCCGGGTAGCCCCAGTCGGCCCCAGCCTGGCCCGGTTGATTCCACACATCCTTGCCTTAAGCCCATGTGGGCTGATTCTACCCACCAATCAGAGGCTTGCTCTAATGGAAGGTGTGAATTTGCTGTCAGCAGTGGGTGTGTTGGCCCTGGTCGGCCTGAAGCAGACCCCCTCGAGAAGAGGGCTGAGAATGAGCCTTGGTTGGCCCGGAAAAATACCAGGCCACCCAGATATGTAAACGTCCTACGCTACCCGGCCTGGGCCGACCCGGTACAGATGGGAATGGCTCATAAGAGTCCTCCTAGACACAAACGATTTCATCTACCTGTTGCGACTTGGAAACATCTCTGGACTGGAGCGTCGGTGCTGCGGTTAATCTACCAAACCTTGGTGCCCAGCGGTCATCCGACCTCCCTGACCTCCTGATCCGCGAAGAGGGTCTCCAAAGAAAGGGTGAGGTAGACACACAGATTGCATCTGATGTGGTTTTGATAAGAACCAACTTCATAGTTTAATGCAAACCAAATTCTTTTTCACACTTCTTCTCGATACAAGGTTCTGATAAACACGCACCATTAAATCACCACACATCACATCCCATCCTCTTAGATTCATCCATCACAGTAGCCTTGGTTAACTTGTCATGTTTTTAATTGTTTAGAAAACAAATTTCTTATCATTTATTAACCTGACTGAATTGATACGAAGTGTGTTTGATCCCTGGAGAAGCAAAGAACCCCAGAATCTTCTGATTAAACACTCACAGACCAAGCAGGTTGATGTTCTATATTTATATAGAACGTCACATCTTATTGGTCATAAGAAAGGTAATATATTCAGCTTAAAAGCAACAACATTTACCCTCTACAAATGTCAGTATATCGGTATCGGCAAATATCGGTTATCGACCATAACGTTGATGTTAATATCGGATATCGGTATCGGCCCAAAGAATTCATATCGGTGCATCACTGCTTAGAAATGAGCGATGACTCAAGACTTGTGTTCAGAGCTGCTGTAGTTGGTGGCTGCTTCCTTTTTTGTCCAGGAACAGGGACATAGATGGAGGACAGCCATCACCGTGAACGCATCCTGTGTGTGTGTGTGTGTGTGTGTGTGTGTGTGTGTGTGTGTGTGTGTGTGTGTGTGTGTGTGTGTGTGTGTGTGTGTGTGTGTGTGTGTGCGAGTGTGTGCGTGTGCGTGTGTGTGTGTGTGTGTGTGTGTGTGTGTGTGTGTGTGTGTGTGTGTGTGTGTGTGTGTGTGTGTGTGTGTGTGTGTGTGTGTGTGTGTGTGTGTGTGTGTGTGTGTGTTTTGAAACAAAGGGGAGCCAAAATGCTGCTCAGAACTGGATCACACTGAGCTCTATCATTTAAACTTCTTCATTTTGTCAACAACTTCAGCAACAGTATGTTTATGTTTATGTATTTAGCAGACGCTTTCGTCCAAAGCGACTTACAAGTGATAATCGGCATGCTGCCCTTGAGGCTAACAACAACAATAACAACAAAAACTTGGCATCAGTCATGGAGAGGAGGGAACAAGGAGTGGACAGTGGAGAGGGGGGACGGGTGCAGGCAGGGTGCTAGTTTAGAAGATGCTCTCTGAAGAGCAGGGTCTTCAGGAGTTTCTTGAAAATCGAAAAGGAAGCCCCTGTCCTGGTAATGCTTGGAAGGTCATTCAACATTTGCGGAACGATGCATGAGAAAAGTCAAAGTATGTACTTCTCATAGATAATGAAACAATGTTCTGGACATTTCTTTTCCGTTTCGCCGTTAGATTTGGAAACCACCGTCCATCCTCCGAGACCAAACTTAACTTTAAGACTTCAAAAGAGCTGCTAACAGAGCAGCTTGTCTCACCTGTACGGCTCAGACTCGGCTAGGAACTTCCTCTGCTCGAGGGGGCTGGCGCTCACTCGTAGCTCCTTCACCACCGCCTGAGAGGAGCTGCAGTCGCACAGCACTTCAGCCAGGATCACCTGCAGGAGATTAATGGTCAAGAATGTGGAAGAGTGCCCGGGAAGAAGGAGGAAACAGACTCTTCTGAGTTATGACTTGTGATCTAGTCAGTGACCCGTAATGCTGCAAAAATAAAATCTATAATGTGGTTTACATTTAGCATGAAGATGTCGGACGTAAGAGGTGAGCTTCTTACCTTCCCAAACCAGCCGTTTCCTATCTCCTGAAGGTAGTTTAAAGTGTGTCTTTTGAAGCGCTGAGATTTGGAGTCTGTAAATAAAATAAAAAAACATTAAAAAGATCCAGCTGCCATTGGTTGATATTCTGGATAATGTTCTACTGTTAATTAATAATAGTGATACACAATAAAACATCACAAAACATGTGCCATGACATTTAACGATTAACGGTCACAAAACCCTCTCTGCAAAGGTAGCACAAAAATAATTAGGGGTGTTTCATTTCTGCTCTTTTTGTTTTACCAATATCTGATTTGCAGAAACAGTCTAATTATAAAAGCAACACTAAAGAGTTTTTAACACATTAATCTACTGGTTTCAAACTGGTTTCAGTGCATCTAGATCCATAAACAGGAGAAACTTAACACTGGACAAAACTTTTGACATTTTCACATCTGGCCCAGCCCGGTCTGGTCTGGTCTTGGTTGGGTCAGTCCGCCCCTGCGCAGCCAGGTTTGTTCACACCATGATGTCTGTGGCCTTCTCAGGAAAGAGCACGTAGGCGGGACAAAAGACCCGCAGAGAAGTCCTTAAAGGGACTTTACGGACTTTTGAATTTTTATGCTCGTGATTGCCCCCTCAGGCCAAAAGCGTAACGGCAGCTTCAATAGTAGGCTCGTGCACGAGGCGCGCATGCTGTACGTGTACACTCCTTATTGAAAATAACAGCTGAGACAGTCCCGTGTGTGTGTGTGTGTGTGTGTGTGTGTGTGTGTGTGTGTGTGTGTGTGTGTGTGTGTGTGTGTGTGTGTGTGTGGCCCAGAGGACAGGAGAACACGCAGCTAATTAATTAAATAATGTGGTTCTGTACCTTTCTCTTCAGCACAGCCGACAAAGGTTTATGATGGGTCAGTCCTCCTGCATGCTCAGATCATTCCCTTCCCTTGCTTGAAAAATTGTTCCAAAATGAAAGTTGAACCCACATCTTTTTTATCTGTGAATTTAATGTCGTTCGGCGAGTCTCAAATAAAAATTTGGGCATCTTACTGTAAAAAAAATATACTATTAATGTAAAAAATAGAAACTCCCTTTCACAGTATCTGTAACATTTATATCCTTGATGACAGCTGAAACAACGTCAACCCAAGAACGGTTTGGAGCAAAAATGGCTATTTTGTTGCTAATTTGCAGGAAATATCTAAAAGAAAGTTCTACAGAAAGTAGCTAAGGGTCCTCAGAAATGTAGCTAGCTTTGTCACTAGGCGTTAGGAACAGCGACAAAGTGGCACTGCCTCTCTCTCTGCTGCTAAAGCTACGGATAGCAAATGCTACGGGCTATGCCTGAGCGTGAACGCGCATGAAGCAGCCTGCTCGACCCGAGCATCTCTCTTTTTCTGTGATTTTACAGAAAAACAGGCAATCACAGTAAAAATGCCAGGGCTCATTCTACAGGACCAGGGCATTGCAGGAGAATGTATGAAGAAGACATTTATTATTTCTATACATGTTTTGGCTGTCAGACTTCCATAATGTCCCTTTAAGTTTGTAAACAAAAGCAGCCGTGAGCCATGTTGCTTTTGGGTACTCTAACATGACGCACAAAGCTTCCTACTGTCTCACTGAGCAGCGGTGCTGCTGCAAGTCTGGGCTGCAGTCAGAGAAGATGTTTACCCCACCGCATCCAGACAAATAATCAATCATGCATGCGGGACGCCGCCGCTGGCTGATACTACCCGCCAAGCAGAGACTCCCTCTAGTGGATAGGCGTGAACTTTAGCTGGCCATTCACTAGTGGATGTGTAGGACTGGCTCAGCTGATCGCAGGGGAGCCGGTCTGAAAACAACGGTTGGCTGAGGACGGAAAACGCACAATTACCCAGATGTGACCACAATGTGAATGCACCATTTGTTAACCTGCCGACCAGAAATTGCAGTTTTGTGGTTCAGGTAGGAGCTACCTGCTATATGGCAATAACTGTTTACTGTGCAGGTAGCTCATAAAAAGACTAGCGGTTAGCTTCTTCAGTTTGCCAACCGTAAAAAAAACACAAGAAGAAGAACTTAGAAGTAACTTTTGTTGGTATCATGATGAAGCCTGGAAGTAGAAGTAAGAGAGTAATGTCTTTGGAGGTGAAGCAAGTAGCTAGAACCCAAGTGAGCATCAACGTGGCCTACGCTAATTTGAGGGAGCTAAAGGAGGCTACAAAATAACGGACTAATGGTGAACTGGCTTTGTTGCTCCTGGTAAATCTTTTTTTTTTTTTTTACTTTTTACTTTGTGTCTTGTTTAGTGTCAGTTGGCTCATTTTAGCATTAGCTTGTTGTTAGCAATAGCTGCAGCAGGCTGCTGGGTTGTTTACGACAGTTATAGATCTACTTACAACCAGTAGGAGGGATGAGTGAAAAACTTACCCAGTGTTGCTTTAATTTCTGATAAATCGATTGCAATATATGAGGGGTCCCCTCCTCGTAAAAAAGAAAAGCTCAATCATTTTAGTTAACTAACATCACATTTCGCCTACTAGTCCCTAAATATAAGGACTATGACAGAAAAGCCGAGAAAGCAGGTGAGACACACCCCTTCAAAAAGACTTTGTTCAAACCGTACCGCTGTGTGCTGTGTTATGCTAAAGAACATGCTTTTTCTTGGTAGATTTTGATGAAACCTGAAAACATCTAGTGCAACGATCAGCTCAAATATAATTTTGTTTGTCAGAGGTCAACCGTTCAGGTCAGGGAACAAATAATAAGAACGCTTTTCTTTGAATAGAAAGCCCTTCAGAGAGATGTACTCCTTCCTGACGTTACGCTCTCCAAATGTATTGGCTTGTTCATGCGAAGCGCTGATGCAGAAGCTTCCCAGATCATAGTTTCCACTTCACTTCAGTGCAGTGGGGAGTCTGGTGCTGTCCGTGCACTCGGTGTGAGACCTTTAATGGATCCGCATCGGTGACTTGGGCAACAGACCGTGAGCAAGTAGCACAGGTCAGCACGGCATTCTTGTTTACCTGTGTTTTGGTACGAGAATATAAGAGATACGTTACCGGCTCCATCTTGCAGGGCAGAGCAGCTGTGGCGGTCTCTAACTGGCAAGGTGTAGACTTCAGGGAGGGAGGGACATGAAGACAGGCTGTCCTCTTGGATGGGACTGGAGACTCCAGAGCACTCCTCGCCATCTGCATTGTCAAACTCCTGGTTGAGCCAAAACGACGCCGATACACATAAACAGAGGAATAAAGAAAAGTTATAAACACATCTGCTTTATTTGTATGGCGCGGTATGGGGGCCAAAATTAAGACTACTGCCCAGCAGCAGGAGGCTATATAAATTCTGAAGCAAACAACTGACCTGATTAATGATAAGCTGGCGCCAGTAACTGAGAGGCTGGCGCTGCTTACTGAGAAATAGCACTTTTACCGGCGTTACTAATAGATATGCTAGGGACTAGCAGCCCTCGGCTGGTCATTGACTGGTTCACACACTCTCTCTGCTGTCTATTAGCATGGATAAGCTAGCGTTAGCCTGAACGGGCTGGTGTTAGCATTGGAGAGGCTAGCCATTAGCGTGCCTAGGCTGGCCACTAGCTGGATTTCCTACCCCCTTGACGGACCATTAGCATGGATAGGCTGACAATAGCATTGGAGAGGCTAGCCATTAGCGGGTCTAGGCTGGCCACTAGCTGGATTTCCTACACCCTGACGGACCATTAGCATGGATAGGCTGACATTAGCATCGGAGAGGCTAGCCATTAGCGTGTCTAGGCTGGCCACTAGCTGACTAGTGACTCTCCGAGACATGCTAATGGCTAGCCTCTCCTATGGTAATGCCAGCCTATCCATGCTTAAGGTCCGTCAAGGGTGTAGGAAATCCAGCTAGTGGCATGCCTAGGCACGCTAATGGCTAGCCTCTCCGATGCTAACGCCAGCCTGTCCATGATAATGGTCCATCGAGGAGGTAGGAAATCCATCTAGTGGCCAGCCTAGGCACGCTAATGGCAAGCCTCTCCAACGCTAACACCAGCCCGTCCAGGCTAACATTAGCCTATCCATGCTAATAGACAGCAGAGGGAGTGTGTGAACCAGTCAATGACCAGCCGAGGGCTGCTAGTCCCTAGCATATCTATTAGTAACGCCGGTAAAGGTGCTATTTCTCAGTAAGCAGCGCCAGCCTCTCAGTTACTGGCGCCAGCTTATCATTAATCAGGTCAGTTGTTTGCTTCAGAATTTATATAGCCTCCTGCTGCTGGGCAGTAGTCTTAATTTTGGCCCCCATACCGCGCCATACATTTGTTCTGTCAGGTGCACAGACAATAAGTCTCACTTAACGAGCGCCATGACAGTGACTCACGTTGAAGCCCACTCCCCCTCTCTTGCAGCAGAGGCAGGTGAGGAGCAGCAGGACGAAAGAGACGAGCCCCGAGCAGGAGATGAGAATGACAACATAAGGAGGAGCAGAGAGGGATTCAGCTCTGGTCTGAGAAACTGGTCAAAGGACACACAGAAGTATAAAAACAAGTTTTTAGCGCACTAATTCAGTACATTTGAGTCAGCCAGGGTGAGTTAGAATAACAGCGCTGAATCACATAACTAAAATCTCGTTACACAGGTGGTGTGTTACAGGAAAAGACATTGGAGCACAATCTGCAGGTGAGACAGCGGAGAATCCCAATGAGCAGTTTGTATTGGGGATTTTAGAAGGGGGGGGGGGACAGCAAGAAAGTTCAAGATCAAACTTAATGTTGGATTCAATCAAACAAAGCAGAGACTGGAATTAAAGTTTGGAAGTTACCATTCCAGTGAGGAGAGATAGCACGAGGAGGGGGGGTGGGAATATCAGAGAAAAGCATTCCACTTATAGGAAACAGAAGCAGGAGAAGGTGGCTGGAGTCATCATTTAGGTTAAAAAGGGAATGCTGAACGGGAAGGGGCTGGAAACTGGAAGATAAATTACTCAGTCAGGAAGGTTTTACGATCAGGTGAAAGGGGGAGGGGGTAGGGACGTTTGGTATTTGTACCTCAACGTAGCTGGTTGTGGGAAGTGTCCCATCTGTAAAGAAAAGGGGCAGGGCAACGTGGTTAAATACCTTTCAGGTATTTTTTTTAGGCTTCATTAAAATTCTGTGGCTAAAAACGAAAATCATAAAATCCTGATGTGGAAAAAAGCCACAATGCTGCTGTATGAACACAGGAAGTCATTGATAAAATTACTGAGGTTTAAAAAAAGGATTTAGTTATAATAAATGAATGTGTCTGTCCAATCTTAAAATATCCTGGTTTCACTGTCTGCGCCCCTCATTAAAATTCAACAAAAGGCTCCTTCACAAGGTCGCGATAGTGTAAACACAGCATACATCAATTTTAAAGTATATTTAATAATTTAGCAGCCTAAATGTTGCTTCTTGCTCCCAAAAACTTCCTTTTTAATGCAGGAAGAGGGTCCTGCAGCTGGAAAAAACTAATTATGATGTAAGGAATGATTTCAACTGAAAAACTAAATCTGTGTGTGTGTGTGTGTGTGTGTGTGTGTGTGTGTGTGTGTGTGTGTGTGTGTGTGTGTGTGTGTGTGGACTCTGAGATGATCCTAAACAACACAACCCAGCGGCTCCAGCCCATCTTGACGCACAGCTCCAGAGCAGCGCTTTTCTTTCATCCTTCCTCCCCAGACAGATGTCCAGACAGACACTGCATATCAACACGGGCCGCTTCCGCCAGCCTTTGAGCCAAAACAACACAATGACGGCACACACGCACCCGCCTGCTCTGCTTTAAGGAAGGGGGCTGGTGAGGACATATTGGGGTAAACTGCTCCGGATAACAGCTCGACTATTTGAGTCTGCATGTTTTTTTTAAATGCCATCGGTGTAAAGGCCCGACATCGCAGCATCCCTCCTGATACGGTCCCCCACCAGCAGCAGCTCTTCTCCTGCAACGATAACTGGAACATGGCTGAACCCGCAGCTGGCTGACTTTACAGTATTCACCCATAAGGAGGCCTTTTCATAAACCCCTCATCTTCTCCTCCACCTTTCTTTCTCCAGCATCACTGACAGCCCCCCCCCCCCCCTCTCTCTCTCCTCCGACTCCGCTCACCTTCCCTCTGCGGCGCCCCGAGCGCTCTCTCCGGGCTGAGGTACGACATGATGCCAGCCAGCGCCACCATCACCCAGCAGTGTGGCCGCATCGTCTCCGCGTCCGGATCAACAACACCATCCGAGCGACGCAGCCGACTGTCGGGTGTCCTCCTCGCTCCCGTTCACCCCGCCGCGGTCTGTGCCGTCTCGCACTCTCTCCCCCTCCGCTTCCCTCCTAATAATAAAGAGCGTCTCCTCGCCTTCCTTGTTGCGCTCTCCCCCACCTCCCTCTCTCTCTCCTCCTCCTCCTCTAATCTGCAATTAAACACGGTGTGGGAGATGCTCCATTGTGCATCCTCGGTGCGCAAACATCCGTCTGCAGAAAACAACCATCCTCTGCTCCTCCTGCTATGTGAAAACCTCCCCCCGTATCTGTTTTCTCCTCCGCCTGGCTACGTCACACTCATCGCGCATTGTCATGGTCCAGCTTCATCAGCACCATAACGGTATCTCACAAACAATAGAAAACTGTGATATTCCCACAGGGAGCTGACTGGAGCTCATCAGTGTATTTATATTCATCTAATAGTGGATTTTAACTCTAAACACCGTTACTACAGAGACACGTGGCATTCAAGGCATTTTTGTACTAAATTATGGTGAAAATAATTTTTGAACAATGGTTTACTACTGTTAAAAATATAGATTTCTTCTGATTGTATTTTTTTTTCAAAACTTAGAGATATTCCACCTCTAAGTGAAATGCCCGTTGCCATATTCCAGTTAGATGAGAGGAAAAGCATTTTGTAATCAGCCCAGTCTTTCTCCTAATGGCAGTTAGCTTTAGCTTAGCATAAACAATGTAAGTGAATGGTAACAGTTAGCATTTCACATGAAAAAGTCATGAAAATTGTTCTTCAAAAATCACACCGACTTCAGATGAAAATAATAAGCAACACGAAGGAATCTCGTGGAGCTGATTTAAACTGAGGGCTACATTACGGAAAAGGTGCAAGGAACTGACGCAACGGCCCAAACGTAAACTTACGTTGGTGGACTAGACCTAATGGCAGTCAATGGCAAGTTTCATGTCGTTGCAGCGCAACTTTTTTGTGATGTAGTCCCATGTGGTTTCCTTTTTCTTTTTTATTCATTTTTAATTAAGATTTTTCCTTTTTTTTTGCCCATAATTTGTATTTTTAATCCTTCTTTATTGTTCTGGTGATTTTTATCTTGAGAGGGACATTTTAAATATTTTCAACACAAGAACAGAAAAGGCAAAAATGTCTGGTACTAAAACATTGGATAGTAGTGGAGACATGGCTGAGCACTGTCAAAATGCGTGTGTGTGTGTGTGTGTGTGCTTGGTCATCTCAAACCCTAGTGAGTCGTGACAGATGGCTGCTCATACTGATCCAGGTTCTGTTGGAAGTTTGTTCCTGTTAAAGGGGAGTTTTCCTCTCCACTGTCGCTACAGCTTGCTTAGTATGCAGACTGCTGTAAAGCCACTGACACTACAAGTCAGTGACTCGATGTAGTCTGCCTGGTTTCCTTACATAGAAAACTTTTAAGGAGGTCCTTCACTCATACTCCTAATTCAAATTCAAAAATACTTTATTAATCCCAGAGGGAAATTGATTGCTGTAGTAGCTCAGAATAATAATAATAATCAAGTCATCACAGAGTTGTTGTATATTACAATGGCTGTTGGCAGGAAGGATCTCCAGTAGCGGTCAGTGTTGCAGCCAAACTGAAGAAGCCTCTGACTGAAGACACTCTTCCGTTGTCGGACAGTCTTGTGAAGAGAACGCTCAGGGTTGTCCATCATTTTCTTGGTTCTCTGGAGAATCCTTCTCTGCATTATCTCCTCCAGCGGTTCCGAAACTGCAGAAACTCTGGCTGAGTCCTTGAAAGGGCTTGGAGTTCCTCCATCTTGTTGGCCAGTGACCTCACATTGCCCATTATGATCGATGGAAGAGATGGTTTGAATTTCCTCTTTGTCTCCGTTTTGCTCCCGCTCTGCACCCACGCTTCTTGCGTTTTAGCTCAATTGGGATTTGTGGCTTCAGTTGAGGTATTATTTCAGCCTTTCCAATGAGAATCAGCTGCTCCCGATTGTAAACCAGCTTGTTGCCATGGTTACGCATCATAACAAATGCTCAAAAAGTGAAAAAAAGCTAAAAAATAGCAGTAAAAATCCTCCAAGCGTCACAGCACCAGAAACAGAAAAGTAAAGTCTCCAAAAAAATACAGTTTTTCTTTGAGAAACTAGAAGAAAAAATGCCCAAGAAAAGGCAAAACTTATAGTCAATAGAGCTACTCCAACATGCAGCCACCCAGAGCAGCGCAGCTCTGATAATATGAATGACTTGTAAGTCGTATTTGGATGGGTGCGGACGAGCAGGCTCCAGATGAGCCTGTTTCAGCACGGAGAAGCTAGCTGGAGGAGGAAGTAGCTTCAAACAACACGATTTTGAGCCTTGGACATCTCTCCTCTGATTGGCTAACAGCAACACGACTCTACCACTGACTCAGTTTGCTCTGCAACGTTGATGTTTTATCTTCATAAATAACAAAATCCTGGAGGAGTTCTGCTGTGTGGTGGAGTTGCTAATGCTAACAGTTAGCTCTTACTGGCCGAGACATTCTCTGCTGTTTTCTGGGCGCTAAACCAACAACAGCCTTCCCCGTCGTGAGTCCAGATGGGTGAGTCCATGAATGTTAGTGACAGTGTGACGTAGATCTGTCAGGATTTTCTCATCCTTGAGTTTCACCGTCTGTTTTCTACCAGAAGCTAACGCAGGAGATAGGTGTAGGAGACTATTTTCATGTCCAGCCGTCATGAAACACTCAAGAGTGACCGATCGTTTAAAAAAATAAGTTTACAAAAAATTTTCAGTGAAGGACCTCTTTTAATTAACTGGCATAACAAACTGAACTCAACTGGAATGTTTACTTTGTGAAGGTGCATGAGACGACTCTTGTTGTCTGTTGGCATTATTTAAATAAAATAAAATGAATTGAACTTTCAGAAGGTAAATATAAAAGCACAAAAAACTTCCAGAACTAAGAAATTATCTTTTCACGTTGTTTCATTCAACCAGCCGTCCACAAATCAATCCTTTGTGATAAAAACATGCAGAAAACAACTAAAATAACAAGATTTGAGTTGGAAACAAAGTATAGAAGGCTACTTTTCATTTAATAAAGTGACAAATCTTTTACTTTGACAATAACACAGGCTGTGCTAACAGTTGCTCCCAGCGTTTCCCTGGGTGACGGCCTGAGCCCCCTGTAAAGGCAACCATCTGCCCCGCTGATGCACACACGAGTGAAACGCTGCAGGAGCAGAGGAACCTGCAGCTGTTCGTGCGCCGCTAATGTTCCTGCACGTGTTTCACTCTACGAGGGAGCAAAAGTTGTAAAGATGTTCACCGCATTAAATCACTGGCTTTCTGAACAAAATTCAGATTTTTTCCAGTTTACCGTCATGTTTCCTCTTTACTCCGACCAAAAAACACCAAATCGCAGCTCAGGACTTAAGAATCTCATCCCTCCAGCTCTCTCGATCTCGCCTTTGTCGCTTTCGAGCGAGTTCAGGAAAGTAGGCGCTGTTGTAGGGCCGTTCTCTGTCATTCAGTTCTCTTTCTGACTCCTTCCTTTTACCACTCCTCTGTTCTAGAAGAGCCTGGGTTTTCCTCCTTTCTTCAGCCTCCCTCTGTAAACGTTCAGCGCGTAACCTTTCCATGGAGCTGGAAAACACAGTGCAGATCATGAATGATGGGATGTTACCCGACAAAAACCTGGACGCATTTATCTAAGATAAACAGGAGATATTCTTATGAAAGCCACTGAGAGTCTGAACTAGAGGAGTGATTCACAAATGTAAAGCAGCAAATCCCATCCCACCTTTCTCCACTGCTCTGCTTTTCCACTTTGTCTCTTTTTTCCTTTTTCCTGTTTTTAGGTACTTTTCGTTCAAACACGTCTAGAGCTTTCTTCATTTCGTTCAGGGGATCCAAACTACTCTTCAGCCTCCGATCCTTCTTCTCTTTCTCCTCTTCACTTATTCCCTTCTTTTTGTCTTTCTCTTGACTTTCTTTGTCTTTGCTGCTCTTCAGGTACCACGGAGTCACCTCAGAGCCTGGCTGGGGTCCTAAAGACACCAGTAGGCCGATGGCGCGTTCTTGCTTCTCCTGGATGAGAAGATGCAGATTATATTTAAACAAAGGGGTTTTTGAAAACAGGGTATCTGCAGGTTTAAGGGAGACAAATTTAAGACTTTTTAAGACCTTTTTTAAGGCCACTTTGACCAAATTTAAGCTATTTAAGCAAGGCAGCGGTAGCTCAACAGGTTGAGCGGGTTGTCCAGTAATCGGAAGGTTGCAGGTTCGATCCTGGCTCCGGACAGAGAATTCAGCTGTTGTGTCCTTGGGCAAGACTCTTAACCCACCTTGCCTGCTGGTGGTGGTCGGAGGGACCGGTGGCGCCTGTGCTCGGCAGCCTCGCCTCTACATCGTAGCTCATCACCACCAGTGTGTGAATGTGTGTGTGAATGGATCAATGATACACTGTGGTGTAAAGCGCTTTGGAGTCCTTCCTCTGACAGGCGCTATACAAGTGCGGGTCATTTATCATTTAAGCTATAATTTCCAGCTATTGCCTGGAACCGGTGCTAACCACGCCGCGATCATGGGATTAGCCATCCAGTTACCATTAAACTTGCCCTTCCCCATGGCGCAAGCTCCCACTAGCTTAACCAGCTAACGTGCTCATCTAAAAATAGCCCCCTTTCACAACCAACTGAACGTGTACGGTTCCGCTTACGGCAACATCGTACACAAAAATGCTGAACGCTAACTAGAAATTCATGAAAATTTTATAGAAATAAAAGAATCTTGTTTATTGGGTCTTTGGTAATTTAAGACCTCTGGAAACTGTATTTAAGGATTATTTGTCATTTTTAAGGATTTTTAAGGCCTTAAATTTGGAAAAGCTAATTTAAGACTTTTTAAGGACCCGCGGATACCCTGGAAAAGGTGTTACTGAAGCAAATATAAAACCCCAAAAAATAAATAATCCACACATGTATTAAGGTTTTTCTGTCACCTTTTCCTCTTTCTTTTCTTTAAGATACTCCTCGTTCCCCTTCTTCTCTGAAGACTCCTCCAAAGGGAAGAGGTTGAGGTGCTCCAAGCCTCCTCCACCTTCCTTTTCATCATCATCATCTCTGCTTCCTCCTTCTGACTGAAGAGCAGCTCGAGATTTCCTTCTCAGATACTCTGTACGTGCCTGTAGAAACAAAAAGCTGTTAGAATAAACTAAAGATATAAATAATAAATAGTTATTTTGGATTGTAAGCAAATGCAGCTGAAGACATAGGACCTAACTGAGCTTTTGCAACAAGCTGAAAGCAACTAAATCCTAAATAGCACTGTGTAAAGCAGATTATTTGCTAAATTATACAACTTTGAATTATGTGTATCGTCTGGGACATTTGACAGTAGTACTATTGTTGTGGCTCTTTATTGTAATAAAGTTACTCATGATAAAGTGCTCTTGCCTCATATGTGCACGCAGCGGTTTAGATAGAATCAACGAGGAGAGAGAACGTGACGAAGCTCAGAATGTTTTCAGTTTTTCTTATTACTGAAATCATTGCTGCGGTTTTAATCTACATGTGGCATTCAGATTGTTTAACATCTATAACCTTAACATTTCTACACTTTTCCAAACTCCAAACATCCACCTGACCTTCGTGTGACTGGTTCTTTTGTCTTTCTCCCCAAAAGACATTTATTTCTGTATTTATTTAGTTTTAAATGGTCAGGATTAAAATCTGTGAAACTCTTTTGTTTACTTTTGATCATTTTTCCAGAACTAATTTCTTAAATATTTCAATTAAAGTGCCAGGTACCCTGTTCATTCGGCTGATTTGTGGTTTTTCTATGCGTTACAGTTGTGTTGCACTCAAATACATTTTCCACAGTAGTAATGATACTTATATCGCTTATTAAGAAGAAGAAGAAAATATAATTTCTATAGTGCCTCTAAAGATAAAAATCACGAGGCGCTTCACAAAAACAAAAAATGTAAAAAAATAAAAAAGCATTTAGAAAATGTTTAAAAATATATTTAAAATGAGCAAAAATAGACAATTGTGATTCAAAAAAAATGTTAAGAAAGAGAGAGAGTGAAGACTAATGAATGACCATGCTAACACCAGAGGGGGACTACCTCTTGCTCTGCTCGCTCCACGCGACGCTTGGCCTCGCGCTCCTCTTCTGCTGCCTGGGCTTCATCCCTCCGCACGCGCGCAATATTGTCCTTGTTGCGGACGTGCCAACTCTTCTTCGGGAGGATGTTCATGGTTGCCTTGGTGACCGACAATTAGCAGTCAGCTAGCTTAGAAAGCTAACGACAAGAGAAAACACTCACTCTGGTCAGTTAATATATTGGTGTATAGTAGAAATAAGCAGGTTATTCGACAAAATGTCTAAATACAGAAGCAGAATTTTTCAAATACGCCCAACAATCAAATATGCGTCGCTGTTTTCTTTCTTTTTAGGAAATTAAGCTAAATAGGGAAGGTCGCTAGTACTTGCCAATGTTTTGTGATGACGCAGAAGAAAATAACGTGGACCTTACTCACTCACATTATCTATTTAAGTTGACTACTTTCCTAAAATATAATAAATGCTATCAATGACGAGCTAACGGAGGAGTAGCTTCTGGTTTGTTGCGCTCACAGGAAGTAGTAGAGTTAAACAGGAAGTAAACAATAATCGTGTTATGTAATTACAATATGTAACACCAGGGGGCGCTGAAACTCTACTGGTATTTGTACAGGTGCCACAAAAATATTTACCGGTATGTCCCAAATATATATATTTTTTACTATAACCAAAAGATGTCAAAAACAATGTACTCATTATGAAAGGACAAAAAGGTAAAGTATATGTTGGCTTTGGAATGTAGCATTTTGTGAAATGCATGCTCTTTCTTGTTAGCATTTTTGGTGATTCTGCACCCGAGGTTGTTTTATACAAAAGAAAAATAGCCTCTCAAAATCATAAATAAATTCTGTGCATGTTTATTAATTCAACACTAATGTTTAGAACAACAATCAAAATTATACTGACTTTAAATAACAAATTCTCTTATTGTTTCAGCTTCACAACAGAAACGCTGTAAATGAATATAGTAATTGTCAAATGAGATCTAGTCTGGATTAATGAGATTTCTCCCCCCCAGAAGACATATTAGTTACTTCATTATTTAGGTCAGAAAAACTAAACGTGGTCATCGGTTGTGTTCAGTCTTGTACTTCTGCACTGAGTGCTGGCATCAGATGTTGCTGCTTTATTCTTTCAATCTGTTTGACCAAAAACTGCTTATCTTGACCCTCCTGAAAATCAAAGACATGACATTGGACAATATTAGCTACCACTGAGGATATTATACAAATGATCCTTGATCTTTGTAAGTAGGAACAACATACCAACTTAAGCTGAGCTTTGAGCATCTCAACACTTTTTCCATAGATGGAAGCTAATGCTACAAAATAGCACATAATCACGCTGGCAGAGAGGAAAAAAGGCACTGTGATAATCTGTAGATTAAATCTAATAAATAATAAATATTTCACAAATGCACACTCACCATGATAAAGCAAAAAGAGGTATGGAAAATGCCTGTGAGCCAATGAAGAAGAGAAAATCCTGTGTAACTTTAGAGAGACAGTAGAAAGAGTTTGGAACAATCTTCCACATGGAGGGGAAGAAGCGGAAAGGCCCACACGCCATCGAAGGGTTGATCCTGTTTGGAGAGGTGGAAAGAATCCTTCTTAAAGTGTTTAGTGATGCCCTGACTGTTCTGACTTTCTAAAACGCTGTTTTGTTGGAAATATTAAGGATAAATCTGCAGCAGTCAGCACTCACACAGCAAGGCTGTAAATCATAACAACCAGGGCCAACGTCCAGCCAAACAGAAGCACCACCAGGAAAAAGAAGGTGGAGGTGGTGGACCGAAACGTCTTCAGCGCTGGCCGACAGTTGTGGAAGAGTGTGATCTGTGGACACGCAAACACAATATCATCACTAATACAAATAATTATAATGTATGTGAGAGGGAAAAAAACAAGTTTTATGTTAAATTCTTCACCTTCTTGCAGTAAAAGAGGATGACAAATTTAATGGTGTTCATGAGAGGCAGCAGAGGGCAGAACAGAGCTCCAGCCCAGACCACCGTCTGACCATAAACAAGCCCGAGGACGTTGGAAGGGACAACGAACTCCTGGCGGCCCACCAGCTGAGACAGCTTACAGGACCAGTTGTCCACCACAATCCTGACACACACAAGAAAACACAAACACCTCATATCCTACGGCGTATATGCTGTAAATCCCAAACCGCCTTCCATGTCTGAAACTTGGTTTTGTACCTGCGTGGAAACTCGACAAGCACGAGCAGAGCGATGTTTACCAGCAGGTCAAACAGCATGAGTTTGTACATCTCCTGTCCTACACGGGTTTCCCAGCACTACGTCACAGGGGGACAGGAAAAGATAAGAATAATGCATCTTTTAATGCCATGCATCCTGGTAGTGCAACAATCAAGTCCCTTTTTACGGTAAAGTATAGAAAACCTGGCCCAAGCACCAGAACGTCGTCTTTTACTTGTTGCTCTAAGCTGCAGAAGCGTTCAGGTGCTATATGTGAAGTATTTCTTCACGATAAGTTTTAAAATGAACAGTTGAAAAATGACTACAATTCCAAAAACAAACAATGTATGTGAGAATTTAAGGGCTCAAAGCAAAGTCCTCAGTTTGGCCAGTAGGTGGCAATAACACAACATAACATGTGAACAAACAAACACAGCTAAAGGGTAAAGCTTGGTTTATGCTTGACGCATTCACTTTCCGCTTGGTGATGCGGCTCGCGGATGGAACGCGCTTCACAATTCGCAGCATTTATGGTTCATGCGGCTCGTCTCTGCGGTGAGCCAATATTCTCCCAAACTGTAGGGGGCAGCATGGAGCTCTACGGCATGCATCCAACACTACACCATAGTAGAAGTAGAAATTACTGTTTACAACATGGCATTCCAGCTTTTTTAACAGCGTCCTCGTCTTTTCCGACAGTGCGAGCTATTTCTCTCCAAGAATTATTAACATGTTGATCACGGTGATCTCTGAGAGCTGAATCATACAAATGTCTGTATTTACAAACCTCTGCCGTACTAGTTCTTGCCGATCCACCATGTTTTTCCGTGTCCGTCCGTCCGCGTGGTTAGAAATTTTCCGAGGTGCGCGTTGTGGAAATTCTGGGCCGTGCGGAGGCGCGGTGGAGGGGCCTGGTTGTTAAAATGACGCAAAATGACGCAACTTTTCCGCGCGGAGCCGTGCGGACCTCACGGACGTGTCAAGCATAAACCAACCTTTAGGCCTCCTGGACACCTCCCTGAAGAGGTTTTCCAGGCACGTCCAACCAGGAGAAAACCAAACGACAGACCCAGGACACGCTGGAGGGACTATGTCTCTCAACTGGCCAGGGAACGCCTTAGGATTCCCCCGGAGGAGCTGGTCCAAGTGGCTGGGGAGAGGGAAGTCTGGGCCTCTCTGCTTAAGCTGCTGCCCCCGCGACCCGACTCCGGATGAGCAGTGGATAAGGGATGGATGGATGGATGGACATAGCTAGGATTTCAGCTCTATATAAAGCCAACAGTGAATGTGTGTGAATGAGGAAGTGAGAGAGTGAAAATGAGATTCAGCACCATGCTAGCTAGCTGTGTCAGGCAGCGCCCCAGAGACATTAAATTCACTGATGCTGATTGGCCCCAAATTCTCAAGTTCTCTCTAGCAACCAAATGTGACTGGCTGTTTAGCTGCAGTTTAGGGGCACTTTTCCCAGCGCCCCTGGAGGGAAACAAGTGAGTCTGGTGGAGAAAATTCTCTGTTTAATGAGAGACAGCTGGTGAAAATGACGAGCAAACCATTCAAAATGCATGTAGGCTATTCCGACACATATATAGTAACTATATGATTATATATAGTAGTTTTTTCTTTACTTTTCCAGATTTTTTTCTTTTCCTTCCAAGTCATGGAGGGCAGAGCCCCCTATGGATGAGCCGCCAATGGCTATAAAACTGTTGTATAATTTACACCTGAGACTCTGGACTCCACTTTTCTATGCTTTTAGCTACAAATGTATGCATAGACATATTTACCGGGTATTTTTCATGATCGTATCGGCACTGCTGACACGCAGACGCTTCTGCGTTCCCGCTACAGGTGATCTGACTCCACAGGGTGAAGAGAAGGATGCCTAAGCTCACTAGGCGCAGGACCACTGCCCTGGAGATTAAGATGGTGTGAGTCAGGCAAAGGGGAAAATTGAGAATAATTGTTAAGTGACAACTTGAATAGCTCAAATAAAATAAATCGGAGTCACAGTGAAACATTCAAAAGTGAACAAATGCATTACATTCTTCAACTCAGGTGATTCTTTAGACAGCAAAGAAAATCCTTTCTCCTGTTTTTTCTACTTTAACTCTTTTTGTTTCGTTTTTTGACTGTACGCCAATTTTTAATACGACGTCCTCATACATGATACGTTCTCATCAGCCACTTTATTAGGTACAGCTGTGCTGTTTGTTGGCTTGTTAATATAAAACAATCACAAGGAAGCAACTCAGCATTCAAGCACGGCGAAGATGACTTGCTGAAGTACAAACGGAGCATCAGAAAGCTGAAGAGAGTGGATTTAAGTGACTTGAGGAGTGAGGTTGCTGTCCCGGAGAGACTGGGCTGCTTTATGGGATTTTTACCCACAACCATCTCTAGGGTTCACAGAGAGCGAAAAGACAAAAGCAGATGTTTGTTTGAAAAATATCCGGTTGATGCCAGAGAAGAATGGACACATTAGACAAAAACTAAGACAAGATGAGACAGGAAACCCATTTCCTGGTCTGACTAGTCTCGATTTCAGCTGCAACCATTAGATGGTCGGGTCAGAATTTGGTGTGAACACAAAAGCGTCCGTCGTGCCTTGGATTCGTGGTTCAGGCTGCTGCTGGTGGTGTAACGTGATGGTGGGATGTTTTTGTCCAACTCTGGACCCCTCAGTACCACCTGAGCCTGGTTTAAACACCACAGCCTACCTGAGTCTTGTTGCTGACCATGTCCATCTCTTCATGACCACATGGACCCGTCGTCTGATGAACAAAGCTCAGATCATCTCTAACTGGTTTCTGGAACATGAGCTCACTGGACTCTAACGGCCTCCACAGTCACCAGATCCCAGTCCAGTCCAGAACCTTTGGGGTGTGTCATGTTCTGTGTCCCTTTGTTCCCCAGCCCCTCCAGTTCCCAATCCAGGTTTTCCTCTTGTGTCCCATTATTCTCCTCAGCCCTCACCCCTCTAGTTATTGGTTGTTTATATTGGCCCTCAGTCCCTAAGTTTAGTTTTCCGTGTTTTATAGTTTTAGGTTTATCTGCCCTCCTCTGGTTTTGTTCCCCATTTAGATAATTGTATGCACCTGCTTTCCCTACAGCCCTCACTCCACACACCTGCTGCCTGTTTCCCTAATTGCTCCTCTCTGTGTATATAAGCCTTGTCTTGTCACTCTGTGTTTGTTGGATCATTGAATTCGTCAGCGTGTTTCTGTCCTCCTCATGTCCTCCTGTTCCGTTCCCATGATTTAATTTTCCATTTGTTTTGGTAAGGTTGAAGTTTGGTTCGTTTTTGGTGCCCTTTTGGATTTTGGCACCTCCTCCTTTAAAATAAAATTTTTTTTTTTTTTGAAAACTCCTGCTTCGAGTTGTTCTGGGTTCTGCATTTTGGTTTCCACCTCCTCTGCCCTGACCTTGACAGGGTGTGGTGGAACGGGAGCTTCTCATCATGGATGGAGATGATGCTATCACGTCAGCATGGAGCAGAACCTCTGAGGAACGTCTCCAACACCTAGTCTGATCTCTTACGTGAAGAATGAAGATCGATCTGAGGGCAAATGGGGGTTCAGCCTGGGGAGGAGTTCCTGATAAAGAGGCTGATGAATATTAAATCTTATGCAAGCCTTAAAAAATGCTAATTGCTGTTTTTTTAACAGGTTTTGTTGCATAATTAAGATTTTTTTGTAATTTAAAGAGAAATGAATGAACTTCTGTTGCTGCGACATAAAAAACACGAAACCAAACTGACCTTAACAACGCCATCACCACAGTAATGCTGGGAGAATATTTTTCTATTAAGGCGATTTGGTCACACAGCAGAGGCACCAAGAAGTTTCCCGTCGTGATGACGATGGACGGCAGAAACTCGATGAGCAAACCTAGGAAGCCAGGCTGCTCCATGTGTTTCTGTTGGGTAGAAACCAGAAACATGTGATCTCCATGTTAACCAGGTCGCATCAGCATCGTTACACCGTCACGCACCTGGCTGAAGTCAGTGGCCTTGAAGATGCCAAAGAAGGCCGCTCCGATGAGCCCGAGCGCAACAACAAACATTAAAATGCGCAGAGAGTATAAAGCAACTTTCCTCCACGGCGTGAGAGAAGCTGCTTGTTTCTTTATGCGCTCCTCCTCCAGGTCCACCTGACACAGACAGACAGAGAAGATGGATGGATGGATGCTGTAAGAAAAAAAACCACAAAGTTTTGGGAATTCTTTCAGACCTGCAGCCGGTAGTAGATGTTTTTCTGCTTCAGTTTGGTAGCCTGGTTTCCCAGGCAACCAAAGTCCCATCCGGTGAACACGATCATGCTGTAGTTGCCTACAGTGCTGCCTCCCGTTGCCACAGCAACTCGAGCTGCAGTCCCCATGCTGCAAGTGAGGGAGAGGGAAAAATTCAGACATTAAAACATCAAATGAACCGATCCTGAGCGTGAGCGTGAGGGCCTGACCGAGCTATGATGCAACAGAGACAGAAAGCAAAGTAGAAGATGGCAGTAAAGATGTAGGCAAGGGGGATGTTGTAGGCACGGCTCCCATCCTCGGTCCCTGTGTTGTTGTTGTAGTAGCCATAAAACATAAATGAATCCTCCATAAAACCCTGTGGATGGAAAAGAGGAGAGGATAGTCCAGTCTGGTGCAAATGCATGAACGCACTTTTACTTTACATACTGTAGATTTTAGGGTGCAGGTGCTTTAAAGGACCCTCAGTCTTTATGTTTTATACAATTACGGAGAATTCTGCAGCCTTTTTTAGGTGTGACATAACGTTTAAGCAGTGGTGCCCCCAAGGGGTGCCCAGGGGGGTGCAGTGGCCACCCCTCGGGAGCGCCACTCCCTGGTTGCATTGCATGAAGAAAAACTCTTAACCTTTTCTAAGAACTGTAAATACCAGGGGTCTCATTTATCAAGCTTGCTTACGCACAAAACGGGGTCGGAAAACTGCGTAAGCAATTTTCCACGCAAACTTTGGGATTTATGAAAGAAAACTGAGCGGAAAAATGCACGCAACTTTAAGTTGACTAAGGACCTGGCTTACGCACGTTGTGGACATGGAGAGCACCTGCAGTGCTGCTGCTGAGAAGGATACAGTTATGAAATCCTGCAGCATTATCACTTGTACCGCTTTGTTTTCACACAGAACAAGAACCCCCACATGCGCACACACACACACACACACACACACACACACATACACACACAGCCTGAAGCGCAGAATACAGAATATTAGCAGGGGGACAGATTGAGACAGAACATCATGCGTCTGTGACAGTGTGTGTGTCCTGTCACTGTGACCATATTAATCATGCGCCCTGGCTAGTTGCACAGGGGAGAGTTCTGTTTGGCTGACTGGTTAGTGCGCGTGACTTTCACCTGGAAGTCTGGGGATCGAATCCTGATTGGACCATTTTCTTTATATCCGCCACAGATCTCTCTGAAGATTCCACAACATTGACGGCTTCAGCAACGCTGTGCCCCTCCGTGGATTTTCTCTTATTTGTTTTGCAAAAGCACTTCCTTTCATTTCTCCACCTCACCCACAAGTACCTCAATTTCTGCTTCTGTGAAATTGCGCTTCCTTGATCTGCCTTGATCTACGGTCGCCATCGTCATTGGCGGAGCGCTGCTACAGCCGGCTTAGGTATATGCATGAGGTCCACAAGGCACTTTGCATTGACTATTTATGGCAGTAAGTGGGCATGGTGAGGGCGGGGTGTGACTAAAATGCAGCTGAGAAACATTCTCGTTAGTCTCCGATTTATGAAGCGGAGATTGCGTGCAGCTGTGCGTACTCCATGTTTGATGGATCACAAACCTACTTGGCGTGACTACTTTTTTTTTGCTGAGCTTAAGTACGGCTTTAGTAAGGATTCTACGCAATGTTTGATAAATGAGACCCCAGGCTGTTAGTTCTTTGAGCTGTTGTGATGTTTTCTCACCGTTCCCGACAGTAAGTGAAGAAAGTACTCATAGAAAGCCACCAAGGTGTTCGGATTAGGGTCGTATGTCATACATGGCCCTTCCTCTGAAAACACAATCATCAAAAGCTTAAAGATCTCAGTTATTAAAACAAACGTTGGTAAAACTGCAGTAAGTTTTCCTGATAATAATAAAGCTTTTACGTGTGAAACCTGAAACCTTTTGGTGCAAAAGTTCATTCATGTCAGTAAATCAACTGAAAATGTGACAAACTCATTTTAAGCCTTTGTTTGTTATATTGTGATGATTGTGGCTTACAGTTTAGGAAAACCCCAAATTCAAAATCTCATAGTTAGAATATTGTGAAAAGGTTCAATATTCTCACTCTCCAATCAGCTAATGGATCTAAAACACCTGAAAAGGGTTCCTGAGCCTTTAGATGGTCTCTCAGTCTACGCTGGATCACTGACATAAATGGGCTTTTGCTTCATTTTATTATTTTCTCTTGTAGATCATTACATACAGATTTATATCAGGAATGTTCAAATTGCAAATAAATGAATTTATAAGTAGGTCTTAATTGGTTTTATTTTTTTAAACAATCCAGCTTTGAGAGATGAGAACACAGGAAGTGATCTTTACCTGTGCGGTTCACAAAGCCGCTCTCTGCGGATCCCAACACAAAGCTGGGAATGATGACAAAGCCAGCGATCAGTAAGAAGGAAACAAAATTAAGAACCACCAGGAATCGAAGAAAGAGGAAGTAGGACTGGACGCCACCTCCAAAGTTCCCTGTAGGACAATAAAATCCTCACATTTAGTTTAAAATGTAAAATAACTGACAGAATTCACAGTTCAGGACCGACTAGCTGTGCACCTCCAATCTTCTGTAAAGACCTGCCCCATAGTGTGAAATAGTAAAGAAATTCCCTAAAGTTGTTTTTGAGTTTGCGCAAAGATTTGGTCTTGTTGTGTTTCCAGGATGCAGCGTTGGAGGAAGCAGGAACCTGCATCTGCTGCACCTGCCTGAAAGCAATCAGATAAAAAAAGCATTTAAATGGAGTAAATATTCACAGTTTACTATCACAGAATCAAAAGTTGTTTTCCTACCTCACAGATCTCTTCAGAGCCATGGGCCAAGCGATGGTCCTGAGTTCCCGGGGCGCCTCGGCATTCCCAGCATCCCTCTCTTCTGGGGAGTTCCAGTTGTACTGAGGGTAATTCTGACCGGACGTTATAGATGAAGCCCGGCGTAATCTGAGGAGCTCCTGTTCATTTCCTTTGAGTAGACGAATGAACAAAAACATGAAAACGATCAGAGGGAGGATCAGTTCTTTTTATTTCAGTTCATGTTTTTAAGAACTTTTTAAAGAGCAAGTCACCCCCTACCAGAGTATTACTCCACTCCCACTTCCTGTTAGAAAAATGCAACAAATGCTGTTGCCTAGCAGACCGAGAGGGCAGAGCCGCTAACAAATACACACACACACACACACACACACACACACACACACACACACACACACACACACACACACAGGCTCACAACGACATTGTGACATCATATGGTACCAGCTAAAGTTATAAGGTACCTCTTAGCCAATAGCGATGGCAGATTTAAATTCAACTGCAGTTACCTGACAACAGCACAACACTGACAGTTTTAGGCAGAAAATTTAAACTTGAACTAAAATGCACTAAAGTGCTAAACTATTGACTACACGTGTCTGCAGCACGATTAGACACACATTTATATAGTTCAGGGGTGGGCAATCCTGGTCCTCGAGGGCCGCTATCCAGCAGGTTTTAGTTGTTTCTCTGCATAAACACACCTGGTTTGAATCTGCTGGTGATTAACAGGATGTTGCAGAGCCTGATGAGCTGCTGAACAGGTGATTTATCCAGGAATCAAGGGTGTTGGAGCAGAAAGAAACTAAAACATGCTGGATAGCGGCCCTCGAGGACCAGGATTGCCCACCCGATAGTTTATCAGAAAAGGTTGATTTGGGGGTGACTTGCTCTTTAAAGAAAGAAATAGTGTTTAAAATTTATTAAAGCTAAAAATACAAACGCTACCATCGTACACCTTACCTGAGTCCAGTCTCTGTACTTTGCTGGTCATCATTCCTTTGATGGAGCCTCAAACAGCCTGAAGCGGCTCGGTGCAAGGAAACGATCCCTATCCATGAAACACTTCCTTGTTTTCTCTTCTGGTGGACTTTACTCATTCTATAAATGACCACACAGGAACTTCCTTGTTTCTTTAACCCATCACGTCCTCCTGGAGCTTCACCAGCCAAGCCACTAGACCAGAACTGACTCGTACGTCTCAGAGATACCAGTGAATGCAACAGAAACATGAATTATGTTGGCTGGATGGTGAGCGTAGGACAGAAACTTAGATTTAAAAGAAGCAGCTCCGCAGACTGGCTCGTGGGTGTGTTTGTTGGTGTTAATGATTTCCATGACAACCATCTACCAGCTCAACTCAAACCTGTAGCTTAGTGTTCACAGATAAAACCATCAGATTCAATACAAACACAACAGCAAAGAAATGCTGACCGTTTATTTTAACATGTAAACCTGTCACCATTCAGAAATGATGCATTATGGGAATGACCCAGAAAACACACAGAAGGCAGATAAATAAACAAATACCACAAACACACGCGGTACTGCAGTGCACAGTGGTACGGTGGAGTCGTGATGCAAACATTTCAAACGACTTTAGTCATAAACAAGTTCACACACGGCTTGGTGACGCGTTCATGACGGGTTCAAAAACTCCTAATTATTACTAATAGAAGTAAGGACAGTGTTTAATTATGGAAATGTCTAATCGTGGAACACGTTTTTGGTTTAAAACCATAAATAACTCTACTTTGTACATAAAACACAGAAAACATTTGCAGATAAAACTTCTGATCCTTCTGCGAGGATCGCCAAGCCCCGGCTGCATCATCCTTAACAAAAAGTAGCTTAAAAAGAGACAAAAACCTTAAATATGAAACATTTGGTCTGAACCCTGATGGCAGTGAGGACATTTGGCAGTGTGTGGACTCGTGTTCTTCGTCGTAATTCATCTTCTTCTAATTGAAGCTACCGCTGACACCTTTTAAACACTGCAGAAGAACTCTGAACAGAAATGTTTTACCTGGAACTAAAGGGGTGGAACACTGGTTTAATCAATTCATCTGCAGTGGTCTCCAGTAGGAGCGAATGCTTTGTAAGTTGTATTCGGGTGGGGTGTGTGTGTATGTGTGTGTGTGTGGGAGGTCTTCAAATGCCACCTGGAGGAGAAAATAAGCTTCAGAAGGCAGGATTTGGGCTCTTATTTCCTGATATTTGGACATCTCTCCTCTGATTGGCTAACAGCAACATGACTCTATCACTGACTCTGGTTGCTCTGCAACGTTGATGTTTTATCTCCACCAATAACACAAGCCTGGAGGAGTTCTGCTGTGTGGTGGAGTTGCTATTGCTAACAGCTAGCTTCTACTAGCAGAGACGTTCTCTGCCGTTTCCTGGACGCTAAACCAACAACAGCCTTCCCCGTCGGGAGTCCAGATGGGTGAGTCCATGAATGTTAGTGACAGTGTGACGTAGATCTGTCAGGATTTCTAATCCTAGAGTTTCACCGTCTGTTTTCTATCAGAAGCTAATGCAGGAGATAGGTGTAGGAGACTATTTTCATGTTCAGTCTGCATGAAACATTCAGAGTGACCCGTTAGAGTCAGACATAATCATTAAATAATCGGTTATCAGTGTTCCACACCTTGAAGTTAATCAAAGAAATGCTCACAAGAAAACAAATGAAAGTGTTGAATTGTTTTGCTGAAACTCTTGAAGGCCAATAAAGATTGTTTTACTCCACAGCCACAGAAGCGACACTCAGCTATTTTTAGAAAGACTCAGTCTGTCTCAGAAAGGCTCAAAAACACTGAATCCCGTCACAACCGGAGTATTTTTCACCATTTAGACTGTAACTGTGTGCTGTAATCTTAACAAGTGCCTGCCTCTTTAAGAGTCCGTTAGAAGGTAAGATTAAAAACATGAAGTTTGCAGGAGTGTCATGGTAACACTGACAGCATTTTGCCTCTGGGATTTACCACGTACACATCTATCTGTACTTTTACTAACACAGACCTGATGATGAAGACCTTGGACTTATGAAATGTTTCTTTAAAAAAAACAACAACAGGAGACTTAAATGAACTCCAGCTTGTCTCAAAGTAGCTCCGAGAAGCATTTTTCTGGACCTCCATTCAGTCGGTTTTCTTTCCAGTTTTCTCTTTCACACTTTCGGTCTTTTCACCCTCACTTTTCACCCCCCGCTTTCCTCCCTTTAAGGCCGTGCCCACCACTATACAGCAAACAGCAACAATATGCACAACGAAGTAGACGGACATCCAGTAGTTGATGGTGTCGGAGGCCTTCAGCAGCACAAAGCCCATGCACATGTAGTCATACGCCCTCATCTTCAGGAACCAGTGAATCCAGTCGAAGATGCTCTGGCCGCGCGGTCCGAGCTTAGCTCTGACCGAGGCCTCCATGGCGGATTCTGCAGCGATGCACAGGGGGATGGTGAGGAAGGAGAGGTAGTAGCCAGCGTGTAATCCGTGCCAGTAGGCGCTGATGAACATGGTCCAGCCAGCCCTAGGAAGAAAAACATTTGTGAACTTTCCAGGCCGCATCCATTAAACTGGTTGCTGCTTTACAAACCTGAGTGTGTAGGACTTGAAGGGGGCGCTGGAGTAGATGTAGTGATGCAGCCACCACTGCACCGTCATGTTCCAGTAACGCATGCCGTGTCGGACCTTCACGCAGACTTCGGTGTTGTAGCAATCGATGTTCTGGATGGTTCTGAAGTCGTATTTCTCTTCAGCGGATGGATCGGCGCTGTCCACAAGAAGGAAGAGGCATAATCACTCGCTGATCATCTTTACTGGACGCTATTTAGCACCATGTGTTATACAAATGAGGACATCCAGCAGCTCAGACACAGACAGCAGCCTGATGATGACCTGTAGCCGAAAGTGGGTCCGCCTCCAGGTTTGGAAAGAGCTTTTTCTGGATAGCAGCCCAGTCCTGCACTGATGCAGCCCGCCTCAGCGCCACACCACGCAACGTAGAACCGCATCCGGAACACAAAAAATACCGCTACCATGTACAGCAGCCTGGGGATGGAGAGAAACAAAACGAGTGTTATTCAGCTCGATGTCCAGCCGTCACGCACTGATCGTATTTCACACAAGCACGTGTGTAAAAACTTCAGACGATTCTGAATCATCCTTACTATGTAGTTCATCCAGTTAAAATCCTCCTCAAAACCCTCCCCAGTCAAGTCAGGCGTGCCCCAGGGCTCCGTCCTGGGGCCCCTCCCCTTCATAATCTATCTCCTCCCTCTTGGCAATATCTTTCGCAAATTTAGTATCCAGTTTCACAGCTTCGCGGATGACACCCAGCTCTACATTTCCAGTAAACCCAACTCCACTCTCCCACCTTCCTCCCTTACACTCTGCCTCTCGGAAATCAAATATTGGTTCACCTCTAATTTCCTCAAACTCAACGGCAATAAAACTGAACTTCTTCTTGTTGGTACCAATTCCACCATCTCCAAATCATGACAGCTTTTCTTTAACTAAGCTACAATGATGTTCTGCTGAGCTGTGGTGGCCTCATGGAGGGGGCCATCGTCTAGCACACTGCTGCTAACCACTCAAACATTCTCCCTCTCCTGATAATAACTTTTTGCTTTCCTTGACGTTGGATGTGCTACTACTAGTTTATCCGTTTAACTATAGATCCACTAGGATAAATACAATAAAGTTTACCTCTCACCAAATGGAATATTTACTAAGAAATCACAATGTAACCATAGACACATTACTTTGTGTGTGTGTGTGTGTGTGTGTGTGTGTGTGTGTGTGTGTGTGTGTGTGTGTGTGTGTGTGTGTGTGTGTGTGTGTGTGTGTGAGTCGTGGTGGATGGCTGCTTATACTGAGCCAGGGTTCTCTGGAGGTTTCTTCCTGTTAAAAGGGAGTTTTCCTCTCCACTGTCGCTATATGCTTGCTTAGTATGAGGATTGCTAAAGTCACTGACACTAGTCAGTGACTTGATGCAGTTTGCTGGGTTCCTCATATAGGAAACATTATTTCTGATTGGCTTAATGAACTGACCTGAATTGGAATGTTTATTATGTGAAGTGCCTTGAGACGACTCTTGTCGTGATTTGGCGCTATATAAATAAACTTGAATTGAATTGAACTACTGACAACGCCACAGTCTCCACCTCCCCTCAGGTTAAGAGTCTGGGTGTCATCCTCGACAGCTCACTTTCTTTTCATGCTCACATCAATAACATAACTCGGTCAGCCTACTCCCCTCTTCGATCCATAAACCGTCTCCGCCCCTCCCCTACCCCTCACATTGCCGCCATTCTTGTCCACATTCTCGTCACCTCCCGTCTCGATTACTGCAATTCACTTCTTTTTGGTCTCCCCAACAAACTCCTTCATAAACTGCAACTGGTTCAGAACTCAGCAGCCTGTATTATCACCAGTACCCCTTCCTTTCACCACATCACCCCGGTTCTCCAGCAGCTTCACTGGCTTCCAGTTAAATTCAGGTCCATCTTCAAGATTCTCCTCCATATATTTCAGACTGTATAAGTATTACCACCCCCTCCCATTCCCTCCGATCGTCTTCCTCCCTCCATCTTGCTGTTCCTTCTACCCGTCTCACTACCATGGGGAGCAGAGCTTTCAGCTGCTCCGCTCCCCGTATCTGGAACTCACTCCCCCCAGACATCAGAAATATTGAGTTTCACCCTTTTCAAATCCAGACTCAAGACACATCTGTTCAAATCCGCCTATGACCTCTGACTTTATTTGAATTGTTTATTTATTTTTTTTCTTTTCTTCATTGTGTTTTATTGTTGTTTTAACGAATTTTACTGATTATATTTTCCTGTCAAGTGACCTCGGGTGTCCTGAAAGGCGCTTTTAAATCAAATGTATTATTATTATTTATTAGAAAGTAGATGTGCGAGAAAGAAAGGAAGCACAAAATCACCTGTAGGAAAGATTCTGGTCCAGAAACTCGTCTGTGCGGACGTAGCCTTGGGGGAAGAAGGCGTTGACAGCCAGGAACAGAGCACCGTAGACGGGAACCATCTTTAAACGCTGCAGACATGGATCCAAACAGGGCAGAGCCAGCGGCTTTGGCTGATTCAACCAATCGACGAATGTTTGGAATCGGAAAAACGGGCCTTCGTGAGAACGGAGCGATGGGATAAAGGAGAAAATCAAGAGGAGAGAAAGGAGGGATGAAAAAACAGATAATGCACGACATGACGACGAAAAGTGGAGAACGGTGCGGTTGGAACGTAAAAGAGGGCGTTGTTGAGAAGGAAAGGTGTGAGAAAACAAAGTAATACTGAAATAAAGTGGACTCACAATGTTGGACAAGTGGCAGTAAGTAAGACAAAGAGAGACATCAGTTAAAAATTATGCAAAATAAAATTTGTCACAATAAAACCATGCAGTTACTACGCACAACACACAAAAAATACGATTCTCCAAGCAAAGTTTGGCGGACAACGTTTCTGCAGACTTACCGGTAATTATACCAACATAACAGTAACTATAGGACAGAATGGCATAGAGGGACGGCTCTTGGGACAGACCGCCAACGACTGGAGACTTCCCAAAGGAGCTCAGGTCTCTCTTCTTCTCCGTGTGGAAGCTGTGCACCTCGTTGGCAAGACTCACCATCTGTGTCGCATCAAATGCATTCATGAAATGTGCAACTTTTGCATCTGCGATTCATTTCTCTGCAGCAAGTGTGTGTGTGTGTGTGTGTGTGCGTGTGTGTGTGTGTGTGTGTGCGTGCGCTGAGGTTTCTTTTAGACCTTCAGAGTGAGAATCAGCTGTACGGCGTTGGTGAAGGGCGTTGGTGCTGGCAGATTAACCCAAGTGACCAAACGGAAAAACAACAGGTAGAGAAAGCTCCAGCTGAGAGTCAGTGCCGGAGCATGCCTGCAAGACCGAGATCAGGGCTGAGTTAACAGAAGTCCAGCTCTTTGTGAACTGCAGAGACATAACACGTCTGTAGCCTCATTCTTAATGCTGATTTGATCATTCCGAGTTGCAGATCCACGGTTATTACAGCGTTAATCTCTCACCGCCAGCTGCTCTTGATAATAATCCATGTTCCAATCACTGTCACAAGAGAGTGGAGCGTGTGGATGTGACACAAGGCCACCGTGACGAAAAGGCCCAGAAGAAGAGCCGCCGCTTGCTTCACAGACGGACCTGAAGCGGCGGAAATATCACAACTTTTAAAACAAAAAAACAAAAGCTTTACAGGAAGTGTTACAAATGGTACATTTTATTTTAGTTTCAGTTTCTTCGCACACAGAATTCTTTGTTAAAGCAAGACAGCCTAATGAGTGTGTGTGTGTGTGTGTGTGTGTGTGTGTGTGTGTGCGTGCGTGCGTGCGTGCGTGTGTGTGTGTGTGTGTGTGTGTGTGTGTGTGTGTGTGTGAGACACTAATCAATCCAGGACTTTGAATATTCCTAATCCTACAACAAACTCCTTCAGGGAGCTTGACTTTGATCAAGTGGAATAACCAGAGCCACTCACTGAGGTAACGAAAGAAGAACCCAACAGGAACGGAGGCAGCAAGAACTCCCAAATAAACCAGCTCATCAGGAGACATCGCTCTGCTCAGGGAGAATTTAGAGTTAAATACGGAACTAAAACACTCATCTTAACATCAGTATAGATTATAAATAATGCAGATGTTAAGGATTAAAAGTGAGTAGATTAAACCTTTTTAACTGATTTGGAATGAAAGGTCACAGGATTAGACAAAACGTTGATTTTATATGGGTATCATATATATGAATAAAATAAGAGTAAATTGTGTATTCTTATAAAATGTGTAACATTTTAAAACTGCTTTGCTATGGCAACAAAAATCAACTTTTAGATGTATTTGTCATTTCAAAAAACAATAGGGTTTTGGAAACTGAGGTCTACTGCTTCTTATGATCTCATCTACCTGTCATTTTGTTCAAGTCCTTGTTCACATGTGGTTTCACTGTTTTAGACATTGTTTTATTTAGAAATTTTTCATAAATGCAGCATTAGAAACCTGAATAAATGACACACTTTTGCATCACGCTGCCAGAGCCAAACAGGTTTGCTGATCTGATGGTTCATCACCAGGTTTAGATGGATTTGATTATTCAGGTGCTTTCTGGCTAAAACAAACAAGCCACTGATCGGAAAATGATCAAAATTTGTGAAAGAAAACATCACGTAATATTAGAATAAACTCTGATTTAAAGAATATCCGACTATTTAAAAGATTATTGCGCAATAAATCATTACAACCAGACTAATGATTCAGACGTTTATGCTTTTTTCACAAAACGTTTCTTCACCTGATGCGTTCAGGGACCTTAACTTGTTGACGTAAACCTGAGAACTTCCTCCACTGGTGGATTTTGTAATCCCGAGGATAGCCAAAACTTTTCAAATTATGGATTTTATTTAGTTCAAGATAAAGAATAGACAACACCTTTTGGCATAACGCTGTTTTCACCCTCCGGTTTTTACTAGAAGCTAACCCGATCTCTTTCAACAAGCTAGTTCTAACAACGTTCGATAAACAGCAACACGATCAACATTTTTCTGCACAGCTAGCTGACATTTCACTTGTGCTGACATGAAACAGACTCAGGAGAACGAAGCCCATGTTTCAATTCACGTTACGAGCCGGAATCCTCGCCATGTAACGGTTAGCTCTTTACGTTTAGCCGTGGCTAAACATGCTAGCGAGACACAATTAGCCCTTCGTGTTTAATACTCACATTTTAATTTAATAACCTCCAGACATGAAGACTGCCGTGGTGGCCCGCCACAACGTGTGAACTAAAGGAGAGTAACATTCAACCTGCAACTGTTCATTCACACCCAACTAGTGGCTCACTTCCTAGTTGAGGAAATAAAATGACCGCCCACTACTGACGTCACGTCGAATTATAAATTTCCCAATAACGAGGAATGCCACTCGTTTTTGTAACCGTAATAAACCAGAACAATCTCAAACGTTTCAAAACTTCATGATTCAGATTAAGGTTTTATAAATTTAATTAAATTTACAAAGTAAAACAGAAGCTCAGTTCTTTGGTTGACACCAATTTTATTTTATTTTGACATAACAGGAAGTAATGCAAAGACTCCCAAGACAACACCCTTCTTAATCCTCCTCCTCATCGTCAGCACCACCAGCTCCACCCTGACCCTTCTTGGCGTTCTTTCTCTTGACGCGACCAGGACGTCCACCACCGTAAGGAGACCTCAGAGAGAAGTCGATGTGCTTCTGGCTGTCCAGGCGAACCACAAAGGAGGGGATGTTCACCACCTGCTTGCGCACACTATCAACACAAGAAAAAAAAAGGGGGTTTAAGATTGCATCTAAGAGTAACTTCAGATTTTCCTAAAAATGGACAGATGACGATTCACTATTGGCTTCATTGACGAGGAATTCTTGACACCACAGGAAATCTGAATAATCATTTTAAATCATCAGCCTAAGGACTCGTGTAGTGAGCACTACCAATTGCCCGAGGTGCAATCCCCCAAACCTTACCTGACAACATCCCTGTCTCAGCCTTCGTCGGCAGGATTGGCTCTGGGCAATGTCTACTGGCAAGGTATACGGTTTTGATACCGAATTGACCTTGATGAAATGTTTAACTGATCTCAACGAAGAGAGCTAGAGGTTGATGGTCCTCTGATGGAAGAGGAAGCAACATTTCCTTATGAGTCCCCTTATCATGACTCATGGATCCTGTATCATACGTTTTTTTCCCCCATTTTAAAACTTACCGAATGTGCCTCTGGCGGATGAGCACACGGGCATGGTGAATGCTCTTGGCAAGTCCGAGCTTGAAGACCTGCGTCTGCAGCCTCCTCTCCAAGAAATCTTCAACCTTCAGACCCAGGATGTAATCGAGCTTCATTTTACCCTCGTCCAGCACACCAATCCTCACCAGACGCCTGAGCAAAGCGTTACCTGGAAACAAACGGGCAATTTAAACTACAGCTCAAACACATACAGTACGTAACTGAATAAAAAGCAAACAATGATGGCCTCATTGACGAGGAATTCGTGACACCACAGTCAAGTCTGACAATTAACGTTTAAATCATCGGCCATTAACTTTTTCTCAATTTAAACATACCTTCAAACAGACGTTTGGGGTCCTTCTCATCCAGAGTGAGCAGCTCTCTGGCAGCTTTGCGGATCTTGGCAAGGGTAAACTTTACCCTCCACACCTCACGCTTGTTCCTCAGTCCATACTCACCTTAAAACGATACAAACTTTTAGATCATTTTCTTCAAACAAAGCTCCTAAACTGCCAGTATTAACTATAACTTACCAATGAGCTTTAACTCCTGGTCAAGACGGGACTTCTCAAAGGGACGTCGGGGGGTGACGTATGTCTTACGACAAACCCAACTTCTGGCAACGGGCATGGCGGATAATTGTGCCTGCAACATCAAACAGAACCATTAGAAACAGAGCAGGTTTAGTCCAAGTACTCACTAAAATGCATTTGTACTTCTTAAATGTAACTAAATACTGGCAACAAAGTATTTAAAAAAAGATAGACATCTGTTAAAGTAAAAGCAGACTTATCTACATCTAATATTTAGTTAAGCTATAGTTTGGCTTTTGTTAACAAATAAGTCATTCTAAATATTAAATGAAAGAACCCGGACAAGAATAGTTAGCAGTTCTCATCAGGTAAAATAAATGTGGAATAATTCGGCTCGTGAAACCACACGCCTAGGCCTTTACCATACCACGTTGTTTAAGTTAGCATTAGATTAGCCGAGTATCCTTTCATTTAAACACCTAAACACATTTTGCCCGCCATTTATGATGCTTGTTTCCGTTTGATTTTAATATTCATCAATGTTTGTATTCATATTAGAGCGCTGTGATCTATTTTGCGTTATTTTGAGATGAGCAGAAGCAGAACATACCTGACTCGCTCAGGCTCGCGTAGTAAAAAGGAAGGCCAGAGGCTCGCGCTGCTTTATATGGCTCGCACTCGGACTTCATATCCCAGCATGCCTCTCGCCAACTGAACGGAAGGGAAAGGATTTGGTTCACGCCCTCTGTTGGCAAAAGGAAAATAGCTTCAAACTGGTAAACGGACAATGCTTTAATTATCTGTGTGAACTATGATTCTGTTTTACAGGATAACTGAGGTGGAACCTCAGTTCACACGTGTTTATGTTTCCACTTCACAATTAAACAGATTTAGCTGCCTGGGTTTTTTGTTTTTTATTGGACAGAAATGTGTAGCAGCAGGTGGGGACAAACCTTGCATAAAATTGTGTGTGATAGTGAAAGGAGGTAAGATGATAAACTCATGAAGAAGGACATGGTTGACTATTTATATAACTCTGAAAGGGGACCCTGAGCATGTGTTTCTGTCTGTCATCCTGCACGATCAACTGATGGACACACAGAAGCTCACTTGTTTCGCTTTTCACCGCTTCATACCCCGTCTTTCCCGTACAGAAATCTTGTTTCTGTGTGAAGTTTTTTTGTGTTTGACACACCTGTGGGGTGAGAACCCACTTTGAACCCCTCTCCTTTCAGCTTCCAGGATCTTCTCTGAGATTTTTACCCTTTTTTTCCAGCTTTGATTGTTTGCTCTTCTGACTACAAGCCTTTCCTTTCCCCTTGCCTTCCTCTCTCCTTCTCCCCCATAATCCTCCATTCCGTCTCCTTGTGTGCGTTTTTTGGGCTATGCTCTCCTCACCCACTGTGATCCTCCAGCCTTACGGACTACCCGTCTATCCTCAGACAACCGCATGCTACCCCAGCATAGTTCAGGTAAACTCTTCATTTGTTCTGCAGCTCAGTGGTTTCAACTCTTTCTCGCGAGTCTTCAAAGGCAAATTTATTATAGGACTTAGACGCCAGAAGGATTTAAGTTGGCAAGAAGGTCAAATATTTGTTCTGTTGACTCTTTATAGGATTTGTCCAACAATGATGTCAAACTTTTCTGATTTGACCCAAAATGGAGTTCATAAGTGTTACTAAAATAATAAAGTTATTAGTTCAATGTGCATGCCGATGTTTAGGCTAAAAATGTGTTATTGAAATAGTAGATAAAAAGATCATCTCATCTTTTTAGTGGTGTACCCCTTAAAATTGTTGCAGGAGACAAATGAATCAGTGAGGTCCAATCAGAGCTTTGTGAAGTACACTGAATGGTAAATATCTTGTTTTATTGAAGGGTAAGAGGATGTTAAATGTTATCTTTAGTCTACTGGTCTGAATGAGACCAGCAGCAAGTGTCCCTCACATACCACTGATGCCAAAAGGCATCTGGGATCCCTCTACCTTGTCACTGTGCTTCACACCAGCAGTATTTTTAGTTCACTCCTCCTGAGCTGATTATCACCAGAAGGTCTTTTTCCTATCTTGAACTGTGCTTGAAACATCCGTTAAAAACCAGTCTGTAACAAATGTCACGTCCATTCCATTAATGTCACATTGCAAACTTGTAGTTTGAGAAGATGGATACGCATAGTATCTATCTATAATAGGCAAGGCAAGGCAGCTTTATTTATGAAGCACATTTCATTCACAGAAGCAATTCAGGGTGCTTTCCTTGTGCAAGATCAGCAAGAACACAAAACATTATTTCCAGAACTGCGCTGCTCTGGGTGGCTGCATGTTGGAGTAGCTCTGTTGACTATATGTAAGTTTTGCCTTTTCTTGGACATTTTTTCTTCTAGTTTCTCAAGAAAAACTGTAATTTTTTGGACACTTTACTTTTCTGTTTCTGGTGCTGTGAAGCTTGGAGGATTTTTACTGCTATTTTTTAGCTTTTTTCACATTTTGAGCATTTGTTATGATGCGTAACCATGGCAACAAGCTGATTTACAATCGGGAGCAGCTGATTAACATTGGAAAGGTTGAAATAATACCTCAACTGAAGCCACAAATCCCAAATGAGCTAAAACGCAAGAAGCGTGGGTGCAGAGCGGGAGCTAAACGGAGACAGAGAAAGAGGAAATTCAAACCATCGCTTCCATCGCAATGTGAGATCACTGGCCAACAAGATGGAGGAACTACAAGCCCTTTCAAGGACTCAGCCAGAGTTTCGGCAGTTTTGGAACCGCTGGAGGAGATAATGCAGAGAAGGATTCTCCAGAGAATCAAGAAAATGATGGACAACCCTGAGCATTCTCTTCACAAGACTGTCCGACAACGGAAGAGTGTCTTCAGTCAGAGGCTTCTTCAGTTTGGCTGCAACACTGACCGCTACTGGAGATCCTTCCTGCCAACAGCCATTGTAATATACAATAACTCTTTGATGACTTGATTATTATTATTATTCTGAGCTACTACAGCAATCAGCAATCAATTTCCCTCTGGGATTAATAAAGTATTCTTGAATTGAATTGAATTAAATGTCACGCAACAACATAAAACAGCAGAGGAAAATGTAAGATGCAAGAAATAAAAAGCAAAGTAAAAGAAGGAGCAGTTACAGTGCAGAAGGTGCAGCATAGCCCTGCAGTGAAGCTCAGGTCCGAATCAATTATGACACCGAGATTTCTAACCCGAGTCTGTTTTCATTCTTCTGGTGCCAAGTTGAGCTACAACTAGTGATTCTAGGGGACCACAGTAACTAGGTGATGGAGCTAGGTAGATCTGGGTGTCGTCTGCACAACTACGATAGGTAATCTTGTTGTTGTGTATGACCTGACCCAGGAGGAGCATGTAGAGATTGAAGAACAGTGGTCCAAGAATAGAACCTTGGGGGACCCCACATGTCAAAGTGATCTGCTTTGATTTGTGATCACCAATAGAAACAACAAAACCTCCCGTCTTCGGGATATGATCACAACCAACAGCGCCTGATAATCCCACCCAGTTTATGAGCTCATCAAGGAGGTGCACAGGAAAAAGGTGATTATGTGTTGAGACACAAATGTGTACAAAGTAAAACGCGACTAAATGCAAGTTAAACTTTTACTATTACAATGTAAATAGAAATGTGGTTACTGTTTACTACCCTCTAAATGTACACAGCTCAGAAATACAAGTTCAGTGTAGGAATTTTCAAGTACTGTGTAGTGCATTGTCTTAGTTATAGTAACTTGCGATTTAGAGCGTTTGACATTAAAAATATTAAGTAGCACCAACTCATAATAACTTATTACAGCGGACTTATTATTTTAAGAGCAATTGGTTTGCATGGAAACTGAACGATGGTGGAGTGGTTAGCGCTGTTGCCTTGCAGCAAGAAGGTCCTGGGTTCACGTCCAGGCCTAGGGGCTTTCTGCAAAGAGCGTCCATGTTCTCCCTGTGCATGCGTGGGTTCTCTCCGGGTACCCCGGCTTCCTCTCACAGTCCAAAAACATGACTGTTAGGTTGATTGGTCTGTCTAAATTGTCCTTAAATGGTAAATAGCCTGTATTTGATATAGCGCCTTCTAGAGTCCTGGAACCCCCCAAGGCGCTTTAAAACACAATCAGTCATTCACACATTCACACACTGGTGGGGATGAGCTACGATGCAGCCACAGCTGCCCTGGGGCGCACTGACAGAGGCGAGGCTGCCGAGCACTGGCGCCACCGGTCCCTCCGACCACCACCAGCAGGCAACGTGGGTTAAGTATCTTGCCCAAGGACACGACAGCGACAGAGTGAGCGGGGTTCGAGCCTGCAACCTTCCGATTACGCGGCGAGCACTTAACTCCTGTGCCACCGTCGCCCTTGGGTGTGTGTGTGTGTGTCCTGTGTTGCCCTGCGATGGACTGGCAACCGCCTGTTTGCCCTACGTCTGCTGGAGATGGGCACCAGCCCCCCGTGACCCTGCAAGCGGGTACAGAAAATGGATGGATGGTTGGCTGGTTTGTGTGCTTTTTTCAAGTAAGATTAACAAATTTTAATTTTACAGTGTAGAAAGGTGTTTGAAAAGATATCCTGAGAGAATTTCTCTTTAAAAGTGAGAAATTTCCAAATTCCAAGCTTCTTTTTTAGGTTCAGTTTAAGAGCGTCGGTGTTGATTTTATTAGGATATCCTCCGGTTCTCAGATTGCAGCAGCTGCTCTCCATCTGACTTGTGTATGAAATGTGCTAGATACACAAAGCTGCCTGCCTTTAATACCAAAACCCAAGGAAGGCATTTAAAAAAAGAACAGGATGTGCTGCAAGGAACACATTTTAAACAAAAAAAAAAACCAGACTTTAACTTCAATAAGCTACACATTGATGAGCTTCATACTTGGCCAGTGCTGAGGCATCACATCTGCAGCCCGCAGCGTAAGATCGAGTAAAACCCTGAAACAGCTGTCGCCGTGGACACCTGGCTGCAAGTCGTCGACCTCTGACCACAAACCGACAGCTGAGGAAGAAGACGAGAGCAAATGGCAGTCCAAAAAAGCCCGACTCTCTTACGCTTGCTGACACTGTGATACTGAATCAGGCTCAGCGGCTGGTATGGATCACACCTCTGGGGATACCGAGACCCAGAGGACAATGGACAGGGACATCTAACATCGCACCTGTCACCTTATGTCTGAGACAAATGCTCCTGCAGCCTCGTGTCAGTTGATTTTCGTGAGGCAAACAGAGTGGACATGATTCTGAAACAGTCCAGATTGAAGACTGAGGGAAACTGAACGGTTGAATGTTTCTACACGACTCAGAACCACAGAAGCGTTTAAGCCGTTACTAAATGTAATTATATGGTTTATAGAGGTATTTATATGTGTTTGCTTTAAGGGCCGCTTACATTTCTCATTTACCAAAGGTTTATTCCAGCGGTAGAAAGTGCTGGTCCTGGAGTGCCGCTGTCCGGCACGTTGGGTTTTTTCCTGTTCCAACACACCTGATTTAAATACAGCTGATTGACAGGCATCTGCAGAGCTTGATAAGTCGGTGAACAGGTGAATAAACCAACCAACTAGGTGTGTTGGAGCCGAAACTTGTCCTGCAGCAGAAGGAAGGCGTGTTTTACGGCAATCGTCCTTTTAGTGGGGGGAGCCAGCCGTCTGGATAAGCAGCTGATTTACGGTTACAGATGTCAACAGCTGGTGTGGCCTCTTGTTCTTTTGTTTGGTGTGATTGGTGGATGAGTGGGACTTATGGCGAGGTGGGCGGGGGTGCCAGCTGGCATTAAAACATGCAGCAGTTGTTACGCAGAGCATCAGAGAGGGAGGAACACAGGAAGGGGGTAAGATGATGCTTCTGTTCCCTAACCGTGGAATTTCTGCTTTTCTCAGACTTTCTGTTTTATTTTAATACAACTGGTTTGTAATGGGGCTGCGCAGTGGCGCAGTGGTTAGAGCTTTTGCCTCGCAGCAAGAAGGTCCTGGGTTCGATTCCCGGCCTGGGATCTATCTGCATGGAGTTTGCTTGTTCTCCCTGTGGGTTCTCCGGGTACTCCGGCTTCCTCCCACAGTCCAAAAACATGACTGTTAGGTTGATTGGTCTGTCCAAATTGTCCTTAGGTGTGTGTGTGTGTGTGTGCATGGTTGTTTGTCCTGTGTGTCTGTGTGTTGCCCTGCGATGGACTGGCTCTCTGTCCAGGACGTACCCCGCCTGGTTGCCCGTTGACCGCTGGAGACAGGCACCAGCCCCCCCGCGACCCTACATGAACAAGGGGGTTCAGACAATGGATGGACGGATGGTTTGAAATGGTCTCAGAAAGCCATTTAATAAAAAAATAAAGGTGCAGGAAGTTTCACTTGTTGTTACGTATAGAAGTTTCCTGTCTGTTTGATATGACCCTTAAAATATGAAGCTGTATAAAACCTGAAAATGCTCCAGTTTCAGCAGCTATGGTTGAGTTTGATGGATATTTATCAGCTGGTTAATAACTAACTACGAGGGTTTTGTAGTCGAACTCACACCAAACAATAAAACATCAGCTGCAGAAGCTTCTGGCATCAAACGAAATGTTTAAACCAACATGAACATTTTATTAGACTTTAAAACTTTTGTTTTTATTGTAAACTTTGCCTCTGACCACTGTTAGTAAACTAAATGTTAATTCAAATATGGTGGAATGACCCTTTATGTTCAACTTGGTGTCTTGTATCATATTTATCTTATTTGAGAGGGGGCAAAATAAAATAATAATAATAATAATAATAATAATAATAATAATAATAATAATAATAATAATAATAATTATTATTATTATTATTATTATTATTATTTTTATTATCATACTTTAATTTCATGTAAGACGATGAATTGAAATGTGTGTGTGTGTGTGTGTGTGTGTGTGTGTGTGTGTGTGTGTGTGTGTGTGTGTGTGTGCATGCGTGTACATTTTCCTCTGTCTTTAAATGCATCACAAGAACAGTTGATTAGTTTGGTTAGAGCTGTGATATTTCTACGTTGTACAGGGGGGCGCCCCCCAGGAGGCCGGGCCTGGCAACGGAGACCCCGCCCTTCCCCAGGTCTATGCCCCGCCCCCATCATACCCAGCACCAGGTCAAGGCCCCCCGGCGTCAGCGGGCAGGCTAGCCACACTTGATTTCAGCTCCGCTCATCACAGCTCAGAGTATCCAGATCACCCTCAGCTCAGAGTGTATCAGGGGCCTCAGCACGAGGGGGCCGACACGCTGGCCCCCAGCAACACGGTAAGAGCAACAATCACAGTGGAATTCACACAACGCCCCGATAAAACCTGATCTTCGTGGAGTCACGGCGAGTCTGCAGAGCAACATGAGCAGATAACAGCTCTGTCTATGTTTAGAGCCTCACCTCCTCTTCATGTCCTTGTTTGGGCATGTGGGTGACAGCTGGGGGGTGGGGGGGGTGGGGGGGGTCTTCTCTGAGGCTTATTTTGTAAAGAGTAAAAAAAAATCACATTTCAAAATGGCAGCAGTTTTTTGTTATTATTCATATTTCATGAAATATTTAAGGTTGGTTCATCTCTAGAGATTTTTTTCTCTTTTTAAATAAGTTGTGAAATTATTATTATTGTTTCTATTATTGTTACAATTATTATTATTATTATTATTATTATTATTATTATTATTATTATTAATGCATTCTGTGGGTTTATAAGGAACACTGTTTACGTAATCAAAAACACAAAACAGGTCATCATATTTTTAGATTTGCTGCTGTTCTCCTGTAGTTCCCCCCCCCCCCTCCTGCTTCTGCTGCTGATCTCTCCTCCTCTTTCTCTCATAAATGGTGTTTTTTGTGGCCCCGTCTATATATTTTATTACTAGAGCCAAACTTGGGTCCGCTGTGATTTTCGAAGGGAAACTTGAGACATCGCCACGGAGGGAAGGGGTCAAAGGGGAAGGCTGACCAGATGACCCCCTCCCCTAACCCCTCCTGAAATATCACTCAGGTCCAGAACACAAACCTGCATCGTGACGTCTTGACACAACCCCCCAGCTGACCCCCCCCCCACTCCTTCCACTCTGGCCTTTGTGTGTGTGTGTGTGTGTGTGTGTGTGTGTGTGTGCGCACGCGTGTGTGTGTGTGTGTGTGTGTGTGCGCGCGTGTGTGTGAGTGGTGCACCATTTCCTCTGCCCCCACCGTAATAATTTGCCCCATGATGACTTTTAACCTCTGGCAGAAAAGCAGCACCGTGACCTGAGACTGACCCTTCGGTTTTGATCCCCTTCCTCTCATCGCCCTCCTCATTTTAAAGCTTCTTGTGCACCGTCTCTGCCTTGTTTACTCCGGTTTTCTTTCATATGTCACTGCTGCACTGAGGCCTTTTTCCATTTATCTGCCTCTTGGTACTAGAATGCTAATAATCCTTAGCGTAGCACATTTTCCTGTTTCTGTTTCTGCTCTTTCCTTCCAGCAAAGGCTCGCTGAACCTGAATATTGTTACTTTTGTTCTTTCAAATACCTTTAACTCAGCCCCTGCAACAGTCACTGAAGGCTGCTCAACCAGCACACACACACACACACACACACACACACACACACACACACACACACACACACACACACACACACACACACACACACACGCATCAGGACACAGAGCATCGTGATGCATTGTGGGAAAGTGAATGTTTTGCATGGAGCCGTTTAAACACACAGGTCACAGAGCTCAGCTCTGATGTGTGAGTACAACAGAAGTGAGGACATGTTTGTGCTGCAAAAATATCAAAATCAATATTTTTGTCATTAGTTTAATTCAGAAATTTTCCTAACAATCTTCAAAACTTTATAATTAACACTTTTCTAGCCTCCATGTTGGCTAAATTCTAATTATTCTTTTTACTCTTAAGTTAACTGAAGCGTTGAAGATCACGTATACAGAGCTAAAGTATTTATTAGTGTGTCAAACTGTGCTATCTGTGCTTTCTTTCATTTTTTAACTAAAATAATAAAAACATATTGTGAATTTAGACAAGCTGCAAACAAACCACCAATGTTACGAGATCATTAAAAGCAGGTAAAATCACACATTTTTTGAAAGACTTTTAAAGAGCAAGTCACCCCCTACCAGATTCTTACTCAACTCCTACTTCCTGTTCGAAAAATGCAACAAATGCTGTTGCCTAGCAGACCGAGAGGGCGGAGCTGCTAACAAATACACACACACACACACAGGCTCACAACGACATTGTGACATCATAATGTACCAGCTAACGTTCTAGGGCACCTCTTAGCCAATAGCGGTGGCAGATTTAAATTCAAATGCAGTGCAGAGTTTTAACCTGACAACGGCACAACACTGACAGTTTTAGGCAGAAAATTAAAATTTTAACTAAAATGCACTAAGGTGCAAAACTATTAACTACACGTGTCTGCAGCACGATTAGACACACATTTATATAGTTTATCAGAAAAAAAGTTGATTTGGGGGTGATTTGCTCTTCAAAAAGCCGGGGAAAAAAACTCTGGGTCTTCGGAAGAAAAACAAAAAAATAGGGTTAACTTAAAAGTTTTGGAAAAAGTAAATACCCGTTTTACTGAAAAACTTTGATTAGTGAAACTAAATCTAGTAAATTTGTGCATTCTCTAGCAGCATGAATATTTTCATGTAGACCATTTACTCACGGGTGCAAAAAGTTTTCATTATCAGTTAAAGAAATGTGTGATTATTATTGATCCATATGGAAAATGTTGACTCTGTTAAAAAAAGATTTTTTTATCCCCCCAAAATTATATATATTTATTATTTATATTTAAAAAAATTAAACAAAGTAAGTATTCTTAAAAATGATCATTTTTTCTTATTTTGAGTAAAGAAATTGCAGATAAGGAGCCTAAATCACGCCCATCTACTTCAGGACCATGGCTTCCCTGAAGAACGACAAAATGAACGCAAGTCAACCGGGCTAAAAACATTGCTTTTAATTCTGCTTGTCATGTGCCATGGATGCCCTGCGATGGACTGTCACTCTGTCTAAGGGTGTACCTCGCCTGATTGCCTATTGACCGCTGGAGATAGGCACCAGCCCCCCCGCGACCCCACGTGGACAAGGCAGGTTCAGACAATGGGTGGATGGATGTGCCATGGATTTCACGTATGATGTCCGTGGATTTTAACCCTTTGATGCATGAATTATGAAATCTTCAACCATGATTTTTTTAACAATTTTTTTCATTCATATTTAGGTATGAATGAAACAAATTTCGTATTTACATATTTTTTGTAACATTTAATTTACAAATAATTTATTACACGTCCACCTCAGTGAACAGTGTGCAATCTGAACATGAAATATGTTGGCTTGACTTACTGAAGTACAAATGGAGGGGCTCAAATGCAATAAAGTCTTCAACAGCTGTGCTTAATAGCAAAGAAAATAAATAAAAATTTTGAGTACCTGTCCACTGTAGTGACATTATGCATCAAAGGGTTAAAGACGCATTTTGATGGTGGAAACAATTTTTTTAGGTTTTGTGTGAGTCCAGGATTACAAATGCACTTCATCGAACCAGACACGGAGAACAACAGATGGAAAATGGCTGTAAGTTTAGCAAACTTCAAATCCTTCATTCAGAAGGAAAGAACCACCATAAATCTGGTCCTGTGGTGAGTAGCAGCTATGCTAGGGGAAAGGAGATTCTGCGGTGACGTCACATATGCGATGTCCCGACGTCCGATTTGTAGTCACGCTAATTACGAACTTTTATAAGCTGATAAATCTCAAAGTATGTGACTGGCGTGGTGGAAACACCCATCATTAGTTTTCATTTAAATATAAGTCCAACATTTGTGCGATCCAGGGCATAAGGCAAAGCGGATTAGAAAATAACGTTTTTAGCCCCGTTGACTTGCACTCATTGTTTTTTTTTCGAGGACCCGTGAGCCGACTGGAAAGGGAGGAGACTTAGGCTCCCTATAGGATAAGATGGATGGAATTCTTAAAGAGCAAGTCACCCCCTACAAGAAACTTACTACACTCCCACTTCATGTTTGAAAAATGCAACAAATGCTGTTGCTTGGCAGACCGAGAGGGCGGAGCCGCTAACAAATACACACACACAGGCTCACAGTGGCATTATGACATCATAATGTACCAGATGACATCATAGCATACCTCTTAGCCAATAGCGGTGGCAGATTTAAATTCAAATACAGTGCAGAATTTTTCCCTGATGACGGCGCAACACTGACAGTTTTAGGCAGAATATTTGAATTTTAACCAAGATGCACTGAACTGCCAAATTATTGACTACATGTGTCTGCAGCACGATTAGACACTCCTTTATATAGTTTATCAGCAAAAAAAATGTGATTTGGGGGTGACTTGCTCTTTAAACTTTGCAAAAAAATGAAACTGTTCAATTTTTTAGGCAGATTTTTTTTCCGCTTAAAACCCCCCCAAAAATTTTCTATATTTAAAGAGCAAGTCACTCCGAATCAACATTTTTTTGCTGATAAACTATATAAATGAGTATCTGATCGTGCTGTAGACAAGTGTAGTCAATAATTCCGCATTTTAGTGCATCTTAGTTAAAATTTAAATATTCTGCCTAAAACTGTCAGCGATGCATTGACTATTGGCTAAGAGGTAAACTATGATGTCAGATGGTACATTGTGATGTCACAATGTCGTGAGTGTGTGTATTTGTTAGCGGCACCACCCTCTCGGTCTGCTAGGCAACAGCATTTGTTGCATTTTTCAAACAGGAAGTGGGAGTTGAGTAAGAATCTGGTAGGGGGTGACTTGCTCTTTAAGATATTACCTTATTTTAAGTAGTGGTGTTTTCAGACACGTTTGATTTTCTTGTTGGATTAAAAATAAGAGAAAATGTCTAAAATAAAGGCTTTTTTTACTTTCTTGTAAAATCAGTTTTTGTAGTGTAATCAGCAGGTTTGAGCAGAAGTATTTATTTAAAATTCCGTACAGGAAGTCACCTGCAACTAGGAAACTAGCAGGTATCCATCGCTAGGGAACGTTGGCCAATCAGATTCCACGTTTTCATATTTAAACTCTTTCACGCAGACATGTACTCACCTCTGTTGTGTGCTGTCTTTCAGTCTGAATTACAGTTTTCCCAACCGTTTTCCTCCATTACCACAGCCGACGTGAGCACATGCACATGTACCTTGCTGATTTTTACAGTTTTGTTTCTAGACGTGCGTTTTGATAATCTCCTGCAGGCATGGACTCCTAGACTCGTTACTAAAGTCGAGCTCTTCACACGTTTGCCTGAGACGGATCACTGGTTGCTGAATGCTCATGCTTTGGATCACCTGATCTACTGAAAACAATCTTTGCCTAATGCCATGTGACGCAGTGAATCTTTACACAAGCGGAAAGTTGCTGAACCTTCTTGTTGAAATCGTTTAACAGATATGATGTCTTTAATTCTCTCTAGTAATGCTCACTCTCCTGCTTTGTCCTCACATCTGTCCTGTCTCATTCATTCATCCATCTTTTATTTTTCTGTGTTTCTGTTCCATTGCGTCCTCTTTTGTCTCCCTTCCTCTATCCACCTGTTTGTTGCCATGCTGTCAGGAGGACCCTCTGGCTCCCGCGACCTCTGACCCCCAATCGCTCGGTGTGTCGGGGTCATCGGGAGGCGGAGCAGGAAGTGGAAGTGATGAGGAGAGCTCAGGGAAGGCCCAACCGAAGCGTCTCCACGTCTCCAACATCCCTTTCCGCTTCAGAGACCCGGACCTTCGCCAGATGTTTGGGGTATGGAGTTTGGAGCTAGACGTTGTTCAGCCCTTCACACTAAAATGCTTAAACCATTGCTGTCGCATTATTTTAACACAATTTTTGTGAAATTTGCAGCAATTTGGCAAGATCCTTGATGTAGAAATCATCTTCAATGAGAGGGGGTCAAAGGTGAGCCACAAGGAGACACTATCAGATGATCTGGAGGGATTTTATTTAATTTTTCTAATGGATCCATTTAAAAACATGCAGGGTTTTGGATTCGTCACATTTGAGAGTGCCTCTGAGGCCGACCGGGCGAGAGAAAAGCTGAATGGAACGATCGTAGAAGGGAGAAAGATCGAGGTGAAGGAAGATCTTTTGTTTTTGTAGTTCTCTCCACATTCAACATAAAAAAAAGCATTTTTCTAATCTGTTTAAAGGTGAATAACGCCACTGCCAGAGTAGTGGCCAAAAAGCCGCAGACTCCTCTTGTAAACGGTGACATTTCAAGTAAGAAATGCAGATGTCGTCCGGTTTGGTTATGACCTTTGACCCAAAGATAAACGAGGCAATAATGAATGTGTTGTTGTGTCATGGCAGCTTCTGGGTGGAAGATCAACCCTGTGATGGGGGCGATGTACGCACCTGAACTTTATACAGGTGAGTAAAGGCTCATTTTAAAGCCTAGAAGGGACAAACGGGTGTGACGGTGGCAGAGGAGTTAAGTGCCTACCCTGTACCTGCAGGGTTGCAGGTTTGAACCCCGTCTGTTTCTATACTTAACCCCCTTGCATGCCGATGGTGGTCAAAGGAACCGGTGGCCCCTGGGTTCAGCAGCCTCTCCTCCATCAGTGTGCACAAGGGCAGCTGTGGCTACACCGTAGCTCATCACCACCAGGGTGTGAAGTGACTGGTTGTGTTGTAAAGCGCCTTGGGGGGTTCTAGAACCCAAGAGGGTGCTATATCAAAATGAGGCCATTCACCAGTTAGCTTCACAGGGAGTTGACTCTTGAGTTTACCTGTTTCTTGTAGTGGCCAGTTTCCCGTATCCTGTGGCGGCTCCTACCTTGGCCTATCGGGGCTCTGCGCTGAGGGGGCGGGGCCGTGCCGTCTACAACACCATCCGGGCTGCAGCGGCCACTCCTGCTGCTGTGCCCGCCTACCCTGGGTAAGACCCTGGATCCTGACACTTCTGTTCTTTGGAGATGCTGGGGATTGAACCCAGGACCTCTACCACTGAGCTACATCCCCTGCTGACATCTCGTGATTCCTTTAGATCAGGGGTCGGGAATCCTGGTCCATCGAGGGCCGCTAATCTGCATGTTTTAGTTGTTTCCCTGCTTTAACACACCTGATTTTAATCAGCAGTTGAGTAAGAAGCTTCTGCAGAGCTCGATAAGCGGCTGAACAGATGAATCAACCTCTGAATCAAGAGGGTTGGAACAGGGGAACAACTAAAACACGCAGGATGGCGGTCCTGGAGGATCAGGGCTGCTGACCCTTTTTTAAAGGGGTCACAACTGAAAAATAAAAATCCTCTCTCAGCTTTCTGTTCTCATTTGTCTGTGCCGGGAGTCTGCCACCTTTGCAACACAAAGCTCCATTTTCCCCTCAGCCCGTGAAGAAAAAATTAAAAAAAAGTTTTTATTAATTTCTACGAAAGAAGATATGGACCACTTCTCTTTTTTCTCATATTTGTCAGTAAAGTCTGAATTAAATTAATAATTTTAGTCTTTTTCAGAGATTAAAGTCATAAAACATTGTTCCGTCTTCTATAAATATCTATTATAAGATTTTGTTTCATTTTGGAAAAAATACAATTTTGTTTCCATCATCAGGTATTAAAATAAAAAAAATGTTTTGATACATGATGAGGACATTTGGGTAAAAAAAATCACTACCGCCGTTCTGTAATGGGAATTAAATGATTCAGTTTGATTCCACTCAATCATTCCATCAAAAAATACATAAAATTGCTAAAACCTGCAGTTTTTCATCATAATTTTTAGCTGTAAGTTATTTGGAGTCATTGCGGAAGTTCCAACGAACTTTGTGGCTCCAGAGCTGCAGGTTGCAGACCCATACGCGCTGATGTTTATGTGATTTTTATTTTTTTGTTGTTATTCAGGGTTGTGTATCAGGATGGCCTATATGGAGCAGAAGTCTATGTAAGCAGCTGCATGTTGCTAACATATCTATTAAACAGTACTAATGTAGTATATTCTTGTGTTAAAGTATTTTTAATATTCTCTTGCAGGGTGGCTATCCTGCAGCTTACAGAGTAGCTCAGTCAGCAACTGCTGCCACAGCAGCATACAGCGACGGGTATGCAGATGAACACAAACACAAATCTGGATTATTATTACCAATAAATAAATACATATTTCTATAGTTTGTTCTGCTTTAAATTATTCATTTGCAGGAAAACATCAAATAACGTGATGATTTGAATTATCTAATATTTAATAATGAATTGAATCAAAATTATGAAATATGCTAATTCGTATGGAGTGCTGACACGGTGAAAAAGGGAAAGCGTCAGAATTGAACAGCAATATTTTGGGTCATAAGAGATACACTGTTAAAAATCCAACTTGCAATTTGTTTGGAGAGTTTAAAGTTTTAAGTCAGTTGAACGTTTTAACTTACAAAATGTTAAGTTAATACAGAAGAAACAGCACAAACAAGCACCTAAAAAGTTGACTGAACTTAAAATTGTATTGCAACTGGTTGCTTTACTTTTTTTAAGTTCACTGGACTTTTTTTACAGTGTAGAAATGAAAGTTCCCTTTTCAAAGTCATATTTTCACCGTGTCATTGATACATTTATAAATGTTAAAATTCTGAGATTAGCTAGAAGGCAAAATTTTTATCTTAGGCCAATAGGTAAATATGTGTTTAACAAACTAAATATTTCATTTGTAAAGTTATTATTTAGGTCAGAACTTAATATTTAGTTTACAAACAAAAATTGTTTTACCAACTAAATACTTATAATCTACATTTAGTTTGGAGATATACTATAAATATATAATTTGTTATTAACTAAAATGCTAGCGCCAAACTAAATACTAATTTTCCGAAATGTAGCTGTGACCTAAATTTTGAAGTGACTGGAGTTTGCAAATAAATATCGAAGTGTGACTTAAACATTTAGTGTTCAAACTAGATATTACAGGTAGAACTAAATATATGTAAATATACAGGTGTGTGTGTGTGTGTACATGTTATGTGTTTTTTATGTATTTTTATTCTCATTTATTGTAGTTGTATGTTTTAGAGAGTGAACATCTACCGAAGCTAAATTTCTTGTAAATGTAATTTTACTTGGCCAATAAATCTGAAATATTTAGTTACCAGCTAAATAATTAGCTCTGATCTACATGTTTAGTTTGGAGCTAAATATTTAGCTTGTTAACTAAATAAAGCATTTATTTATGGTGCTAGATATTTAGTTTGCTAAATAAATATTTCATTTGGAAAATAAATATTTAAGTCTTAACTCCTAATTAAATATTTAGCTTGCTAACTAAATATTTAGTTGGAAAAATGTTTAATGTATGAATGACATGGTGAAAATATGACTTTGAAAAACAATCTTCTCTTCTAACAGGCTGAACAACACAAAATATTGCTATTCAATTCTAACTTTTTGACTTTACAAACCACACCTCATACATTTGAAGCTAAAAAGTCAAATAAAGGATTTTTGTGACCCATTTAAGTCTTTTTAAACCAGATACGGACGCGTGTTTGCAACTGCTGCAGATCCATACCACCACTCAGTCGGACCAACCACCACATATGGAGTTGGCACCGTGGTGAGCAGAGTCCAAACAGCCTCTGGTTCTTGTAGACAAACATGTTTCACACCTGGTTGGTTCTGTCAACAGGCCAGCTTGTACAGAGGAGGATACAACCGCTTCACGCCGTACTGACAGGTTGCCGTGGACGACCTCAGAAAAGTGGACAAGGCCTCCTCCTAAGACAAACCAGATGGATGTTCTCCACCTTTAGGAGCTGCTCATCATCAGGAGGATGTCATTCACAGATGGCTGTTTTGTTGTTTCAGTGCATTTATGCTTCTCAAGTTAAATATGGAGATTTTTTTAGGTCTAAACACCAGTGTTGTGTGTGTTTGTGTGTGTGTGTGTGTGTGTGTGTGTGTGTGTGTGTGTGTGTGTGTGTGTGTGTGTGTGTGTGTGTGTGAGAAGTCACAGCTGAGACACCGAGTTATCATCACAACCTCTGAACTGCTGTTTATTTGGGTTTTATTATATTTTATTTCTCATTCTTATAAATCTACCTCTCATGTTTTTAGCTTTTCAAACAGCTGTTGGGTTGCAGGTCTCATGATTTGTTTTCTAATCCACCTTTTCTGCTTGTGTTTTCTAACTAACATGTTTTAGTTTACATCCAAACTTTTTGTCTTTGTCATAATTATTAAAAGTCTTTATTTTTTCTTCCTTTGCTGTCTTCTGCTGTATTTTCCGCTTCTTTCCATCAGAACTGTTTCTATTGCACTCCTTTTCTGCTTTGACTTTTATCTCTAAATAAAACTATTTTTCCTCTTTTTCTTGCATTTTTATTTATTTTTCATGTTTCCAGATTTTCCCATCTCACTTTCTTATTCCTGGGTTGTTTTTGTCTCATCTGGATGTTATGTCCAACTTAAGTACTCCACATAAAGGCGTTAGCTATGTGAAAAAAGTTACACAATATTAATAATTTGTGAGAATTTACCTGGATAACACTTTACAATAACGGTCCCTTTATTAATGTTTATTAGTGCATTATTAAGCATTAATAAACAAAGGATCTCTTATTAGCGTCTGATATTAACTATTAAGTGTCCTTAAGATTAGGATAAAAGGCCAGGAGGGGGGTCTGCTTGGTAAAACATCTTTTAATATTAACATTATTATTGAGTTGTTAATACTGTATTTAGTAAATTATGTACTAAGTAACTTTAATAAACGGACCCTTATTGTAAAGTGTTACCAATACAGAAGATTAGTTCAACAGCTTTTAAGAAAATCTTAAGAAACTAAAACAACCTTGTTTTTGCTTTAATTTCACTAATTATATTTTATCACTTCTAGTTTTAATTTGATCTTTTCTCCTCTGCACCACTTTTCTCCATGCATGTTTTCTTGCTTCAGCCTAATTATTCTACACTTTCGTCTCATCTTTACTTTTATTATAACATTTCCTCCTTCCTTTCCTTTTCCTACTTATGCGGTTTCTTATCGAATTTGAACTTTACAGGTGGAACTGGAATAATGAGATTATATGGTGTAAAATCCTTTTGTCAGTAATCCAACTTAGACTGAGAGACCATCTAAAGGCTCAGGGACCCTTTGCAGATGAGCACCGCTGTTTTCAAAGATCTCAAGATATGAAATTAACACAATTAACCAACTTCTTCCTTGTGAATTTGATGATCCATTAATAAATAATGTAAACCAGGTGCAGCTTATTCCTTACTTTTATTCATTCAATAATTTACACAATATTTACAAAAGAGTGATTTATTATCAGATATGTACAGGAGTGGGTGGGTGGGTGGGGGCTCACTGCTGCAGGTAAACCTTTAGCTTTAGTTGTAAACAAGCTGCAACACAAACTATTAAATCACTGCAGATGTAACGATACTTACTACTCAGAGTGACTAGCTGCAAACAAACACGTCTGACTTCAAAGAAAAACAACGGGAAAATAAATGCTTGTTAGGAGGCGAGAGAGAGAATCATGCAGGAGGAAGAGGATGAGAAAAAAAAAATCCAAAATTAAGTTTAGGTAAATGGTAGAAAAAAATAATAATTAAAGGAGGAAAGTTGAAAAACTTTGTGTCAAGGAAAGAGTTAAAGACCAATGAAACAGGAAGATGGGAGCTAACTGAAAACACAGGAAAATGGCGGCGCTGGAGGGAGAAACGATGGAAACAAGGTTAGTCACCTACGGGTGAATTCTTATGGAAATAAGAAGCATCACAAGTACACGGGCTAACCTCACGGCAGTCTAAATACAAACCGTCTCAGTTCTGATCTGCATATCCAGACATTTGTTTAAATGAGACAAAACTTAGAAAAATAAAGTTCTGCGAGTAAAGAAAGCCAACAGGATGATTTCTAAGCAGTAAATGAAAAAAAAAAAAGTACATTTATAAAGAGGAGCTACAACAGGAGTCATCAGCAAAGTTCATGGACTTTTAAAACTGCGTCATTGCACAGAAACAATTTAAACATTCTAATCAGCAGCACTTTTCTTTTTCACACATTTCGTTCAGCGAGGCTTCCGCGTTTAACTGAGACTCGCTCACAGCTCTCTCCCTCCGGCCGGCTCCTGGAGGAGGTTCACCCACTTTTCACTCCGTGTGCTCCTGCAGTGCAGCAGAGCTACGAGCTGAAGAACGAGACGTGGTGGTGCATGGGAGGAAGGGAGGGGGTGGCAGAGGACAGGGCGAGATGGAGAGGAAAGAAAGGACACATGTTGAGATCACAGTCAACACAAGCTGATCAAAGACGAACAAAAACAAGACCAATCCGTCTCCCGGCTTCCTGTGGAGAGATCAACAACGCCAAGACCCAGACAGACATCTTTTCTTTATCTTCGGGCCAGAGCCTTTAACGCGCTACAGAAGCAAACCTCAGACGAGATCTACAGTCCAATCCAGATCTCGTGCTCGGATTATCTGCATTCACGAGAATGACTTACATAAAGCTAAAAAACTCAGAACTTACCCAAGTTCAAAACAAAAACACATGAGAGGAAAAGACATCTGTAACAGGAAACGTGCTGATGATGGTCTGCTTCCATCAAATACCCGAGTTTAATACATCACTTCCTGTCTGCTGCAGCAACTTTGCTGAGGTATGAGGAACAAAGCCAGCCTGCAGATACTGGAGCTGAAATCTAAACCTGAGAAAACCGATGTTCTTCAGCCAATCACCACCGGTGCTACCCAGTAAATACTGTTTTTGTTCCACGTAGCAGCGTAAACTCCACAGGGTTTATAACGATGAGGGAAACGCACATTTATTTTATTAAATTACCATCAGCTTAGCACTCATTTAGACTGAAAGTCTAATATAGTCAGGGATTTTAGAAGATTGCTAAACTGTCGTGGGAAATTTTCCATGTTTGCTCCTTAAATCCCGACTAATTCCACAAGTTTTTCACCATTTTGTTAAAAAATAAAAATAAAAAAAGGCCAACATCACAGAAAGTGAACTGAGTAGAAATTAAACGTGATGCAACACTAAAGAGGAAATGCGAGGCTCCATCCCTTCTGCGCCATCATCCATCTCTTTCCAGAAGTCTCTTTCTTACCAGCCTTGCAGACGTCGGACCCAGACGCAGAATACAAACCAACCGGTTCTTCTTCCCGATGGTTTGGGTTTTCCCTTTGATGCTTCCTCGCTCTGCAACTCGGGGAGGACTTTGTCGCTGTGCTGCTGGACTCCAGGTGCAGGCAGGAACTTTTACCTGAGGCTGACGGAGGCAGAAACCCACGCTGCCTGTTGTTACTTCCATCCAGGAGAAGCTCCACTTCCAGAAAAACGAAGCTTTAATCTCAATGAAGAACACTTGGAAGCAGAGTCAATGCCCACCGTACTCAGACTTCTCACCAGGGCTGGAAAACTATTCTTTATCCATGACCAGCAGAGACCTCCAGCCTCAGTCCATCTCTGTTAGGAGCCAACTGGAGATACACGGCATACAAACCACCACGGGTAAACTTCTGGCACCTTCTCAAGTCTCTAAAAATGAAGATCGGTGCTGATGTGATTCTGTAATCTCGAAATGGGAGACAGACGGACGAGGAGCTGTTTGAGATCTCCTTTTCAATGGCAGGACTTGAATCTTCAGGTCGGTAAGCTGCTGACTTGAGGGAGGAAAGAAACATAGCAGAACACCGTTAGAGCTAAAATCTGTTTGGGGGAAGGGAAAGGGGACCTCCCTGATCTGGATCTGACTTCTCAGTACTCAGATTACATAATCCCAAACTATCCTTCTCTTTGAAGGCTAATGAGGTGACTCGTCCCTTATCTTCCTGTGTCTGAGTCAGAAAACAGATTACTCTGTGTGTTCCTGCCTCTGCTCTATCTCAAGTGTGGTGCTGTGAATAAATGAGGGTCCCGTAAGACTCTCCTCACTGAGCTACCCCCCCACGCCCCTCAGGAAGCAGCCAAAGAGGCTGTGCTGGTTTTGCAGTCTATCTTTTGTGGGTCAGAAGGGGTGAAGGTGACACCTAGACCGATTAAAAAGGTCATACAGGAGTCTAAACACGGGAAGCCCAGGGTTTTCTGCACACACTGCACTGGCAGGTCAGGCCTGAATCTGGAGAGGGAGGAAGGAAAATGCCTGGATTAGCACAAAACACTTCAGATGATGAGAACGCTTTCTGGAGCGTAGCTTACGTTTTGACTATTGCCCGAAGAGCGACTTTTCGTTCTCTCTCTACAAACTTGTCAATGAGATAGGAAGCCATGCGCGGGGCTTCCTGGTAGAGCTTAAAGAAACGCTGATAGTTCCCCAACGCCCAGGCAGCGCGGAGCGCAAGAGCGTGGGCCACGCACTCATCCCGCCGCAGCGCTGGGGTCAAATAAACCAACTCGGTGATGAGGTCTGAAGGGAAAGACGGACAGCCAACATGAAACCACTTCAAAGGACTTCCTGCTTTTCTAAGGACCTCCGACACAAAGCTCAAGGCTCACCTCCAGAGTTTTTAGTAAAGATGTAATATAATAATCTATAAGCTGTGAACTCTCCAATGTTCTCGGAGGGATTGTCCTTGTAGAGGGCCTTCAGCTGCGTCTGGCACTGGTTGAACTCCTCGTGGTCTCCCTGAAAACAACATTCGGTTAGAAACGATAAAATAATGCTACGGCTATGATCGCACAACAGCACGAGTCACCTTTTCCAGGGCAATGCGAGCATGACACTCGTACACTTCCACTGTGAAGTCGGTACGAACCCCTTGGACCTAGAAAATGAATGAATACAAAATTAGCACAAACACCAAAGAGAACCGCGTTAGCCAGGTGGATAAAAACACCAACACCAACCGTGAGGTCCTGACGTATGGACTTCATCTGCTCACAGGCGTAAGCGTAGTCCTGGTGGGTTTTCCAGTGGGCCTTCACCGCCTGCAGAGACTTCCTGAGCACCTGCAGTGAAAAGCCAAATCAAGTAATGGAACTTCTTGCTCTGCCTTTTATTTGTGAGCAATGTGAACAGACAACACCCCCTCCCCAAAAAAGGAACACCACTTTGAGTCGATAAACAAAAATCCTGGGATTTCCGAAGTACTGCGATAAATGATCTGCCTCAGCTGGCAGCGCGTTACCGAACCAACCCGACAAGCTTCTAATCAGAGAAACAACCAAGAGAGAATCAGCAGCCGCCTGCGGTCTTAGAAAACATTAACCTCTCTTCTAAGATCCAATTAGTGTTGATATAAACCAAACAAATCAAATAAGACATGTGGCTGAAAGTACGAAGGTTTGGTAAAAACTAGGAATGAGCGAGTACACCACCATCTGTATCTGTACTCACTGGGTAGGCCTATCAGGATCTGCTCTGGAGTGGTTCTCCTCTTATCTCTCGGAGCGCTACTTTTCTGTGGCGGTCTCCAAGTTTAGGTCCTCCACCACCTCTCTTACCCATGGTGTCCCACAAGGTTCTGTGCTGGGGCCTCTACTCTTCCTCCTCTATCCGCTTCCTCTTCAGCTCATCCTGAGCTCCTTCAAAGGAATCTCCTACCATCTTTATGCAGATGACATCTAACTGTACATCTCCTTTAAGCCCCATGATTCAATTCAATTCAAAAATCCTTTATTAATCCCAGAGGGAAATTGATTTAAGATGTCTGTGAGACATGATGAGATGTCTAAGCTGCAGCTGTTACACACCTGCTTAGACTCTATCAAAACCTGGATGGCTGGGAGCTTTCTTCAGCTGAATGAAGATCAGACTGAGATCCTCATCTGTGCCCCAGACAAGCTGGTTCCCAAAGTCAGAGACTCTCTTGGTCAGCTTGCTTCTCACACCAAACCTTCTGTCAGGAATCTTGGCGTGACCTTTGACCCAGCTCTCACCCTGGATTCTCATGTCAGTTCTCTTGTTCGCTCTTCCTTCTTCCATCTCAGGAACGTTGCTAAGCTGAGTCCCATTCTGTCCCGCTCTGATCTTGAGACAGTTCTCCACACCTTCATCTCCTCACGCTTAGACTACTGTAACTCTCTTTTCACGTGTCTGAGCAGAACCTCCCTGAACCGTCTACAGGTGGTTCAGAACACCTGTGCTCGGCTTCTGACCAAGTCCTCCAAACACACCCACATCACCCCGCTTCTCCTCCAGCTTCACTGGCTGCCAGTCAACTTCAGGGTTCATTTCAAGATCCTGGTTCTGGTCTATAGGGCCTTACATGGACAAGCACCATCTTACATTGGTGATCTTCTTAGTCCCTACACCCCCAGCAGGTCCCTGAGGTCCAGTGATCAAAGCCTACTGGTTGTGCAGCACCAGGCTAAAGGTCAAAGGAGACAGATTATCTGCTGCTGTGGCCCCCAGACTCTGGACCTCTCTCCCCCTGAGCCTGAGATCAGTGGACTCAGTGGTCTCCTTTAAAAAGCAGCTGAAGACTCACTTGTTCAAGCTGGCTTTTGTATGACCTTCTTCACCTCTCTCTCTTTATTCTGCTCTCCCCACCTATTCCACCTTCCTCAGGATCCACTGATTTCCCTCTTTCCTGTTCACTCTCTCTCTTTCTCAACTTTTTTTTAATCACAATTGTCTATTTTTGCTCATTTTAAATATATTTTTAAACATTTTCTAAATGCTTTTTTATATTTTTTGTTTTTGTGAAGCGCCTCGTGATTTTTATCTTGAGAGGTGCTATAGAAATGATCTTTTCTTCTTCTTCTACTCGGAGTGGGCGTGGCATAACCTGGAAGTGGGTGTGGTTTACATCAATACACTATTTTAAGTCTGAAATTGATATGGATTGATCCTAAGTTGCTATGTGTGTTCATTTAAAACTTTTTACAGAGCAGCCTCAGAACTGAGATTAAATAGTTTTGATCACAATAGTTAAGGAACCATTACAGAACAAGTTTTTCAGTAAAATCAGAACATTAATCAGGGTTTCCCCCAGAAAATAAGGTAAGCCTGGGGGATTCTGCAGTCGGGGGGGGGGTGTTCCACATGTTCCGCTGCTGTTTCTCACCAGTATCAGCTGATGGAGGACTCTACTTTCGCTGTGCCGTTCGTGTCAGCTGACACGATAGGGTCGGGGAGGGGGGCATGGCACTTAGCCTGGCGGGTCGCCAGGCTTATAAAGCGCTGGGGGAAACCCTGATTAATATTGTTTAAGTGCATGAATTAATACATCTGAACTCATGCAGTAGGAACTAGGAAATATGAAATACTAGAAATAGGCAACTTTTTTATTTTAATTTGATTAAACAGATTTTTTTTTAAACGTTCTTGGCATTTGTGTGAGAGAGCGAGAGAGAGAGACACGGACGACCGGAGGCAGTGACCGACGCAGCACGAGCCGTTTTCAGCTCCGTCTTGTCAAATGCACCACGTATATTACGAAAAAATTAACTTTAGATGTTCAACCGAAAGAGGCGAGCTGAAGAAAACCTAGGGAGTTCTGAAGAAACGTGAGCAACAGTGAAGCAATCACAGAGATCCGTTACTGTCTGCGTGTGCGTGCGTGGATGGGCCGGACGGACTGAGCTCCTGGCTGCAGAGTTTTGTGTGTAGGGAGGGGCAGGTGCTCTATGACCGGCCAATCACAGAGCACGAAGACAGTCAGGATTTTCCTTCAGCACGATTACTGATATTTACGAGTTTTACTCGTTTCATACTCGTATTCGTCAAAAATGCTTTATCCGTACCGGATACTCGTCTGAAACGAGCATCCGGCTCAACCCTAGTAAAAACCCTCTTTAGACCCAAGAGGACAACAGAGAACCTTCATCTACATGAATAAAATGTCACCTGAATCAAAATAAGTGACCTAAACGGATTACATTCAGTCTTAAAACTGTGTGGCTGATGACCAAAAACCATCTGATGAAGCTGTCAACTAAAAAATAAAACTACCTGGACGGGGCGCACAGTAGATGAATCGGGGGCACAGGTGAGCCTCAGGTAGGGCTTTGTGATGTCCTGACACGACCCCACGATGGGACAGTCCTCCCAGCTCAGGTTCTCCTGAGTTCCATTAGGGAGGTCCACAGTACTGATGGACAGAACCAGTGGTTCTGAGCGAAGCTGCTTGTGGAAACGGGCCGCTCTGTTCTGCTTCTTGGCCTCCCTGTTGGGATCGTGGAAATCCAAACCGGCATTCCCTCCTTTCCTCTTCTTAACAGCGGAATTAGAATCCTCCATATTTCTGAAAGATAAACACAAATCTTGTTTCCCACTCGTGAAAATCAGCAGCAGATGATTCAAATCTTTTAGTATTTACCGCCTTCCTCTGTTGGATTTTCCTCCTCTTCCTCGCCCTCTCTCACCACCCCCACGTGCTCTATCCCGATCGCCCCCGCGACCGCGTCCTCCTTTCTGATTTCGCCTCGACGGCTGAGGCTGTAGGTCACTGGAGATGCTGCTGTCCGAGTGTGAGCCGGAGTCACTGAAAGGGTAGACGATAACGCTGTAGACACAAATCCACCCGATGCCCAAAAGAGTCCAAACAAAAGGGGCGGGATCTGAACCGTACCTGCGCCGGTGTCTTTGGTTGCTGCGGTCTCGGTGTCGGCTGTGTGAAGGCGACGGGGAGCGTGAGGAGGATCGGGATGAACTAGAAGATGGACTCCTCTGAGAGAAAATGTTCCTGTAGTGGCCCAATCTGTGTCCGATACCTCTGCCTCGAGCGGCGGCTGCTGCACCTCCACCACGGCCAACTGAATTATCCGACGCTCGCTGGGGAGGAACAGCTTCCCATCTAGACTGCTTCAACTTAAATCTACAGAAAAACAACAACGTTAAACGACAGACATCCTATGAAGGACGACCCAAAACGATCAACTTTCCATCAGTTATCTCTCTCAGACTCACTCTGGTAACGGCTCACGGGTCCAGTCTATGGTGTAGGCAGAACCATCCTTTAGCCGCTCCTGCAGGACTTCCTTCAGCACCTTCTCTGTCCGATCTTTGTCCTCCTCCGTCTCACAGGCTGTGAAACAGCGCTGCACATATTCCTTCATGGCTTGGGGCCAGTCTTGGGGTCTGGAGACCAAGAATTTGAAGTCAAAAAAGTTTAAAACAGCACGAGGAACATTTAAAAGGACGTAGGGTTGACATGTTGGTTCTCACCGTGTCTGAGCACCTCCAGGAGCAGCACCGGCCGCGGCTGGAGACAAAGGTGTCTGATTTAACCCTGGGGGCTGCTCGTTTGGTGGGAAAGCCTGGTTGGGAGCTGGGGCACACTGAACCTGATAGGGCCTCTTGGAAATGTTAAACTTCACGGGAGCCACCCCTGGTGCCTCTACAAGTGTTGAAACAAACTTTTATTTTCTTAACAAGTTGAAAAGGATAAAAGCAACGACTAGCATTAGCAGCTAGGAGAAATGAGGCTCTTAAATAAAATGTTTAACACACAAAACGAGCAAAAACAGCTAATCTTACGTTTCATGCGGTGCCAGAGCTGCTGGCCCTGTTTCTGGTTTTTGTTGGTCTCTCCCCGGCCCAGTCCTGGTAAGTACTGGTTCTGCAGCTGCTGGGAGTTGTTCTGAGAGGACTGGTAGTTGTTTTGGAAACCCTGAGTGTAGTTTGGTCTTCCCGGGGAATGGTTGTAGACTTGCATTTGACTGGGGTCACTGGTTGGGTACGTCATGGTGTTGTTGGTGTTGTAAGCGTTTTGTGAAGTTGGAGGGTGATACTGGGAATTGGGTGGAGGGGGGATGGTTGGGGGTGGGGGAGGTGGGGGGTTCTCTGGGGTTGTTGGGCTCTGGGGTGGTTGTGGAGCAGCAGGTGGAGGTGGTTGAGGTTGGGAAGTGTAGCTGGGGGTCTGGTCTTCCATTCCAGGCACCGGGGGAGGCTGTGAAAAACAGGATTTGAACATTACAAGAGAATGAGCACCAAAATGTCTACTCATGCTGACAAATAACTTAGTTACTACTTATTCCTGATGCTGTGTACCTGGCTGGAAGTTGGAGTTCCTGGATATGGTCCTGGTGAGACACCATACTGACTTGGTGGATATGCAGCTCCATACTGGAAGTAAGTAAAAACTAGATATAATTTATGTTTAACTGTAAATGACTTTAATAGGAATCTGACACTAATGTGTGCACATATAAGGCAATACCAACAACAACAAAATCGAACTCGTTATGCAAAGTTCGTTTCAGTTTTACGGGAATGTTATTGTTTTTGGGGAAAGCTTGGGCCCGCTGTACACACATGCTCATTCCCGATGACTGCCCCTTTCTGCTGCCTCGTTTACAGGTGCAGCAGCTGTAAACCAATAATAATAATAATAATCCGTTTGCTCAGAGGATGGCTGTCAGAGCTGGAAGGAGCCACAGAAATGTGGCTCAGAACGGCCCATCTGTTTTCAACAACAAAAACTAATTTAGGAACTTTCATGTTCAACAAAAACAGAATTTTATTGAACCAATAAGAATTTATGAAAACGCAATCAAGCCCAAAAGTCAGGACAAACACTCAACAGTAATAAAATGTTTCCAAATAAATCTATTTGGGGCGACGGTGGCACAGGAGTTAAGTGCTCGCCCCGTAATCGGATGGTTGCAGGTTCGAGCCCCACTCAGTCTGTCGCTGTCGTTGTGTCCTTGGGCAAGACACTTAACCTACGTTGCCTGCTGGTGGTGGTCGGAGGGACCGGTGGCGCCAGTGCTCGGCAGCCTCGCCTCTGTCAGTGCGCCCCAGGGCAGCTGTGGCTACATCGTAGCTCATCCCCACCAGTGTGTGAATGTGTGTGTGAATGGGTGAATGACTGATTGTGTTGTACAGCGCCTTGGGGGGTTCCAGGACTCTAGAAGGCGCTAAATCAAATACAGGCCATTTATTCCTAGCAATGTTGTGAAATAACCAGCTCAGCAGCCTAGTGGTACGAGTGTCTGCCCTGGGAGATTGGGCTTCAAATCCCGGTCGGGTCCTTCCAAAGACCTTAAAAATGTGACCCAATGCCTCAGCTATAAAAGGTTGGACTGAGGCGTTAAACCACCAAATAGTTCCCGAGCAGGGACGTGTCTGCAGCTCACCGCTGCCCAAGGCGATGGGTCAAATGCGGAGGACAAATTTCACCACACACCAGTGTGAGACAACTGATGGGACTCCAATCTTTAAATTCTGATGGCGATAATGTGTTATTTGTAAACTTACAGGTCCCATGGGATAGTAGTAGTTGTAGGGGTATGTGTAACCAGGATAATGCTGCGGAGTTTGCTGGTACCATGGATAATATTGCTGCTGGGAAATGGCTGCAGAGTCTGCTCCAGGCTGAAACTGGGCTGTCTGTAAGTACAAACATATAAACGTTTTCAGTGATAGGAGAACAAAGAAAATAGCCTAAATATGAACCAATAGAAACGCAGACCTCTGCTGTGGCTCTGTTGTCTTGTGCAGACTTAGAAGAGGACTGGTTCTTGTTGATAGATGCAAGCGCTTGTCTTGCTTTCTCCCATTCTGGATTTTCATGGGCATGGCTGTCTCCAGAAGGCCCATAAGGCCTGAGATCAATGTAAGAAAACACATCATGGTTGCTTTAGGGACTACTTTGAAAATTATAATAAAAAAAGAGCAAAAAAGTCATAAAGATTATAGGAAATCTCCCTTAAGCATTTATGTCCTATAATACTTTTACACAAAGTGTTTCATCTGGCTGCAATTATTTGAGACAAACGTAATAATTTGCCATCATCTTTAAATAAAAATGATCCAATTCCATTTGGTTCGTCGTTTAAGGGCACATTATTAAAAATTTAGCGGCATCACACCTGTTCTGAGCGAAACATTAACTTAGGATGATTTACTTTTATTATGTGAACTAAATGTTAAAATATTCCACCCCACCCATCCCTTGATTAACTCGTATGCTGACATTTACATTATTATGTTTATTCTCATACTAAAACCACAATCAGTAAATAGTTTGGGGTTCAATTATTTTGTTGCCCGTTTCTTGCGTCATTCGGCGTTTATTTTTAGCTATATGTAAAAATAAATACGTAAGAAAAAGCGCTTCTTATGTTCAGGTCATATAATATAATACGTCCACAACAACTCGTAAAAGAGGCTAATAGTTCCACTACATCAAGACCTTTTAAAATAATTTAAACGAAACATTTTAGCTAGGTGAACTCGTCTGTACATTTAGCAAACCTACCGTTTTTCTCATCGTACATAATTGACACATTAAATAGATGACATTAACACGAGTAATCGTTCGTGTCGTGTCTCGGGGCCACCTCTATCACACAGAGACCGTTTAAAATGATATTCACGGTTCTTATTTTGAAGAAAACCACCAGCTAACGTCTTTAGCTTTCTACTCGCTTCAGCGGCCTGCTCGCCGTAAGCTAGCAGGCCTAGCTTGTCTACACCCATCTGAACTGGTGTTTTGTGCAATAGGTTGAAACTGACATGTCAAATATGTATATATAAAACATACAATATTACCTCTAATTAATTACATTTAATACCAGAATGTAAGGGGGTGAATTACCAGTTTCCTGTAGGGGTTGCTTGGGCCGTGTTGGCCGCCATTTCACTACAGGTTAGCGTCTGAACACTAACGCCAGGAAAGTTGCCAGTTAACTGGCTAAAGAAAAACTAGCCTGTTAGCTCCAACGTAAAGGGTAAACAAGAGTTAACCCAAATCAACCTGTATAATTTACAAAACCGACAACCAACGCACCAATAATTCCATACACCTAAACAAAGAAAAGTATTTTAACACACATCAATGCTAGTGCAATGGTAAGATAAAATAGTCAGCATTTCAATATTTGCTTCTTCTTCGACGCCGAGCTTCCTCTAACCGTCCGTCCGGACTACAGGGATACAAAATGGCTGACGAGCGAGAACGGCCAAGTTCTGTGGTGGAGACTTTATTTCCTGGGTAATGTTTTTCAGGCAAAGTTGACGTTTACACGCGGCTCCCGCTACCTGATCCACCTTCTACCCATCAGTTTTTAACTTTATGGTCAACTCGGAGCTCTTCTGACCTGTTTTTGTGTCTGCAATGCAGAAAAGGGCGGGTTTGTATTGCCTACAAGAATTTACCCAGGGCAAAAATTACAAAGTACACCACATATAAAAATCTACTTGATCTCTGATGTTTAGGACAGCACAAGAGACTGTCCAGTAGAAAGACAGCGCAGATTTGTACAGAAAATGTACATTTACATGTTAAATGGCCACCAAGACATGATAGCAAGAACTTATGTATTATTTGCAACATCTTATCAAAAAGTTTATCCAGTTTTTTGTTTTCACATGGAGATTATATATATATATATATATATATATATATATATATATATATATATATATATATATATATATATATATATATATATATATACACACACACACACATGTATTGAACCTGTCTTATCTTGTGCAGGTTGGAGATCCCAGCAGCAAACAAACACGTCAGGGTCCGCAGTCCATCACAGGACACCAAATTAGGCATATTTATGGTCACTGTGTGCATGTTCCTGGACTGTGGAGGGAAGCTAGAGTATACAGATGGGCACAGGGAGAACAAACAAACAGATAAAGTTCTGCATAGTTAAAACTTAAAGAGCAAGTCACCCCCAAATCAACTTTTTTTTCTGATAAACTATATAAATGTGTGTCTAATCGTGCTGCAGGCACGTGTAGGCAATAGTTTTGCACTTAAGTGCATTTTAGTTAAAGTTATCATTTTCTGCCTAAAACTGTCAGTGTTGTGCCGTTGTCAGGTAAAAACTCGGCACTGCAGTTGAATTTAAATCTGCCATCGCTACTGGCTAAGAGGTACCCTAGAACGTTAGCTGGTACCATATGATGTCACAATGGCTGTGTCTCAATTCAGGGTCTGCATCCTTCGAAGGACCCAGCCTACTCGGCCGACGTGGGCTGGGTCCTCCGTCGGCCGAGTTGACCAGATGTTAACGGCTGTGAATTTGGACAGGCCTAGCCTTCATGAATTCCCGCCCCTCCCTCGGCAAACGTTCCGTCGCCTGGCAACCGTGGAACCGCTGAGCAGAAGGGAGAAGGAACTTTAAACGATGGAGCTCGAAGTTTTATTTAGCTTTTTAATCATTTCCTTGACTGTTGGAGAGCGAATTCAGAGAAAATACTTTCGACAAGCTGAGCCTGACCAAAGATGTCATAATAATTTTTAATACTTTCTAAGGGTCTTAATTTGACCAAAACCGATTTGTCACCTTTTAAGACTTTTCAAGACCCAGCGGATACCCTGTAATGTTAAACAATTCTCATTTGTAAACAAAAATAAAATTCAAGAGTTTAATACAGAACTGATTTTATTTAGATATTTCTTTTATATGTACATGTTTAATCTTCCTTAACCATTTTTTTTCTAGCAAAGTAAACAGCCTGTCAAAATTCTCCCTTCTCTCCTGTGCCCTCTGCTGCTCTGCCTCCCTCTGCAGCCACAAGTCCTCCCTGATCAGCTCCAGAAGCTGGTCATCGCTGTCACCTTCCCCTGGATGCCCATTTTCTCCAGAATAGTCTTAACAAACATGTAAGAAAAGAAACAGGAAGAGAAAAGAGAACAACGGGTTATTCTCTTCATGTTTTCGCAGAAAAAAATAAACTCAAACGACAGTTTTTAAAATATGAGATGTTATTGTACCTCCATGCCACAGCCGCCGAATACTTTGCTCCAGTGATCATGTGGTCCATCTTCGCCCTAAGCTTAATAAATTCCCTGGTTTTCTCTTTTGTACCTAAAATGCAAACTCCCATTAAAATCAGGGGGAAAACGTAACGGGAGAAGTGCGACACCGAGCGGCCGAACACACGAGCCGAGACCGCAATACAAGCACTTACTGTAACATTTCTAACTAAAATAACGTTCATGTATCACAAAAAGTCCTTAACCTAACAGTTTAAGTTTATACTGACATTTATATGCGCAATCCCCTCCGACAGCTCCCGCTTCACTGTCCGCCATTGTTTTTAAAAGTTCTATGTCCAGCCCGCAAGGCATCTTGGGAAATGTAAACCACTGAAGGATACACCGGACCCATCCTTCATACAGGCGAAAAGAAGGCCAAATTCGTCGACCGCATTTGAAGGAGTCGTCGAATTGGGACAGGCCTGGTCGCGGCGCTGTGACGTAACCGGCCGACGAATCCGGCCGACGAAGGATGCAGACCCTGAATTGAGCCACAGCCTATGTCGTTGTGGGCCTGTGTGTGTGTGTATTTGTTAGTGGCTCCGCCCTCTCGGTCTGCTAAGCAACAACTTTTGTTACATTTTTCAAACAGGAAGTGGAAGTGGAGTAAGACTCTGGTAGGAGGTGACTTGCTAGCAAGCTACCCCCTACAAGAAATTTACTCCACTCCCACTTCCTGTTTGAAAAATGTAACAAATGTTGTTGCCTGGCAGACCGAGAGGGCGGAGCCACTAACAAATACACACAAAAAGGCTCGCAACGACATTGTGACATCATAATGTACCAGCTAACGTCACTGTGTACCTCTTAGCCAATCGCGGTATCAGATTTAAATTCAAATGTAGTTTTGGGTTTTTACCTGACTGACAACACTGACAGTTTTAGGCAGAATATTTAAATTTTAACTAAGAGTTACTAAAGTGCAAAATGACTGACTACATGTGTCTGCAGCATGAATAGACACACATTTATATACCAGCAAAAAAAAAAAAAGTTGATTGGTGGTGACTTGCTCTTTAAACTTGAGACCACCACACCACAATGAAGCCTGCTGCCGAAATTGCCCAGAAAAGTCAGAGCTTTGCTGTGCAAGCACAAACAGCTGTAAAATGTCCCACGTTTGGATTTGGGCTGGTTTGACTTCACTCCTTCAGCATTTATTTTTATTGTCTTCAAGATCTATAGGTCTTCTGGAGATCCCAGTTTCCTCTTTGCCTTCCTGCGAATCCTACAGCTGCAGGATGTCTGTTTGTGAGTATGTGTGTGTGTGGATCCCAGTGAGGGAAGGGGAGTCATTTCCTGTCAGTCTCTCCCACCAGAATCCCCCAAACACTCAAGTCAACAGATGCTTACAACCATTGCTGAATCATTTCGATGTCATTTGCTTCAAAAAGCAACAAGACACAAGTGTATTCTTGTGTTTTTGTTCCTATTCATGTACAGTCGGATCGTGGGAGAACACCTTGTTCGTGTCATTTTCTGTTTCTCCGAGTGACTGACAGCATGTGCATGCAGGATGATGACTATCTCGCTCACATTGTCTTTTCAGCTTCATCATCACACAAGTATGCAAAGCATTTTGTTCTAACAAATTACATAATGACTCAACACCCTGCACCATTGTCTGAATACTCAGATATTCAGTTTTTTTAACTGAAGGAAGGAAAGTACATATATGGGGTCCCGGATAAACATCCTAATATGTCGGCCCACATCCACGTTCTCTTCAGGATTCCTGACTGACTCTGTGGTAAACATGTTTAGCTTTATGAAGTAATCGTGCTGCTGCCGCCCTTTTAAAATACGATGATGTGAACTAGGTGGAGCCTTGTAAAGGGGTTTGATTTCAGCAACTGCGTTCCATAAATGTCAACATAATTACATCCTCTTTTAAACTCCAACCCTTGGTAACAGTTCTGAGAGTAATTAAAAGCGTTTGCTGTGCTCGTGTTGCCCAATCAGAGTGACAGGACCGCAGAGAAGCTGCCGCTGAGGCTTTCTACTTGCCAGCAATTTCAGGACTTTTGCAATCCTTGGAACATTTTTCATTCAAATAACTTATTTTATTTTTTTTACATGCAATTCTGCTAAATTTACCCTCCCTGGCTGTTTATGACATTCACTGGAGTAATTAAAGCAGGAAATGCTTCATCCTCTTTTATAAAAGCAGTGAAAGAGAAAGAAATAGAGGAAAACTTTTGTGTTAAAGTAGAAATATGACTTTTTTTCTTAAGTGAAATAGTTCTATGGCCAATAACGACATGTTTATTATTGTTTTTGCACTAAATCATTCTCACGTAGAGACTTCAGCAGCTTTATTCTTGACATTTTCAGTACCTTCCAGAATGAGCCCTTTCAGGGCTCTGTCACTTTAACAAAAGAAGCTGGAGCTAGCCACGCCCACCCATCGTCTGCTTAAGCCTAATTTATACTTCCCCGTCTGCGAGGGTGCGAACACACACAATGCCGTTATTTGTCGGTGCAAGGGCTCTTCTTCGACAGGCTGGAAGAGGGTGATGGAAATATGCCCAACTTATTTAATATCCAGCAAAAGCGACAAAAACTCCACGCTTACGATTGGTCAGGTCGTCACTTCCATTAAATTTGTCAACAGCATCGCATTGCCTATTCAGAAAATAAAAAGAGAGCTGAACATATCTAGAGACAGATGGAGCAGATTGAAGATTGTCTCGCGGAACAAAGTTTAAAAATATGAAAGTATTTACTTGTGACTGAAGGAGTAGCAGCAAGCGTTTTATCCGTGAACGGAAGTGATGGGAAATATCAGTTTAGAGGCTTCAACTGCATGAAGACGTGGAGGAGAATGTGGGACAAGTATGTCCGTGTTAAAAAGTCTCTGAAATACGTTAAAACTACATAAAGAAAATAGTAAATACACCATCTTGGACAGGACACATGACCATTTTGGTGAAAGAACTTCACAGAAAAATGCTACGCTATACTTTACAACACCCCCCAGGTGACGGAGAAGTCTGAAGGGAAAAAAATCTTCATCAATGTGTCTGCACAGCTCCCCACTCAAGCTGACAGAGAAGTATAAATCAGGCTTTAGGCTGCTATAAGCTTAGAAGCTCTGATATCTGGGAGGAGCTCCGAGTAGAGCTGCTGTTCCTCTTGCACATGAGAGGTGGTTTTATGCTCAAATGCTGGTGGTGGTCGGAGGGGCCGGTGGCGCCGGTGGCGCCGGTGTTCGGCTGCCTCGCCTCCGTCAGTGCACCCCAGGGCAGCTGTAGCTACATTGTAGCTCATCATCACCAGCGCGTGAATAGGTGGATGACTGATTCAGTTGTGAAGCACCTTGGGGGGTTGTAGAACCATAAGAAGGTACTATACAAACACAAGCTATTAACCTTTAACCCTCCCACTGTCCTAATGGGTGTGACCCCGCAAGGAAAGTTGACCATTGAGCAGGGTTGATGGTTTATCCCTCGAGGTCCACGTGGCAGAGGTGAGGTGGTGCTCACTCCTCACCCCTGCCACGTGGACCTCAAGGGATAAACCATCAACCCTGCTCAATGGTCAACTTTCCTTGCGGGGTCACCCATTAGAAAAAATTCCCTGATTTTGACATTGCAAATGGGGATCTTTGAAACAGATTGTTTTAGGCACATAATTCTTTGTACAGCTTCTGGGTCGCTCCTGTTAACTGGCTTTGGATCTTTACAAAACACTGCTGCGTTTTGCCAGATGGTGTCGATTTATAAATTCCAGTGCTGCAGCGTTAGCTGGCGCAGACTTGGCAAACCTGTGGACTCATAGACTGTAAACAGTGACCATGTCCATTGTTTAAATTATTTTCTAAACACTGCATAGTAGATTTGCTTTTACCTTTGTTGCTGACAAGTTCTGGCTGATGCTACTGGCTTAGGATCTTTACAAAACACTGCTTACTTGTCAGCAAAAAAACTTTGTTTAAAAAAGAATTAAAACAAAGGAAGGATTACACAGAATGAGCGTACAATAGATGTTCAAAGGGTCCACGTTCCTCTTAAGCTCGGTTTATGCTTGACACGTCTGCGAGGTCCGCACGGCTCCGAGCGGCAAAATTGCGTCATTTTAACAACCACGCCCCTCCACCGCGCCTCTGCACGGCCCAAACTTTCCGCACCGCTCACCTAGGAAATTTCTAACCACGCGGACGGTCAGACGTGGAAAAACATGGCAGACCGGCAAGAACTAGTATGGCAGAGGTTCGTAAATACAGACATTTGTATGATTCAGCGCTCAGAGATCACCGTGATCAACATGTTAATAATTCTTGGAGAGAAATAGCTCGCACTGTCAGAAAAGACGAGGACGCTGTTAAAAAATGCTGGAATGACATGTTGTAAACAGTAATTTTTACTTCTACTATGGTGTAGTGTTGGATGCATGCTGTAGAGCTCCATGCTGCCCCCTACAGTTTGGGAGAATATTGGCTCACCGCAGAGACAAGCCGCATGAACCATAAACGCTGCGAGTTGTGAAGCGCGTTCCATCCGCGAGCCGCATCACCAAGTGGAAAGTAAACGCATCAAGCATAAACCAAGCTGGTCAGTCCACGTTCCTGCCCTCGCCTATGGTCACGGGCTTTAGGTAGTGGCAACGCTCCAGCCAGCCATTAGACTGTTTTGGGATTATTTCACTGTAAAATTCTTACATTTTGCAACTTTAAATGGTACATGACTTGTATTTATACAGCACCTTCTAGGGTTCTACAACCCTTGCCCCCCCCCCCCCCCCCCCCATACAGTCATTCATGCACGCACACACACATTCACACTGGTTTTAATATTTAAATGCTATCAAATTATTTAAAGTCCTCATCAGATTTGTTAGTTTGGTACCTAGAGGTTATAATCTCAGATATAATCTCGAGTTCTTATTGAGTTTTGAATCAAACCATTTATTTATAAGAATTTCCAAAGTAAAATAAAAGCATGACTTGATTATACATCCATCCATTCTCTTCCGCTTATCAGTCGAGTCGCGGAGTCAGCAGCCTAAGCAGGGAGGCCCAGACTTCCCTCTCCCCAGCCACTTGGGCCAGCTCCTCCAATCCCAAGGCGTTCCCTGGTCAGCTGAGAGACGCAGTCCCTCCAGGTTGTCCTTTAGGTCTCCTCCTGGTGGGACGTGCTCGGAAAACCTCACCAGGGAGGCGTCCAGGCGACAACCAGATGCTCGAGCCAGCTCAACTGGCTCCTCTCGATGCGGGGAAGCAGCAGAGCTACTCTGAGCCCCTCCCAGGATGGGCTCTCTTCTCACCCTATCACTTGTATCTGCGATCTCGTTCTTTCGGTCACTACCCAAAGCTCGTGACTATTGGCGAGGGTACACATAGATTCACCAGTCTGCCTGTTGATCACTCCTCTAGGGCAGGACCCGATGGTCCCTGACCTGGAGAAGGCATTCTACCTTTGATTATACATTTTCATTAATTAAATAATAAAATGTCTTTCATCCCTAATTACACTTTGGCACATGGACACAATTTTCACTTTAGAAGTGGGGGGGGACAGGGGGGGGGGTGTCTTTACAGTATGCTCTAATGCAGGGGTTCCCAAATTGGGGGTCGGGGCCCCCAAGGGGGTCCCCACAAGATTGAAGGGGGTCCCAACAATTTTGTCTTTGCTAAGGTTGTGTGGTTAACAAGATTTCATTTGAAAAAATAACATTTATAAAATCCCAATAACATAATGACAGAACTCCAAATATAAGTTATACCTCTGTATAAAGATAGTAACTGGTCACATTTAATGTGTGTATGTGTGTAGGACTTGGAGTTGGGGGTCCTGGCTTGTCTTGGACACCAGCAAGGGGGTCCTCAAAGAAAATATTTTGGGAACCCCTGCTCTAATGGGAAACCGGCTTCAACACAAACGGTTGTTTTCTGCTTGGTCCTAGAGCTCAACCAGTGTCAATTTAATATAGCGTAATATTGTTTTTGGATGGTAAAAAGTGCAGGGGTCAAAACTTGACTTTGGAAAAGGGGGGGGGGGGGGGGAGACATGTCCCCCCTGTCCCCCCCCCCCCCCCCCAAATTACGTCCATGCTTTGGCACCACATAAAAATTCAAGTAAATATTCATTTGAGTTCAGGGTAATTTAGGCGCATCATATAAAAAACATTCATGGAAAACGATGCAGAATTGTTTCTCTCACGTTTTTAATAGAAGAAACAGATAAAGGTCATTTTAAAGTGTCTGTTGGATAATTGTGACTTGAACGCGTCTGGAGGATCGGTCCAGAGCTGCTGCGCCTCCGCGCGCTCCCCGGGCGCGTCACTTCCTCGGTCCATGCCCTTCCCTTTGGATAGCAGAAAAAAAAAAACCTCACACGGGAGAGCGACGGAGAGAAAACAGCGAGGGAAAAGTGGAAGAAGGAGGCGAAAGCGCAGAGACAAATGAAAAGGTCGTATTCTGAAGCGGAAACCAGGAAAAGACTAAAGAAATCGCTTTAAGGTGAGTTTTCCGAACTTTTCGCTCCGTCGAACCTGGTTTTGTTTTTTTTACCTGTGACCCAAAGGCACCACTCGCTGCTTTAAAACACGTCTGACGCGCGTTTGGACGGGTAAAATGTGCTGAACGCGCCTTTATTTTAGTCCTTATAAATTGTAATCATTATTAGTCTCAGAGGCTGGGCCTGAAAGCCCCCTCCTCTCCCACATTGAACTCTGATCGGTGGAATAATCCCTCTTTCGTCAGACATGAGTAGAAAACCTTCTGTGATCTTTACTTTTTATACCCTGCCCTTTTGGCCCCAGCTGGATTATCTCCTGACAGAAGGGACTTTTTAAAGCTCGATAGTTTTTTTTTAGAGAAGGTCTTGTTTTTGTCTCCAGACACCCTGAGGGGAGAGGAAAGTATGTGCTGAAGCTGCACACTGCTTCAAGTACAAGTCTCAGCACGGCCTTCACAGGCGGACCACAGCCAAAGAGCTCGTGGGTTTCCCACATTATTACACAATATGTTGAATTTTCTCCCCGTTCTCTTATCAGGAAGTTTCAGCAAGGCTCCGGAGTTGTGCCTCGTCTGCTTGCTCTCGTTTTTCCCGTCTGATGTTTGCTTTTTCTGTCCCCTCAACCACAGTTCCCTCTCCATCATGCCGCTCCATAAATCATCTCGAGGCTCTCGTCTGGATCCCACCATGATCTCAGCCCCTTTGGGGGACTTTCGCCACACCATGCACATCGGGAGGGGAGGAGACGTCTTTGGAGACACCTCCTTCCTGTCCACTGTAGGTCCCAGCCCCACCACTTCAGGTCCAAGCCCCACCACTTCGGAAACGAGCGGTTCTGGGGTCATCCCAGCTGCAGAACCTGTGGTGTCGGTCAACAACGGCGGTTTTCGTGCAGAGTCTCCTGTAGAAAATGAGCTACAGTCCTCCGATTCCATGTCTTCACTCACGATGGACCTGGACTTGGACCTGGACCTGGGCCCGTCCATGCTCGGGGATGTATTAGGGGTGATGGACGGTTTGTCGGTCGACTCGGACAAGGAGAACGTGTTCGGCCCCCAAAGTGACGCCTTCACAGTGGAAACAAAACAGGGCAGAAGAGTCACAGAGAGGTCTCTGAACGTGCAAAGGGAGATGAATGAGAAGAACTTGGATGCAAACCAGGTGGAAGGCAGCAGGACGCCGGACGAGAACGGATTCAAGCCCGCGGGGTTCCGACCAAAGGTGAGATTCAGCGACAAGCGGGAGGAGATCATTCGCCAGGCGTCTGAGGAGGAAGAGGGTCAAAGCTTTGACTTCCAGGGTGACCAACAGCTGGCATGTGACAGTCCACCGACAGGGGAGAGCGACTGGAGGAAGGGCGAATCCGAGTTCACCAATCACCGAGCAGATCTGCCCCCCAGCCCGTCCTCGTCAGACAGCTCGGAGTATGAAGGAGTCACGCCGCTGGACAGGAGGAGGTCCGAGAGCTGCCACTTAGAGACTGATTCAGACGAAGGGGACGAGGAAACGGGACGGGGATACACATTTGAAGACGAGTTCGACGATGAAATCGTTGTATAAACTTTGGCCGAACCTCGCTGCATTTGAATGTCGTCCGAACGGGAGACTTACAAACCAGACTTTATGGAGTTCTGTGGAAAGATTGACGAACTTTTGTAAAAGTGTCTTTAAACAACCTCAGTTTGGACAAATAGAGGTTAACTCTGATTGGATTGACGTGCTAATGGCTAGGTAAAGTCCAAGGTGGATTTGTGCCGTTCTAAAATAACCTAAACACAGCTTTATAAACGTTCATGAACCTTCTTCTTTAGTGACATTGAATTCAACGGCTACTTACGAGCGGCGCTGTTACGGTCGTGCTGTTTTGAGACTTAAGAAATCTTCTCTGGTCTTGGAATCGCTCAGGCCGCTCGATTTAAACCCCATTTCTCCAGACGAGGTTGTTGAAAGAGCTGCGACTGTCAAGATGTTTATTCTTCACTTCCCTCTCAGTAAATGCCATTTTGAAACGATCCCACTGAACAGGAAACATCCAGGTTCAAAATGGTCTTTCAAAACGGCAGGAAGGAGGTTTCTCAACTGGAAAATTCACCTTTTTTTATTTTATCCAATAAGTTAAGAAGTTCAGAAGACTTCTGAAAACCAAAAGGGCCTCAGATCATTTTGTAGCACTTTGGATTTCCTTCAGTCAGCTGGCAGCGTTGCTGCGTGACTCAGCCGCGGTCAGTCCGGTCTGAGGTTTTATATCTGAAGTGTAAGGTGTACGGTCGGTGCGGTTTCTTAAACTTGATCTCGTTGTGCCTTAAAGAGATCTACACGTCCATCGCTGCTTCGCTTAGCCCAGTAGAGTTGGTTCAAACCGGTCCTCAGAGACTTGCGTTGGTAATGAATTACTGTGAATTTGTCACATTCCAAAGCTGGTAATGTGAGGCCTTCTGCTCCAAACCACATCTAAGTGTAGTCCCCCCCCCACTTTACCAAAGCCATCTATCCTTCAGGCTCTGGGGATGGGTTGATACTAGAAGGAAAAGACAATCATGGGATTTAAAGGTCAACCCTATCGGGATAAGCGCGTTTTTGTGCACGCCGTCTGCCTCTGACACGGTTTGCCTTTTATTTTCTTACTAAATGCTGTAAAAGGGAGATGCTATTTTAGCTTTTGTCCTGAAAATGCTGGCTTAGACGTGTCCATTTCTCTGTTTAATTACATGCAATGAAAACAATAAACATATTATTGGGATTTGATCGTTTCTTCAGAATGCTTCCACTGCAGTTAAATTTGCAGTGGTCCCTGGTAGGATTTAATGCCTTGCATGCCGTACTCGGGGCAAAAACGCCCAGAAGCGCCTTATTTCCTGATATTTGGACATCTCTCCTCTGATTGGCTAACATCAACATGACTACCACTGACTGCAACGTTGATGTTTCATCTCCATAAATAACACAAGCCTGGAGGAGTTCTGCTGAGCTGAGTGGTGGAGTTGCTAATGCTAACGGTTAGCTTCTACTAGCAGAGACGTTCTCTGCTGTTTCCTGGACGCTAAACCAACAACAGCCTTCCCCGTCGTGAGGCAAGATGGGTGAGTCCATGAATGTTAGCGACGCTGTGACGTAGATCTGTCAGGATTTTCGAATCCTAGAGTTTCGCCGTCTGTTTTCTATCAGAAGCTAATGCAGGAGATAGGTGTAGGAGACTATTTTCATGTTCAGCCTGCATGAAAAACTAGCAGTCAGAATCAGAAATGACCATAAAAAATGGTTTTTCCAGGGATCCACACCTTTAAATATTAGAACAATGCTTGCTGAGATCTTATAGCATATGTTTAGATTTAATTGCTGAAGAACTGAAGTCGTCTCAGGGGATGCAGACAGATCATTTTTTTAACCATCAGAGAAAAACAAGTATAAAATTTAGTTTATTTATTGGTCAGGAAATTCCTAAAACACTCAAATCTGTAAAACATACAGAGAAAACGGTTAAATTGGGGCATTTTGTGTCTGTCGATAACAAAATGCTAAAAAGTTGAGCAGTTACTCACACAGCTAACTTATGTAAACGAACACAAGTTTTTCATTGCACACTTAATTCTCACGGAGGGAAATCCACCCAGACGCTACACAGATATAGTCCTGAACACGTTGAACCCCGAAAGCGCCGTGGAGATCATGACGCCGGGCATCTGCGGGTGCCAGTGGATCTCCTTGATCTCCGACTGACCCTGGTGAAGGAACAGCAGCTGAGGGGGGAGGTCCTTCACCCCGTCCACCCTGGCGCCCGCGTCGCACGACTCCACGGACAGATCCCACTGGCTGATGACGTCGTCAGCTCCGGAGGCGGCGAACATGCTGGAGTCTGCTGGGTTCCACTCCACGGACGTGATGGGACCGCAGTGCTGCTTGAAGTTGGCCACGGGGCGTCCCGTCTGCAGAGGAAGAGAGGGGTGATCGATGATGCTCTGGGGCATCATTTTAGGTTTCAGTCTCCTTATTGTTGGGATTAATGATCTTACTTGATTCTTGGCATTAAAGATTCTTTTTAAAGGTCAACAAAAACGGGTTCTGCAGTTAAGAGGGCGGCAACAGCCACAGTAATTATTGTGCTTTTGTAAAACCAGAATCAGACGAAACAAATGTCTGTGGTTAGGTGGAGCTGCTGAAATAAGAGGGCTGTAGATAATAGGCTGTTGTAAGCTCCTACACGTGGGTGTGCATGCAGCATAGTTGGGTAATTTTGTTGAAATAACATGTTGATCAAAAACCACAAATGCATAAAAGTGGGACTTTTGTTGGATCTTACCCAAGCCCCCATAATTCGGGTATGAAATTGAAGCCAATACGGAAGTGATAAAAATTGCAGTTCCACCCTCGTCCACTGGGGGCTGGTGTCAGAAGCGAGCAAATCCTCATTGACTCCCATGTTAAAAATACCAATTTCACAGCAGAAATAAACATGATTACAGCCTGGTTCCAAAACATGTTTTTGGTTTAAATGATCTAGTTTACACTCATGACAACTCTGAGGGGGGTGAATTTTTTCTCACTCTTCTGTTTAAGTGTATTAAAAGCCTAAAATTCTGTATAATTAATGGGAATCAGACCCACGGGACCACAGAGCTAGCTCCGTGGAAAGGTCTCAGTAGAGCCTCGGTCTCGCCTGAAAACTGTTCTGCAATTTTCAGTCTCTCAACTTAGACCATTAGTTGTAGCGTGTGTGCGTTCTTTTTGGATATTATTTGTGCAATTGTTGGACAAAATGACTTGCTGTGGCATTAATTGCACTAATAGAGCGTCCAAGGAGTCTCCACTTCATTTTTTTCGGTAAGTAAAATTATATTTATGTATTTTAGGTCACTGCCGAGCTGAGCTTAGATTTTAACATGTACTGTTTAACCATGAATTTTAAATGTAATAGGGTAAAACCCAGTGCATTTAACATAATGCTGCACTTTAGAAAATGGGTTGAAATATAACATGTTGGTGGAGCTGGGTTCCCACTATCGGTATGGTCCCCTCCCCTCAGCGGTCAGCTCAGCGCATCTCTGATGGCAGTGGCGCCTGTCTGCTGCGCGGCTGCCGGCTTGTGGTTCTCCCCTCCCCGCAGCTCGGCGCATCTGTCTGATCGCGGCTCCTGACTACTGTGTGGGCTGCCGGCTTCTGGAGCTCTGGGATGGAAACCTTTCCACCCGGTTCTCCCCAGCGGTCAGCCCGGCGTATCTCTGACTCAGAAGCTCTGGTGTTGTGCACAGTTAACTCCGGTTGTAGCTAGGTAGCTACCTCCGTTAGCTTAGCTCCCACCTCTGCGTTAGCTTTGGGTTAGCTTGCAGCTACATGGCTTCAGTTAGACGGGTGTCGTCATTTGATCCCAGCCTTACAGCCCCACCTCTCTTCTCTTTTCTGGAATTGTCTGGACTTGACGAAATCTGTGACACGGTCAAAATGGCGGTGGTGGCCACCTCCCATTTTGGCACAAAAACTTATTATTGGAGCCTATGGACACACATTGTCCAGTATATATGTCAATGATCTTACCTTAAACTGTCGCAGGTCCCACACTTTCAGAAGTCCGTCGTCCCCCCCAGACAGCAGGAATGGTTCGCTCCTATTCCAGCTGATGACGTTGACGTCCGACGAGTGCGCCTCATTGGCTGAGAGCATGGAGTTGGGTGGAGCGCGGATATCCCAGATACGAATAGACTGATCCACAGAGCAAGATGCAAAAACCTGGAGAACAAAAATGCAAAGTGAGATTCAAACCATCCATCCACCGATTGTCGGAACCTACTTGGTAGGGGTTGTATGAACTAGTCGACTTCACGGTTCTGTAGCGACTTTTTATGCCTGTCATCGACTAGTCGCTGTCACGTGATAATGACTGACAAGATGCAGTCCTCGGAAAAGACAGCAGGTGATGAGCCCCTGCGTCGGGAGGCGGAGGCAACGCGCTGTGCCAGAGCGTCGGTGCTGACACCGGCGGTAAAACGGACATTTAACCAAACTGTGACCTTTTCCCTCTCGCAATTTTACCTTCCCCTCACCCCATCCTAACCTTAACCAGTTTGCGCATGCAAAGCTCTGATCGTTGACGCGCTCCAGACATCTGCGTCCTGAGCACGGCCAAATCAGGTGTCACCACCTCAAAAACAAATTAAACACGCGATCGTTCATGTCCGCTCATTTCCTTTCATGTTTTCTGTCTGTTATTTGTGCCTGATGCTTTTCGCTGCTGCGGAGCGAGGCGCATCACCTGTTTTGTCCTCCGGTGACGTACCCCCAAAATTCCACTATCTCCGCTCCGGCACGAACTCCGCAGCAAAAACGGTCCCGTTGTAGTCGGCTGGCGAGCAGCGGCACTCCGCTGTTTTTGCGGTTGGTAGATCTTTTAGAACTGCAGTTCAAAGGTAACTCATGAGGTGAATATAAATGAACCCAGGTAGCAGTTTCTCTTTAGGATTGAGAGGAGATGCAGGAAGATAATAAACAGGCAGGACAGAAAAATAGTCAAATAAAACAAGCTAGTTTTGTATCTGGTGGTTGCAACAAACAGACACCATTGAAGGTAATCAGAAGTGAGGAACAGAAAATGAAATAATTATTTTAATGTCTAGAGCAGCAGGAACTCTTGAGAGGCTGCAGGCGCATCAGTTTGCTGCTGCTGCGCAGGGGGAGGGGGGAGAGGACTGAAGTAGGAAGCAGGAACTACCGTTGTTAAAAGAGATGTGTCACTGTTAACTTAGAAAATGTGGGCGCAATTTTAATTGTCAAAAACTCCAGCGAACCTACCGACCCGCCGCTTCAGGTGTATGACGTCATCAACGACTAGTCGAAGTCGACTCGATTTTCATTACTTGACTGTCGACTTTAAAAAAACATTAAGTCATGCAACCCCTACTACTTGGTCCACGTAGGGTCGCGGGGGGGGGGTGCCTATCTCCAGCGGTCATTGGGCAATCAGGCGGGGTACACCCTGGACAGAGAGCCAGTCCATCGCAGGGCAACACAGAGACACACAGGACTAACAATCACACACACACACACACACACACACACACACACACACACACACACACACACACACACACACACACACACACACACACACACACACACACACACACACACACACACACACACACACACACACACACACACACACACACAATTTAGACAGACCAATCAACCTAACAGTCATGTTTTTGGACTGTGGGAGGAAGCCGGAGGACCCGGAGAGAACCCACGCATGCACAGGGAGAACATGCAAACTCCATGCAGATAGATCCCAGGCCGGGAAGCGAACCCAGGACCTTCTTGCTGCAAGGCAACCGCTCTAACCACTGCGCCACTGCGCAGCCCAGATTCAAACCAAATTGAAGTAAATCTTATTTTAACTGGCAACGAGTTCTGCAGCACAAAACCAATCGGGTCAACAAGGCCAGAGGCCTGGTGTACAGCAACGCGTGTTCAGGTTTGATGCAAATACCAGAAACTGGTTTGGCTGCTCTTTCTGTCCGAGATTTTTGTTCCAACTACTCCTTAGTAGACAGGTGCAGCAGTAACAGGTGTGTTCCTTTAAAAGGAAACACATTCTTACTCACTCTGATCAACGAGCCCTCCCTGGTTTTTCTGGTTAAACACCTGCGGAGCTCAGGTGAGTCCGCGTCACGAGACTCTTTACAGTAAGAGAACCCACGGCAGTGAATGCAGATGACGTATGTGTGCAGTCCCAGCGTGCGCGTAGAGTCTGAATCTACGCAGTTCTGATCAGTAATGCAGCGCTGGACATTTTAGGACATCCTGAGGTCTCACAAGAACATCGTCAGACATCAAACTTTAGAGAAAAAGCTTCACTCAAAAACCCATCGGTCTTCCGACTAAACCATGTGAAGAAAACCGCTCTCAGGTATTAACATGTTGTTGTTAGGTCGATGTAACATTTGGACAATTTGGCTGTGATCCGAAAACAGCACCACCTGCAGGACCCAGCCTTTCCCTCTGACTTCCTGCCTTGCCTGAGTGAACGCTAGTGTTTGGCCAAGGGGCCATTTTGGTCTGTTTTTTTGAAGCCAACAAGGGATGGCAAAAAAATACAGTGATCCCTCGCTACTTCGCGGTTCGTTTATCGCAGATTCACGACTTCGCGGATTTTTTTTGGAGCCTTATTCAAGGGAAATTCGCCGATTTGCAGTATTTTTCACCGATTCGCGGCATTTTTCTATGCGAAATATCAAGAAATTCTCGTTTTTTTCATCAATTTCATCATAAAATGCACTTTTTGTAATAAAACTATAAAAAAACCAAGTAAAAATTTTTTTTTCTTGAGTTTTACCCACAAAAAGAGAATGTGATCATACGATAATTCAATATAGTACTGTATGTCAGACAGGGCGGCTGGATTCGGGAGCTGAGCTTGTAGGGAGCGTGGTTTCACAGACGCGGAAGTGATAGCGTCGGTGAAACGCCGGCTAACGATTAATCTAGGAAACCCCCGAGCGTTCGAGCGTCAACGAAGTGACACGGAAATGCCGGGCTTTCCAGAAGTAAGTAAGATAACTTACTATGAGCTGATAATTCGTGGGATGGATCGGTAGGTTGGAAACTCTGAACATGAATCTGAAGAAACGATGACTGAGTGGTGAGCTGGAAAGGCGACTTCCGTTTATAGCCGCGGTTGGTGGCGTAGGTGCGACGTGGAGGGAATCCCCGCAAGGGGCATGCTGGGAGTTGTGGTCCATAGTGGAGGGCGGCTAGCTGGAAGAGGTTGGTCTGGGAACTTGGGTTCTGACACTGTACTGTAAATATGGTGTCCCTACTTCGCGGATTTTCACCTATCGCGGCCAGGTCTGGAACGGATCTACCGCGATAAACGAGGGATCACTGTAAATAAATGCTGTTCCACCGTTATCCACTAGAGGCCGGCACCAAAACAGAGCAAGTTCCCAAGGGACAGACAATATATTGGCATCAATATCGGCCGGGCATCCTTTTTAAACATATCGGTATCTGTTCGATAAATAAAACTGGGCTTATATTAGCAACCAATATTTTTTCCAACTCGTCTTCATTTGTTTGCCTGTTTCAGAAGGTGAGGGAGGTGATGTGTATTTGGTTGGTCACGTGACAGCGACTGTGATCATCCCAGAAGTGTAAATGTGTGAACATAATAATGTAAATTCAGCTTGAATCATTTTAATTCTATACAAAATCTTCTGATTTTAGAAGCATTAATGTCAGCATATCGGCATCAGCAAATATCGGTTATCGGCCCTAACAGGGACCTTAATATCGGTATCGGCCCTAATATTTCATATCGGTGCATCACTGATCGACTCCCATGTTAAAAATGCAACCTGGTTCAAAAAACAACTTTAGTTTTAATCGATCTAGTTTACATCCATGACAACTCTGAGGGGGGTGAATTTTTTGTTACTCTCCTCTGTTTAAGTGGAATTTAATGCTTTAAATTCTGAATAAGTAATGAGCATCAGAGCCAGAGCTAGCGGTGGGAGCTAGCTTTGGGGAAAGGCCTCGGCCTCACGTGTCATCTGTGTGTTTGGATGCTAATCATGGATTTGGACAAGCAGGGCAAGCTGTGGTTATTGACTTCACAAACATAATCTAAGCAGTTTCTCTAAGCAAAATGATCTTTTTGTCCTTTATTTTGCTGGTTGAATGGGGAAAATGCTGTCCTTTAACTGCTTGGTCAAACATGCTAATGGGGCTGGTGGCTGGGTAAGAAACTTGAGCGGGTGCTCGGCTTCTCCTGTCTCCTGCTTGGGAACGGTTGCTAGAGCAGGCGGCTGGCCGTTCCCGTTTCCCGGAGCAGCCGGGACGCGCAGCTCCGATGAGAGGCTGTAGTCATGCTGGTCACTCGTGGATCTTTGAAGACCACAGAAACACAGGAGCTCTTTTAGTTGATGCTGCTTCACTTGTGAGATGCTCTACTGTGTTTTTCTTGCTAAAAACGTCCAGAAAAACTCTTTTAGCTTTGGGTTTGCATGTAGCTAATTTTCCATTGATCTCCTAATGTGGAGCATGAGCTAATGTAAAAGGCCATGGCGCCCGGCTACGATCGCAGCGGTCAGAGGTCATTTAACAGTCCTGGTCTATATTAGATCTCCACAGGCGACCAGCCTCACCCGGAAACCAGTCAGCCATGCGGGTGGGCTACCCCGGTCCCCAGAGCGCTTTCTTAGCTTCTTGGGTTAGCTAAGTTAGCCAGTAGCTACCTTAGCTTCATCTCTTTTCCCAATTTTGCATTGTCTGGGCCAAAATGTCAGAGGTGGGAACCTTCCACTTTGCTTCCAACCTGCCCTCCAGAGCAATGGGCGGGCCACGCCCATCCTTTGTATATGTCGATGTGTTTGACTCGTTCTGGAAGCGAATCGCATAAACAATTCCTCCCTAAGCTTCTGGGATGCTTCCAAAAGTAACACTGGCGGCCACTGCAAATGCAACCATCCACTAAAATGGCAGCAAACTGCTGCATACTCCGCTTTGCAGATGTTACGCAACACTTGCATATCAGCTGGAAAAGCCAGGTCACCTTTAAGCGAGTGTGTTTTGTCTGAATGTGTGTTTCCGTTTTTTCTAACACTGTTTAGTTATTTACGAAACCCGATTACCTCTCTGGTCTCACCGTGTTTTCCTGAAACCTGAGAACGTCTTTAAAAGAACGCCATACATTAAAGCCCCGCCCACCTGAGTTGGACTCTGTTTGACTTACCGTAGCTTCGGTGGGCGACCACTGCAGGTCCTCCACAGACTTGCTGTGGGAGCTGAAAGGTCTTTGGTCGATCTGCCACGATGCTCCACCCTCACACGGCTCCCACACGTGGATGGTCTTTCTGGAGTCGCCGGTGACGAGGCGACCTGGTGACAATACACAACTCAAAAATGAGCATTTCAAGGACATCGATTTGTAAAGATGACAGATCTCAATCAGGTGAATTTCGCCTTTACATTGATGCAAACCTAAAGAGTTTTTTTATTCTGGCACTCCAAATTTAGTTCCATTTTAATTAAAGGAAATTTTAGCATCTTTACCCTGAAAACAGCAACTGTGCCACACACTAAAGCTCAAGTTACAATAAGACATCCTATATTTTCTGGTTCTGACCCAAGCCCCCATAATTCCGGCCTGGAAATGAAGCCAACACGGAAGTGACAAAAATTGCAGTTCCACCCTCGTCCACTAGGGGCTGGTGTCAGAAGCGAGCAAATCCTCATGTTAAAAATACCAATTTCACAGCAGAAATAAACATGATTACAGCCTGGTACCAAAACATGTTTTAGGTTTAAATGATCTAGTTTACTCTCATGACAACTCTGAGGGGGGTGAATTTTTTTGTCACTCTTCTGTTTAAGTGTTTTAAAAGCCTAAAATTCTGAATAATTAATGAGCATCAGACCCACGTGACCACAGAGCAAGCTCCGGGGAAAGGCCTCGCCTGAAAACTTTTCTGCAATTTTCAGTCTCTCAACTTAGACAATTAGTTGTAGCGTTTGTGTATTCTTTTTTGGATATTGTTTGTACAATTGTTGGACAAAATGACTTGTTGTGGCATTAATTGCACTAATAGAGCGTCCAAGGAGTCTCCACTTCATTTTTTTCGGTAAGTAAAATTATATTTATGTATTTTAGGTCACTGCCAAGCTGAGCTTAGATGTTAACATGTACTGTTTAACCATGAAATTTAAATGTAACAGGGTAAAACCCAGTGCATTTAACATAATGCTGCACTTTAGAAAATGGGTTGAAATATAACATGTTGGTGGAGCTGGGTTCCCACTATCGGTATGGTCCCCTCCCCTCAGCGGCAGCGGCGCTTGTCTGCTGTGCGGCTGCCGGCTTGTGGAGCTCTCGGGAGACCTCTGTGTTCCACCCGGTTCTCCCCAGCGGTCAGCCCGGCGTATCTCTGACTCAGAAGCTCTGGTGTTGTGCATTTAACTCCGGTTGTAGCTAGGTAGCTACCTCTGTTAGCTTAGCTCCCACCTCCACGTTAGCTTTGGGTTAGCTTGCAGCTACATCGCTTCAGTTCGACAGGTGTCGTCATTTGATCCAAGCCTTACAGCCCCACCCCTCTTCCCTTATGTGGAATTGTCTGGGCTTGACGGAACCTGTGACACGGTCAAAATGGCGGTGGTGGCTACCTCCCATTTTGGCACAAAAACGCATTATTGGAGTCTATGGAAACCCATTGTCCAGTATATATGTCGATAGTTCTGACTTAATTCCAGATGAGCTTTAGTGACTCTGTATAAATATTTGGACATTTGACTCACCGGGGACTTTAGGTGACCAGTCGATTGCAAAGCCTTCACTCATGTGTCCTGAGAAACTGAAAAGCGCCGTGGCTTCCTTCTGCTCTTGAATAAAAGCAGTCATGGCTGCAGAACTGTGGACAGCCTCCAGCTGAGGTTGGAGGTCAAATATTTCTACTTGCCCTTTCTCCGACCACACAGCAGCCAATGACTTCTGTCCAAACCGGGTCACCTGGAAATCAAGGACCCAATCTACTCAGCACATGCAGACATTTGCTTTAAAAAAAAAAAAAAATTCTTCTAAGTACTAAAAAAAAGCCCGACATACTCGAACCCTGTTGATCCCTCCATAGTGAGGCACCATGGCTAGTTCCAGCTGAGGCTTCTTATCTTCATCCTCCTCTTCATCACTCTCCTCATCACTGCTTTCTTCCTCCTCGTTCTCCTTCTCGGTTCCATGCAGGTTGTGCATGTGCATGACGAGAAGTCTGGAAAACATTTTGCACATTCAGCAGCACGCAGATAAGCGGGAGGTGAAAGTGAATCTCCGACAGGATTAAGTTGACTCGGATTCAAGTCGGGACAAAGTTTCTACCAAAACCTCACCTGACACACTGAAGGGGCAATGAATGGCGGGCGATGGCGTGGTTGGGTACCACTAGGGATGTCCCGTTTCGATATCGACATCGGAGGTAATTCGATATCGGCCCAAAAAGAGCGTATCGGATTATATCGGACGGCATCAAGAAACTTCGATATAAGCAGTCCCTTAAGGTTCACATTTCTGCAACCAACAGTTAAGAAAAATGTTTTTTTTTTCATACATACTGCTGTTGGCTCTTGTTCTCCGATTGAGTAATATCACTTGATCAAGGCTTTCATGCATTCCACACTACAAAATAGGTAAAAGTATGTATGATTTGTGCTGATATCGTACCGGATAGATATCGGTATCGGTCAGCACTGAAGGCTGCAATATCGGTATCGTACCGGAAGTGAAAGAGTTGTATCGGGACATCCCTAAGTACCATCACAATAAAGTCTATCTGTGGGTTGATCCGTTTGCTTTATCGTTTCCTGCATCGTTATTCGCTGCTAGTGTCGATGGAAGTGATGAAAACGCTGCTGTTAACAGAACCGTTACACAGGAACAGGCGGAGCCAGAAACTGGAGCCCTGTTTCCACTAGAGGAGTTCTGGGAAATTTCTGGGAGGGGGTTAAATGACAAGAAAAATATGCGGTATGGTTCCTCTCAGCTGTTATGTCTCCATACTAAATCGGCCCTTCCAGGACTTGACTAACGCCGGGGACACACCGGCCGCGGAAGCGCCGAGAAGCGAATCGCTCACGAAATTCGGCCGCTGCTCGCCGTTCCTCAGTTCAGATCAGACGCGCCCCAGTCGAGGCGCGCCTCGGCTCAGCTGTAGTTTTTCATTTAAACACTTGGTGTCCTCCATTTCCTCTCTGCCTTTTCTCAGCTCTTTTCCTCTACGTTTGTGTGTGTGTGTGTGTGTGTGTGTGTGTGTGTGTGTGAACCTATGGTATGAACCAGTTGTTTCTGCCAGTTGAATCTCTTGGAACCCGCTCCAATTCTGCAGCTGTATCCTAGCAGTTTCTTACGTAAATAATCATGTTTTTCGGGGGTCGTACAGCTCCTCGTGTTTCTCAACTTCCATAATTAATTTATATTCATCCATCTTAACTGCTTGCCTCAGACTTTCTGCCTCTCTGTCCTGTTTGCTCTGGAAAAAAAGACTCCCAAAACCACACCCCCCTTCACGTGGTCACACACGCACACAAGTTCGATGTGTGTGTATGTGTGTGTGTTCATGTGGTTTTTCTGCAGTGTCTGATTACGAACACATTTGACTATTGCGGAATTTTATTTTGAAATGCTTTATTTTGTTAAATTTACCGGCCTGCCTCTTATGTATAGGTTTGACTTCCTGACAGAATTGACGCGATTCACCCGCGGCTCGCGAAATAATTGAGCAGACGCCAAAATTATCGCTGCACGGCGCGGGCTGGAGCGCCGGCGCGAGGCAATTCGCGGTGCTTCGGCGGCCCATGTGGTCTATAGAATAGCTTAACAAGGGCGCCGAATGAGGGCGGTCCCATTTTCACTGCGCTTCGCGGCGCTTCCGCGGCCGGTGTGTCCCCGGCGTGCGATGTTAGCATGTATAGTGAGGGACATCACTGATCTTTGCTGAATGGCATGCATGTACATCAGTAATATTAAATAACTTTTATTCCATCAAAGTACGCTGTAACTGAATCCATTTGGGAGACTGGGAGTGTCTGTGTGACATAAAAAGCAGCATTCAATGACCAGAAGAATCGCTGTTATTTACAACGTTGCGGATGGGTTTCTCCCTACTTTTTTAGTGTTGGGAATTTAAAGAGCGATCTTAAAGGTACGTTATTCATGAATTTTAGTGTGAAATAATCACAAAACAGTCTAATGTCTCAATCGAGTTGGAGGGGAGGTCACACTGGAACAGATGTCCTTCTCAGCCAGCTGGGGGGTTGTCAGTTTTTCTCCTGTCAAAATGGTCGAATTGGGATGTAGTCTAGTTTATAATCCATGAGCCTGCAGGGGTGCCGAGTCTGCGCCAGCTAACGGCATGTAACGGAGTGTACTTCGACACCGGTTGGCAAAAAGCTCCAGAGTTGTTTAAAGAACCAACACCAGCCAACAGGAGCAACCCAGAAGTTATTTCTTGCAAGCCTAAGAAGCCGTAGCATGCTTTTGTTTTACTGTTGGGTAGACGGCGAGAGGAACAGTATAGCACAAAAAAGAATTTTAAATTCTGAACATCTGTGATGGACTGGCAATCTGTCCAGGGTGTAGGGATGGGTACCGTATTTGGGTCCTTTTTAAAGGTCTGGTGCCTTGTTTCGGTACCTTTTGCCACTTACACACTAGCGTTCAGTACCTGATTTCCCAAGATAGACAGCAGCGCATGTGCAAGAGCGTTATGTCATCAGTCGCTGTGGGAGAGATGTGAGCAGAGAAAGCAACATGGGGTCTACTTCACTAAATGCGATGGGTGACTGGTTGATGACCACCATTGTGGACCAATCACAGCATTAAGCGCCTTGTGATTTTTATCTTGAGAGGCGCTATAGAAATGATAATTTCTTCTTCTTCTTCTTCACTTTATTGGTTTGTAACCTTGATAGAGAGCAGTGATTGGCCAGCTGGAATGCTGCTGTTCCAATGGAGCGTTCCTAGACCAAACTCATGCTTTGCAAATGTTTTTCTAGTTCACTAGCCTAGTAATACATCACTTTTTGCTGTAATGAGGTAATGTAAAGCAATACAGAAAAAAATGGTTATATTTTTCTTGGTTCCTTGGCTTCATCAGAAAGTGATCTTCAGCTTTCGCTGGAGCGGTTCGCAGCCGAGTGTGAAGCAGCTGGGATGAAAATCAGCTCCTCTAAATCCGAGACCATGGTCTTGATTCGGAAAAGGGTAGAATGCCTTCTCTGGGTCAGGGATGAGGTCCTGCTCCAAGTGGAGGAGTTTAAGTATCTCGGGGTCTTGTTCACAAGTGAGGGAAAACTGGAGCGTGAGATCGATAGGTGGATTGGTGCTGCATCTGCAGTGATGCGGGCGTTGTACCGGTCTGTCGTGGTGAAGAGAGAGCTGAGTCAGAAGGCGAAGCTCTCGATTTACCGGTCGATCTACGTTCCTACCCTCACCTATGGTCATGAGCTTTGGGTAGTGACCGAAAGAACGAGATCACGGATACAAGCGGCCGAAATGAGTTTTCTCCGAAGAGTGGCTGGGCTCTCCCTTAGAGATAGGGCGAGAAGCTCAGTCATTTGGGAGGGGCTCGGACTAGATTAGCTGCTCCTCCACATCGAGAGGAGCCAGTTCAGGTGGCTCGGGCATCTGGTCAGGATGCCTCCTGGACGCCTCCTAGGTGAGGTTTTCCGGGCACGTCCAACAGGGAGGAGACCTAAAGGTAGACCCAAGACACGTCGGAGGGACTATGTCTCTCACCTGGCCAGGGAACGCCTTGGGATTCCCCCGGAGGAGCTGGCCCAAGTGCCTGGGGAGAGGGAAGTTTGGGCCTCTCGACTGCTGCCCCCGCAACCCGACTCCAGATAAGCGGACGAAACAAATGGATTTTTCTTGGTACAAATGTCAGTAATGTGCGTTACAACGCATTTTAACCCCTTAAATTACCAGGTTTAATGATGGGGTTTTGTCCCATGAGCGGGACGCTGGAATGCTAAGGGGTTAAGCCCAAAATGAAGAGGTGGGTTTCTTCAGGGTTAGAATTAGCTAGAAGGAGCCCGACAAAAGATTCAGATTCAAACTATATGACATCATTTACATGGACTCTCAGCATACCAGGTCTTCTTTTGAGCGGAGGACGGAGAGTGCTGATTGGTCGTGCACTCCAGGCTGCTGCGTACTGAACACGGCCACAGTAAGATCCTCAGAGTGGCGTCACCAAAAGAATTGAATTAATAGAATAGACTTTATTGATCCCAACGTATGGAATTAATTTATTACAGCAGCAACATTAATAACATCAATTTTGCATAATTAACACAAGTCAGATTAGCTTCAAAACTCAAGGCCGTTTCAAGGTATTTGGGGGCCATGGCTAATAGACTTATCACAGAAGGATGAATCAAACACCTGCAGTAGAAATTAATCAAATAAGGATATTTATTCTGTGCAAGCTGCTACAGTTTTAATTATAGTCTGAGCTTCTGTTCAATAATATACTATATCACCTAAAAATCACTGTTTTCAAGATTACAACAGTGATGAATATAATAAATATAATAAAAATAATAAGAAGAATAATAAAATAAAACTTTAAAAAAAAGTTGTTTTTTTACGTTACAAATTTGCAGATTACAGATTTAGTTGGTCTTCTGAATTTTGGTAAATTTTGTTCATGTTTTGTAGGGCTGTAGCGAAGCGTCGATGACGTTGACGGCTCGATTCTAAAAATTCGTCGACGTCAGATCCGGAAGTCGACGCACCGCGCCCACTTGTTGCATCCCCAGGAGTTTGTAAATAGAGGAGGAATCTGCCTGTTTTTCCTCTAGTTCGCCCTCTTCTCTGCCTTCACTAACATCTCCGTCAAATACCGAAGACCCGGAACAATGTTCGTCCGCTACTAGATTCCTTCCCTGTTTTGCCCGCCTTCGTCTCCCGGCAACGGACAACAACTTCCGGGGTCAGATGCGCTGCTCCGTCTCTATCGCAGATGTAGAACATCACCGGGAGCGTTTCTCCCTTCATAAAGGAGCTTCTTTCAGACATTAGGAGAGCTGTTTTGGTGGTAGCAGTCTCTCCTCCATGCTGGTCTGTTTGCTGCTGGGTGTTTTTGGTTTCTTTAAACTTGGTAACTTTAACTTAACGTCGGTAAAGCTACTGTTAGCATTTTCGCTAACAGCTTCTTGCTTTTGGATCAGCTGTTATGTTTTGGTTTAGAGTTCATCTTTTTTGTGGTGTAGATCTCCCTTTTATTACATTTAGAGTGTTGTGGGTTTTCAGTTTAGTTTAAAATATCACCTTGAGTTTGGTTTAACCGCCCAGTTTAGAGTTTGGACCTTTGGAGATCCTTGATTTGGTCCAGAACCCAGTAATCTTTGCCCAGTGGGACATCCCTACTTATTTGTACTTTTGTTTTAATTCCCCACAGACAGAATTAGTTTTATTATTCCCAACCTGTGGATGAAAAGATTTATGATTTTTTTTTTTGTAGTTGTGAATAAACCTGATCATCATTTTAACTTTTAAATCCCATTATTGTCCCTTCCTTTTTGCACACGAGCCAAACTCCCCAGGAAGAGTCGTAACACCACTCGCCTCACGCTCATAAGTGACCAAAACAAAGCAGCATGGAGACACTCCGTCTCCAGCCACCTCTCAGGCAGCAGCCTGCACTCCCAAGTTCTACACGTCACCAGAACATAACCAATAAAAGCAGTGTTATACAAAATGGAAGGCCTGTAGTGTTTATTCTCTTACAGTAACGATTTATCAATTTTTTTTAGGAATTTATTAGAGATTTTTTGGTTTTTATTAACTGTGCAATAGAAAAATAAACATTAGATTAATTGTCTAAATATTAGAATGGTCGACTATTCGATAAAATAATCGTTTTAAAAATAATCATTTACTCCCAGCCCTAATGTTTTGGTGCATCTTGGTTATTTTTATACTTCTTATAAAGTTTGTGCGGAGTTACAAAATAATTTTCTCTGCTGGACTTCAGAAATGTTATTTAAAATTATCAGAATATATTTATTAGAACCCATATTGTCTCAGATAAATAAAAAAGGCAAACAAGAAAACGTCCTCTAGCACCAATAAAAGTTTTTAAGTACAACACATCTGATTTCCCCCCCAAAAAGTTTGTAAGCAATGCACCAAAATAAAATAAAATAAAATAAAATGTGAATCTGCCACAATTCAGCATGGTCAGCCAAACTGAACTCAACGTGAAACACAAAAATCTGTTATATTAGTTTTTTAGTCTGTGAATGAACCTACAGCTGGGAGCAATATAAAAAGTTCCAGTATGATAACGTTGAAACGTTTCCAGAAACATAGCTTCCTGGTTATTTTGATCTCTAGTAAAATTACAGTTATTTGAGATAAATCGAGATCGATACACCCCCCCCCCCCCCCCCTTTTTAATTGTATTTTTTAGAGGTTTTATAATTCATAAAACACTGTTTGGAGGACAGGCGTGTTTTCCATCCTAATGTGAATCACCTGTGTGACGTATGAGATGCCTGGAGCTCTGTACCTGTTCTTCAGAGCCGTGTCCGCCTGTGTGCCCGCGCACAGCAGCATGGACAGAGGGTACTCCTGCCTGCCGTCTCCATCCTCATCTCTCAGCACGTCGAAGCTCAGACATGGAGAACCTGAAGGTAAAACAACAACGCATCTCACACACCTGCACATCACAGCCTGACAGGGAGGTGTCAGTGTAGCGAACAGGATAGCATTCAGCTCTGGCCTCCACTTGCCTGTTTGGCACTCGTGGTACATGCGATACGCGGAGCGGTCCATCTCCAGCTCCTCACCGGGCCGAAGCACCTCGATTCCGGGGACGTATACTTTCCTCTCAGCGTCTCCTTCCGCTCCTTCCTCCTCTTCCTCCATGTCGTCTATTCCCTCGTCCTCCTCGCTGCCCGCTTCGTCCATCTCCTGCTGTTCTGCTTCGGCGCGCGCGTGCTCTTCGGGCGCAGACATCTTGGCAGCTCACTTCCGTCTTGTTGTGGGGCGCTACGTCACAGACATCATACGTACACATCCTGTGCACTGGCGCTGCCGTAGCAGTCGTCCGCCATCTTGGATGGGTCTCTGTTCGCCCCAGTGCATTTATTTCTATTGAGGAAAGTATTTACCCAACTAAAAAGCACATTTTATGATGTTTTTTCACAAAATCAGACATAAGGAATGGCATCATAAATAAAATATAATTAACTATGAATACAAAAAATTAAAATGTTAAATCCTAAGTGGTAGGCTAGAAAAAGTCAATAGCAATCCCAGGTGATCTGATTCCAATAATATGCCGGTTGCAACCTTAGGCTGCAGCCAAGTGTACTTGGAAAAACGGGCATAGTTGCCCTTGCCCACCCTGCGTTGACTCCATCGACATAAATATACTGACTCCAGTTTAGTGTGGAAAGTGAGGAACCCACCCAATATGGCGGCGACGCTGTTACGCTCATTCATGTCTTTAAGCCACGTGGTTCAAACACCCAGCTCCTCCTTTCCCCCTCTCGTTTACGGGAATTCAGCTGGCCCCTTTGGCGCTTGGCCCCCTGCTGCCAGGAAAAAAAGCAAGCTTTAAAATATCTGTTCAAAAAATAGTCCCCAAATGGATTGTCACGGGGGTGGCTGTGTCATCTAGACCTCTCATGAAACTCCTCCCCTTTTTCTTAAAAATATGAAAAACAAGAGTAAACATTGTAATATTTTGGGTCATCATGTGTGGTTGTAGAGGTCTCGTGTCTTTTTTTGTGTGTGTGTGTGTGTCCTGTCTGGCTGTGAAGCAAACAGAATTGATGTCTGAATGCTGGTGACAAGCCTTACAGATTCACTCTCAGGTGGAGCATCAAAGCGTCTGCTTTTAATGTCACGCCTGATACTTAAAACTTTATTGTTATTGTTTTTGAATGGTTTTTAATTCTGACCAGACACGGAGACAGAGGTGAAAGAGAAAGGAAGAGACAAAAGATGGGGGGGGGGCACTTAGTCAAGTCCTGGAAGGGCCGATTCTTACAAGGATCTGCTTCTAGACCTGCAGAAAGAGAGAAGAAAAAAAAGCAAAAAGAAGAAAAAAAAAAAAGGGACACAACAACAATGCAACAAGATCAAGCTATCACTGCGTCAACTTGATGAAGAAATATATAATCAACATTGTTTAACTGAACAATAACATGATAATAAATCACAGTGCATTAAGTGCCCACCATAGCCTAAAGACCTGTGTTGAACGTGCCCAAGTCTATACTTATGAGAGCACCATGTGAGCACCTGTGTGTGTACACGCGCTTGTTTATGTAAGGTTTCTCTATAGGAGCGTCCAATAGAGAGTGTGAGGGGCCACAGATCTGCCCCCTAAAGATGTGTAGGAGACGGAGGGAGCTCAAAGTCCCAGAGATCCAGGAGTTGCCCCAGAGCACAGGAACTCCAGGGAGACTGCGACCAGAAAAGCCCCCGCCCCCCTGGAGAGGCACAGAGGATCGCCCCGGGGGGCCACAACCAGCAGCCGGCAGAGTCCCGGGAGATATCAGCGGCAAGCCCAAAGGCCTGCCCGCAGCCTCCCACCCCCTAGCCGGCCGAGCCCGGGACCCAGCGACCCGGGACCCAGGGGCGACCACCCCCGCCGGGGACCCAGCAGAGCCCAGGGACCCAGACCCCACCAGGCAGCCACCGGGATTGGTCAGGCAGATGCCAAAAATCTTAAACTCCCTGACCCGGGAGCCCCGACCCAGGCAGACCAAGGCACCGCACTCCACACCAGGTGTGGCAGAGAGAGGGGAGACGAAGATCTAGATCACCAAAAGAAGTCCCAGGAGAAGGGAGGAGTCAAAGGCCCCACCTGACATATACAGTCATACACAAACACAGTCACACACTCTCTCCCTCATGCTCACACATACACATACAACCAAAGACTTACAAAAATGCACGCCGGACACCCACTCATGCTCTCCATACACACCCTATTCACTCTGGTCCCGGTACTGCTGCACATGGGGTACAACCATTACCGGTTCCAAGAGTTTGACCCTTTCTGCTGGGGTGCTGATGAGCAGGCTCCCCCGCCCAACACTGAGAACAGCAATCCACCACCCCAGACCCCAACCAGACGGCCGGATCTCCCTCCTAGCCTTCAGCCCCAGGAAGCCAAGCGACAACAGAGGTGTGCTAAGACCCCTAGTCTCCCTCCGCCTGGTTCAATATAGTGTTAATGAGTGTTGATGAGGTGTATTCCATGGCTGTGGTGAGCCGGCAGTGCGGGCATCGTCTGGCCTATGCCAGCTGATGCCACCACACCACCCCACTTGCACCCACAGCCCTCAGTGTCTAAGTGCAGTTTAAAATTGGAAGTGGGCACCGGCACTTGGAATGGGGCTGAGAAATCCCCCTGCCAAATGCGTTGAATGTGCTCACTCCCAAGGCCCTAAGTGTGTGTTTGCGTGGAATGTCGTCGGTGGAAGTGTTTAATGTGCAGATAAAATTGGGGGGTAGGTTGCCACAGGAATGCGGAAATGGGGTCCATACCCGCACTCCCTGACTTGTCCACCCCCCAAGGTCCTATCTGCATGTTTGTGTGATGATGTGAGGGAGCAGGAGGAGAGAAATGTGTGGGGATGGGGAGGATTGGCTGGCTGGGTTTAGCCCTCCAGGGAGCCATCTTGGCAGCTCACTTCCATCTTGTGGGGCGCTACGTCACAGACATCATACGTACACATCCCGTGCACTGGCGCTGCCGTAGCAGTCGTTCGCCATCTTGGATGGGTGTCCGTTCGCCCCAGTGCATTTATTTCTATTGAGGAAAGTATTTACCCAACTAAAAAGCACATTTTATTATGTTTTTTTTTACAAAATCAGACATAAGGAATGGCATAATAAATAGAATATAATTAACTATGAATACAAAAAATGTAAATGTTAAATCCTAAGTAGCAGGCTAGAAAAAGTCAATAGTAATCCCAGGTGATCTGATTCCAATAGTATGCCGGTTGCAACCTTAGGCTGCAGCCAAGTGTACTTGGTAAAATGGGCATAGTTGCCCACCCTGCGTTGACTCCAGTTTGGTGTGGAAAGTGAGGAACCCACCCAATATGGTGGCGACGCTGTTACGCTCATTCATGTCTATAAGCCACGTGGTTCAAACACCGGGTTGTGCAGTGGCGCAGTGGTTAGAGCTCCTGGGTTCGCTTCCCGGCCTGGGATCTTTCTGCATGGAGTTTGCATGTTCTCCCTGTGCATGCGTGGGTTCTCTCCGGGTACTCCGGCTTCCTCCCACAGCCCAAAAACATGACTGTTAGGTTGATTGGTCTGTCTAAATTGTCCTTAGGTGTGTGTGTGTGCATGATTGTTTGTCCTGTGTGTCTCTGTGTTGCCCTGCGATGGACTGGCTCTCTGTCCAGGGTGTACCCCGCCTGATTGCCCGTTGACCGCTGGAGATAGGCACCAGCCCCCCCGCGACCCTGCGTGGACAAAGCGGGTTCAGAAAACGGATGGATGGATGGTTCAAACACCCAACTCCTCCTTTCCCCCCTCTTGTTTACGGGAATTCAGCTGGCCTCTTTGGCGCTTGGCCCTCTGCTGCCAGGAAAAAATATCTGTTCAAAAAATAGTCTCCTAAGGGATTGTCATGGGGGGGGTTGGCTGGCTGTGTCATCTAGACCTCTCATGAACCCCCCCCCCCTTTTTTTTTTCTTCTTAAAAATATCAAAAACAAGAGTAAACATGGTAATATTTGGGGTCATCATGTGTAATTGTAGAGGTCTCGTGTCTGAGCCACAATCGGCCCTCTTTACTGGAGCTGAGAGACTTCCAAACAGCTAGCTAGCTTCTGACACTGGAACCCTTGTCACAGAGAGAGGAAAGCTGGATTTAACTCGCTTCCAGATAAAATAGGCTTACACGTTCATGAATTTGATTGTAACGCATACCAGGAAATGGACACTTTTCTTATTCAAAACATTTACATTTTAATAAATTTATCCTTGTCCATATTTGCCCAGCAATGCAGCGTCTGGCACTGTTATAGCTCCAGATTCTGTGTAAACATTTACGTGTATACAAGTCTGTTTCCCTGGCAACCGTTGCAAAGTACATGCACTCCTCCGAGAGCCCTGTGAGGACAAGTGTGCACATTGCACATCAGGGTGTGCACAAGCAGAGACAAGTGTGAGCGTTCAAACAGGAGTCGGATCATTCCAGAGACGATACATTTCTCTCCACTTCATCCAGTTCCATTTTTATTGTTTTGCTTGTAAATGAGCTGCTTTTGCAAATTTTAACAATCCATTTCACATGAATACCGACGTCTGGTGACCGTAAAATAAAAAAAGCACTTAATATTAATAGAACTAGAGTTCTTACTGACAAAATGTAGAGGAAGTAATACTTTTGAGTGAAAAATATCAAGCTGTATGACTTCCAAGCTCTAATGTATCAAAAGCAAAAGTACTTAAATGCAGAAAAATGCTTCTTATTGATGTTTAAATTAGTAATATTGGTACATGGATGTGTATATGTGTCGGCTTAAAACAATATCTGTTTACTGCCTTCGGATATGAAACTTGAGTAAATGTGCTTTTCCGTCTTTGATGACAAACAGTAATAAATATAGCTTAAAAACCTCTGAATACATCAGGTAAGACAAACACTAACACACATATCTAAATGGTTTTAATTTACAGAAATCAACTCCCAAAGATGGTACTATATGTGTTTTTCACAACATTCATTTGTAAACAGCGGAAATAAAAACGCACACGAGTGGCGACTATCTCTGATCTGATCTCAGAGTCTCGTCTTCTTGCTCGTCCGAGTGACTGGAGGACTTCAGGTGCGTTTGAGATCACACGACACTGTTGGACAGTGGAAACAAAGACTGACTTTGGGCATTAAATGCAACCTGTGCATGTTACTTCATGTGTGAACAAATTTACTGCATCATAACTAAAAAAAAATAAAACAAATTCAGTGCCAAAAAATTTTGTTGGTTTTTTTTTGCATTATATGTGCATCAATTAAGAAAAAGAGTTGGTGTGGCAGCAACTACCAGTAGAGTCCAAATAGCAAGGAGCTCCAGACAAAGGCAGAGTAGGAGACGGTTACAGGTCCACCGGACGATAGAGGTTTATAGTCCGTCATCTTGTCTGGTTGTCCTTCGTGCTGGTTGTTGATGGCTCTGGTGGTCAACAGCCTGGCCCTTGAGGGTCTGTAGTCCTTTTTTACAACAGGCGGGGGCAATGTGGGTGGAAAGCAAGTCTCGGTATAAGATGAGCATCCAACCTGAAGCCATCGCTCAAAAAGTTGTGATGTTAGCTTCAGAAGCTCCTCTGGAGAGGAAGACGATGTGGGGAACTGGGAAAGATCCGTCTCCTCCTGGAACCTCTGCAACAAAGGAAATGGGAGGTCAAGAATATTGAAAACAGATTTTCTTTTTGAGTCAGGGTAAAATATGAATCTTACCTCAATGTTTTTATTCTTGTCTATAATTTTATCCAGTGTCAGCTTTAGCTCCAGGATCAAGGAGCGATTTACGTGTTCGCCCCAGAGGTTTCCGAGGAGCTCGTTCCAGGAGTCCAGGAGGACCACTGCTGCGGGGAACACGCAACACTGCAGGAAGAGGTGTGCCACATCAATACCGGCATACATAATTCATGACAAAGCATCCACCCGTCAGTTGCAAACACAACAGTCTGCCATCAATCTGAGATTTTTACTTTTGATGCTAAAAAGAAAGAAAGAAGCAAAGAAGTCCCCAGGTTAAAGAGAAACAGGCTGTGTGTGTGTGTGTGTGTGTGTGTGTGTGTGTGTGTGTGTGTGTGTGTGTGTGTGTGTGTGTGTGTGTGTGTGTGTGTGTGTGTGTGTGTGTGTGTGTGTGTGTGTGTGTGTGTGTGTGTGTGTGTGTGTGTGTGTGTGGTGGGGGGTAGGGTTTAGGTAAAAAAAAACTGCAAGATCATAAAATGTGCATGTAAATGATTAATTTATGATGCAAGAGTTTTCTATTTAACTGAGAAGTGACTCACCGGGTCAGTTTCACACAGCATGCTTTTGGTGTAATGATGCACTACATAGTAATCTTTAGGAAATACAGTCCGCTGAAAGAGGGAAACACAGGTAGAGCATGGGAAAAATGTGTTCTTTTAATATAAAGTACAGTAAATACACCTTTTGACAATGACCTGCTTTAGATCTTATATATTTGTGAAGAAAACAATGTAATTGAAACTCAAGCAGATTTAAAAGGATTTGTTTTGCCATTTTCCCCAGACTTAGATAAAAGGGTAAAAAGCCTTTTGTACCCAGGCCAGTCAATCTCATAATCTGGCAGAATTCTGTTAGCTTTAGCTTAGCATAAACAATGTAAGTGAATGGTAACAGCTAGCATTTTGTGTGTAAAAGTCACGAAAATGACTCAGTAATTTTCTCGGTGACCTCAATAATCATGTTAGGGGCGACGGTGGCACAGGAGTTAAGTGCTCGCCCCGTAATCGGAGGGTTGCAGGTTTGAGCCCCGCTCAATTTGTCGCTGTCGTTGTGTCCTTGGGCAAGACACCTAACCCCCCTTGCATGCTGGTGGTGGTCGGAGGGACCGGTGGCGCCAGTGCTCGGCCTCCTTGCCCCTGTCAGTGCGCCCCAGGGCAGCTGTGGCTACATCGTAGCTCATCCCCACCAGTGTGTGAATGTGTGTGTGAATGGGTGAATGACTGATTGTGTTGTAAAGTGCCTAGGGGGGTCCCAGGACTCTAGAGGGCGCTATATCAAATACACGCCATTTACCATATTGACTAGAAATGAAAATAAGTAACATGAAGGAATTACAGGAGCCGATTTAGACTTGGGACTGCATCACGTCATGTTGTTGAGTCTTGCAGCGGTGCTTTATCGTAGTGTGGTCCCAAGTCTACCTCGGCTCATGTAATTAGTAGGGATGCACATACCGATACCAGTATCGATAAAAGTTAACCGATACCAATGCAGATGCTTGAAAGTGGCTTCACTGTAACTTGTCATTTCTGTTCACCTAGTATTTTAGTTTTGTGATGATTTCTATTCATATATTTTACTTTTTATCTACCTCACAGTCCTTTCCTGTTGAAAGCAGAGAAGAAAATAAGACCTGTATTCCAATTCATAGCATTTTTTTTTTGTGTGGTAGAAGTGTCACTGATCCGTATCGGCGAGTACTCAGATCCAAGTATCAGTATCGCATCGGTTTGGAAAAACTGGTATTGTTGCATCCCTAGTAATTACTTCATGTTACTTATTATTTTCATTAGGAATCAATATGATTATTGAGGTCACCGAGAAAATTTAGGATCGTTACTGAGTAATTTTAAAGGTTTTACTCAATACATTTGCAATGGTCTCTAGTAAGAATGAATGCCTTCCAAGTCGTTACTCTGGAGAAGGGGGGAGTTCAGATGCACCTGATTCTGGAACAAGCAGAGCGCCACATCAGAGGAGCGCTTTACACAACGAGATTTACAGTCTTATTTCCTAATACTTGGACATCTCGTCTCTGATTGGCTAACAGCAACACGACTCTACTGCTGACTCGGTTTGCTCTGCAATGTTGATGTTTTATCTCCACAAATAACACAAGCCTGGAGGAGTTCTGCTGTGTGGTGAAGTTGCTAATGCTAACAGTTAGCTTCTACTAGCAGAGACATTCTCTGCTGTTTCCCGGATGCTAAACCAACAACAGCCTTCCCCGTCGTGAGTCAAGATGGGTGAGTCCATGAATGTTAAGTGACAGTGTGACGTAGATGTGTCAGGATTTTCTAATCCTAGAGTTTCACCGTCTGTTTTCTATCAGAAGCTACTGCAGGAGATAGGTGTAGGAGACTATTTTCATGTTCAGCCTGCATGAAACACTCAGGGTGACCGATTATAATCAGAAGTAATAATTAAAAAATAGTGTTTCAGTTTTCCACACCTTTAATTACTCTTTCACACAAAATGCTAGCTGTTACCATTCACTTACATTGCTTATGCTAAGCTAAAGCTAAGAGAATACTGCCAGATTAGGAGAACGAACGGGCTGATTACAAGATGCTTTTACCGACTTATCGAACTGGGGAACATGGAATCAGTCCAAATTTCACGTAGAGGTGGAATATCCCTTTAAGAAAAATCCAAAGCAGCACGTTGTTTAATCTCAGAAGCTTGTTTGGTGTGACATCCGATAACCTATTACCAGGTGATTAGCTTGAGTTCATCAATTACCTCCTTTATGACTTTTATCTGTTTTTATCTCGCGGTTTGTCCTTTTTACTGTACAGCACTTTGGTCATGCTGTTTTTAAATGTGCTATATAAATAAACATGGTTTGGTAATTAAAACAAAACAAAACACAAGCCTCTCACTTTTCAAACGCTCCTTCGTGTCGATACGAGTTCACGTTTAAAGAATTTCCTTTGTGAGAAAACCCAAAGTTTAGACTTTAGAAAGTGAAAACTCACAAATCCAGTGGGATTAGACTCAATGGTTGCCTTTATGTTCTCCACACCTTTCCGGTCAAAGTCACAGCCGCCGCATTGGACAATCAACAGCAATAGCAACAGTAAGACTGTGAGACATGTGAGGAAGACAAGAGCAGATTTGAAAACCCTCCTGTGGTTTCTTCGATACCTGCTCTAGAAACAAACCATTTCCTGTGTGAGGTAGCCTCTTGTGCAGAACATCTTATGAACTGTTTCAAGTTCTTTCTGCATCATCTCCGCATGAAGGGAAGTCCTAAACATTTGCTTGTTTCATTGCACGACACAATAGAAAAGCAGCAGATGATCACGCAAGCCTGAAGTAAGATAGTTTGAACGCTCGGTAAAAAGCAAACCGGAGGAAGCTTCCTGTCGTTTCTCACCTTGCAGTGACATCCTCTTATTTTTCCATGAATGGACACGTCTCCATTTCTCTTGTTGATCGTAATCACTCTTCAGATGGCTGTCTGTGTCAGTCTGTGAAAGGCAAAGTTTCTTCCTCTGTGGGTTTGTTGAGGTCGCCAACAGATCACGTATCTGCCTCTTTTAAAGGTTGATCTTCTCATTCACATCTCTCAGGAGGTCTGTCCTCTTTGGGTCCATTTGGTATTTTCCAAAAAAGAAAATATGGCTCATCAATCATCTCACGCCATCATTCTCTTTCACTTTGGATTTCCCCACTAATGCCTGAGTGGCTGCAGCCTTTCCCTTTTCAAAGCTGTTTTCCCTTCTTCTCTCCTCTCCCTCTTCTTTATTTGTTTCCACTTTCTTCTTCTTTTCACTGCCGGCCCAGAACTTTCCTGAATTTCAAACACTCCTTTGGTCCTTTTAAACTGGTTGGTGAATAAGAGACGCTGTCCCCCCCCCCTCCTCTGGATCTGTCCTTGTATCCTCACCCAGACTGGCTCGGCTCAAAGTGAAAGTGCTCTAGTGGATTGCTTGTCTGCTCTCTATAAGGCACAGCCCCTCCCACCGCCGCACGCTTCACCTCGCTATTGACTGACCCAGCCCCCTCCCCCTCTGCTCCCCACATTCCCCGACCTCCCCCCTCCCCAATCCTCCCCTTTCTCAAACAGGGGCCGAGGAGGCTTAGTCATGCAATTGGAGCGTATGGTTCTCATTTTGGACTCTCCCCCGCATCTCTCTTCCTGCAGATCCTCTGGTCATTATCTCTCCAGAGCCATCGTCATCACATGAGCAGTTTTGTTTTGTTTACTGGATAAATAATCACATTCCTTGTCAAACTTGATTGCAACACAGCACTGCCAGAACCTGCGAGTCACTGGATGTGTGACAGCTCAGTGTTTAAAGTGAAAACAGCTCTTGCAGATGTGCTCATGTCGCACACGAGGGCCAGCGTTGTCTGCAGCTGTCACCTCTACGAGCCCGAGGGTTACGGGGGCCATCCTGTTGATCTCAGTTAGGTGTCAGAAGTGATTACTATTGACAGGAAGAAAAAGAGGTCGTCAAAGACAAACTGTTCTGCCGCGTGTTCTTTCTGAACCTGGGCCAAAAATGGAAGAATAGATGTCTCACCGAAGGACCTGAAAGGAGGGAAATGGAAACTAGAAGAGCCGCAGCAACCTCGCAGCTCTTCCCCAAGGCACCGTCAAGACGAAACCTCTTGACCTTTGCTACGTGTTGCAACGACGGGCGTAAATATTCAGCCATTTTGCCGTCTTCCTGTTTCAGGCGTCGCTTGCATGTGAGAAAACATGCAACTAATTTGAAAAGCTGCTGCAAACGACGTGCTTTTTATTTTTTCTTGGATCTAAGCAAATGAAATCCAGATTTGAGCTAAAAGTAGAAAAGTGTTGGTCAACAGACACAAACGTCATTTCTTCCTTAACTTGTTTTGCAAGTGAAATTAGCCTGATTTAATTAAAGCAGTATGCTGTTGAATTTTATTAACTTTAAGTTGCAAACCTCAGCAAAGTCACACCAATAACAGGTAAATAAAAAAATAAAAAAGGTGGGCCAATGTGTCTGGCTCACTAGGAAGCCCACATCCTGCTGATGCGGTGGACCGGACTGCAGCGAGGGCTCCTTCTGTAACTGCGTTCTACATTTCTGCGTATTAGAAACCCTTAAAAGTGTAATCTTACACCACCTGGGACTCGTTGGCCCAGAGCCTCTCAAGCAAGTGAGTGGAAGCTGGTGGAGAAAAATGAGGACCTCATCCTCTGCTTTCATTCTTCCCGTTCACCACAAGAGGGAGCCAATTCCAGCACAAACAGGAAGTCAGATGATACTTAATTTTATTCTGAAACATCTGCATGAGTTAAAGTGCGAAGGCGCTTGGTAATAAGTTAAACTTTACACACCAGGTTTCCCTTTAACAATAAGGCCCCGCCCCCCACGCATTATCCAAAGCGAGTCGCTGTGTTAATCTGTGCAGGATAATCATCCGAGGTTAGAACAGATTCTCATTACATAAAAAGACAATCATGGATGCCATCGTCCAATCACAGAGCCTCTTCGTTCCACGGAAAACCCAAAACCCACAAAACGGGTTTAGACCGATTCCCTTTTCTTTACTCTTCACTGACTTGGGCTCCTCTCTCCCCCCCGTACAGCCGTCATCAAATGACTCTTGTAGGTTTTACTCAGTCCAGTCATCCAGAACTTCAGCAGCCGGACATTGTCCTCCTCGCCGGGCCCTGTGGCACCGAGCAGGGCCAGAACCTTCTGGGTGTCCTCCCTCCCACGACCGTCCACTTTGGAAAACTTGAACAGCACCTTGACTTTACTGGAAAGAGGAAGAAGTCGTCAGGAGACGGCTAAAGTCTCCCTTAAGTTTGTTTTTTTTAAACTTACTTCATCCACTCCTCCTTCAAGCACAGCAGGCAGTGAGACACAACGTCCACAGACAGGTTCTCGTTAGACAAAGCCACTTCAAGCTTATTGAGCAACGTTGGACCTGAAAATAAAGACAGCAGAGGCTCAGACGACTGGTCGGTTGATATTTCAACACACGGTAATTATTCCAAGGTTTTGGCTCCCGCGTTTGTCATGTGAAAAACTTCTGAGGGGAAGGCAATAGCTGAATAATGAGTTTCTGATGTGGACCCACATTAGATTCTGTACATTTTTTTTACGAACTGAACAATTTCACAACCAGAACATAAACTGCTGCTCTGGCTTAAATCACACAGCACAATTATAATTTATTACAGGGCCAAATAAAAGACTTTTGCATGGTTTATTACATTTTCTTCCTAATGCGGCATTTTTCTGTGGAATTTCATAAGACACTAAGTTTAGCTTCTTTCTGAAACGCCACATAAATCACTTTGGTTATCCCCGAGAGCTTTATTATAAATGTGACTCCACTAGAAACAAAACATGGTGCAGGAGCGTCGGGTGAGGACTATTTCTATTCTACGTGGGTTTTAATGACGGTGATTTAGATTTTACACACAAACAAAGCGACACAACACCCTGACATAAAATGGAAAAGCTCATTTGCAGAGCAGTAATAAAGCATTACCCCTGTCTGTGGGCTGAGTGTTGGCACTGCTGATGGTGAACTGATAAATTGGGCCGACATCGTCTTCATCTGCAGCCGCGACCTGACAGCTCCTAACGGCAACGTCCACCAGCACTGAAAACTCTAGGTAACACACACACACACCTGATGTTACCCACAGGTACCAGACAGTGACCAGACGTTTGGGTGCTGTTCCTTACCTGAGGAGCTGACGTGGGCTGGGATAGGGACGTCCGTGCTGAGACCCAGAAAGTTGCATTTGTAAGCTTCTTCATACTGAGGGCTGTACGGCACAGAGCGCACACAGCCGACCGGCAGCAAAGACTAACGGGAACACAGGTTCAGATGCGTTACTGGGACATACTGGCTGTAAAACCGTGTTTAGAGTGGACATGTTAGTTCTAAGGTTGATAATTAAACATGTTTACGAAGTTCGTTGCACTAAATTTCCTCTCACAGCCATTTTAATCTAGACATTTTCAGCACCTTCCAGAAGGAGCCGTTTCAGGGCTCTGTCTCTTTACGAAAACAAGCTGGAGCCGGCCACGCCCACCCCTCCCCGATTGGCTGCTATTAGCTGAGAAGCTCTGATATCAGGAAGGGGCTTGGAGTTAGAGCCCTGCACGGGCCTAAAATCTGAGCCCGTGTCCGGCCCGAGGGGGTGGAGCCCCAGCCCGACCCGGTCCGAAAAGGTTTTAAGGATTCTCTGGCCCGACCCGAGCCCAACCTTTTTTTTAACCTTTCATAATGTTTTAGCCTGATAGAATGCTCAGCATTCTAATTATCCGTGAGAAGCGTTCTGCAGTTAAAAAAAGAAAGAAAAAAAACAGCATCAATGCAGCTTTTTTTTTTCTAACAGTGTATTTTTCGAGCGGCAGATGAAATTTACGAACACTATATTACTTGGATGTGTTTGTAAATGTAATCTGCTCTGAAAATGCGCTCTTGTGCAATTAGAAAAAAAAGCAGCATTCTAATTTTCTAACTGCAGAGCGCATTTTCAGAGTGGCAGATTAAATAAACGTCCCCAATTAATATAGCGTTTGTAAATTTAATCTGCCGCTCTGAAAATTCGCTCTCCAGTTAGAAAAAAACCCAGCAATGTATGCTGTATTTATTTTAACTGCAGAGCGAATTTATTCACAGAAAAATAGAATGCTGCCGTTTTCATGAGAATGAACGAATGGTTTCTGACATCAAAGTGGACATGAAATGGCATGTTAGAACAAGGGCTCATGTTTCAATCAGCAGTTTGAGAATTCGTTTATATCGGCGCATTTATAAACCACACACACCTTAACTAAGCTAACGGGTGCCGGTGCGTGACAAGCAGGCAGGTGCTGCTGCGTTTGTTTCAGTTTTTTTTAATGAATTCGATTAAAAATAAAGGCGCCCGGCCCCGCCCATGTCCGAGGTAATTACACAGTCGTTGGCCCGAAGCCCCAGGCGAGGGCCTGGGGCTTCAGTGCAGGGCTATACTTGGAGTAGAGCTTCTGCTCCTCCAGTCTGGAGAGCTGAGAGGGAGTTCTATGCTAATTTCTCTGTCAGCATGGACGTAATTTGGGGGGGGGGACAGGGGGGACATGTCCCCCCCACTATTTCCAAAGTCAAGTTTTGACCCCTGCACTTTTTACCATCCAAAAACAATATAATGCTGTATTAAATTGACACTGGTTGAGCTCTAGGACCAAGCAGAAAACAACCATTTGTGTTGAAGCCTGTTTCCTCATTAGAACATACTGTAAAGAACACCCCCCCCCCACACACTTCTAAAGGGAAAATTACGTCCATGTCCGTCAGTGACATCACAAACGGAGACTTTTTGAAACGGCTTGTTTTAGGGACCAAATTCCTTAAACCAAACACCGACAGAAAACGAGTGGATGGTTTTTTCTCATTTGGGGTGTTAATAGAGGCAGTAGAGACCTACGTGGAATCAAAATGATGGAAAAGGTGAGTTTTGCATAACATTTCCCCTTTAAAGCAATAATTTGGCTGATTTCCCACAATCAGGTTTGTGGTACCTTTAGCACTGTAAATGCCGACTGTACCAGCCCTGGGTCTGTGCTCCTCCATATGACCTGGTTTCCCATGAGCACGTGCCATGCTAGCTGTCGAAAGTCATTCGCCCCGAGGACCTGCAGAACAAAGAAACCGCTCAGTTACAACTTGTGTATCAGATAAAGACACCCAGTGAGTAGAATATGTATCATCATCACAATATATATCAGCACACAGGAATTGTCTCAGTCACTGTCGCTGTTTGTCTACGCCCCACATCACCTCACCGTAAATAAAGACTCCTGCTAACTGTCACAAGTCAGTATGATTCTAACGTATGTTTTCACACACCCTCTTAATTTTGTGTCTCCAGCTCGCCGTAGCCCAGGAGACTTTTGTTTTTTTTTACTGACAATCATTTTTCCCGCTTTTGCTCCTCAAGACTTAGTCAGCTCTATTGCGCTCCACTGCTTACGCACTAAAAACAAAATCAAACAACGACCTGTCTCAAATGTCTCAGCGATCTGAACTTGGGACCAGGTATTTCATCTGACTTCGAAGCGTCATACAGGAAGTGGAAGTGGCTGCTCTCTGATTGGTGCAGCGGCGACTTTGATCCCCTTCCCTCGGCTCCTTCCCAGCAGCTCATTTCCTCCTCTTGCTCTTTAAAAACACAGAATAACAAAAAGTAGAGAGAACATTTATTTTTCCAACAGATTTAAGACTGACTCGGGGAATTTCCACAGGAAGTTACTACGAAGGAAAGACGTTACATCACACTCCACTTTCAGACTCTTACACGAGGTGCACATGAAGCACCTTAAGTGTTTTTCCAAAACACAATAAAAACACTCACCTCACCTCGTACTTGTGATTTATTTTATTGCGTACATTCATCGGCTGGTGGATGATGAAACATGTCTGCAAATACACTACACCAGCGGATTCTGCTGTATTGTCTAAGGTTACCATCTCAGCCTGTAGTAGTATAGTAGTTAATAATCCTGTTCGTAACATTAGTATCTCCAGTGGTATTTCCTTCATCCGCTTTCGTTTTGTCCCAGTTTTTATATCAAGCTTACAAGAATTCCTGCTCTGCAGAAATCAACTAACAAAAACAAAAGGATGCTTCAAATTAAAGATTAAAATTCTAGATATTTGAATGTAAAGATCTGCTTTTCGTCTGCGCCGTCTTGAAGAAAATCAAAAAAATTTAATTTAATTTTTTCGATCTTTATTTTAAGTACTGTTTGAAAAAAATACAGATATAGTCAGGGTAAAAAGTACTACCTCAATCTAAAGGCAGTTTCACACTGCAAGCATCAGCGGAACGGAACGGCAGCGACGCGGCACCGCTTCAAATAGAATCCAGTTATAGTCTATGGAGTGTTTCAAACCAGCCGCGACGCGGCGATTTCCAGGCGCGTCCCAGAAGCGGCATGCCAGGGTATCTGCAGGTTTAAGGGAGCCAAATTTAAGACTTTTTAAGATCTTTTTTTAAGGCCACTTTGACCAAATTTAAGCTATTTTTAAAATTAAATTTAAGCTATAATTTCCAGCTATTGCCTGGAATCGGTCCTAACCACGTCGCGAACGTGGGATTAGCCATCCAGTTACCATTAAACTTCCCCATGGTGCAAGCTCCCACTAGCTTAACCAGCTAATGTGCTCATCTCAAAATAGCCCCCTTTCACAACCAACTGAATGTGTACGGTTCCGCTTACGGCAACATCGTTCACAAAAAAAGCTGAACACTAACTAGACATTCACGAAAATTTTATAGAAATAAAATAATCTTGTTTAGTGGGTCTTTGGTAATTTAAGACCTCTGGAAACTGTATTTAAGGATTATTTGTAATTTTTAAGGATTTTTAAGGCCTTAAATTTTGAAAAGCAAATTTAAGACTTTTTAAGGACCCGCGGATACCCTGGCATGCCGAGCCGCTAAAGATGGGATCGAGTTCTATTTTTTCCGTGAGCCGCTTCTGGGACACGTCAATTTCCGCAGTTCACATCGTGCGAGACAGGAAACCACACGGTTTCAGTGTAAAATCCCCAGTTATTTTCAAAATAAAATGCAACGATGCAATGTTGTATATAACTTACGTCAGCACGTGCGACCGAACGCCTTTGTTTACCACCAGTTTCTTTCGAGAAGTGCAGCGGTGTGATTCTCGCGGGGTTGTGAACTCTCGACGAGGAAGGTGTCGGAAGTCTCTAGGGATTTTAGAATCTCGCGGGTGCAACGAGGCGCAGCGAGGAAGCTGTGCCGCGGCCAAGACTCTCCCGGTGTGAAAAGGACCGCTTAGAAGTTTGCGAGTGAGCCGCTCCGCCGCTGTTCCGTTCCGCTGATGCTTGCAGTGTGAAACCGGGGTAAGGGTTTGCAACTTACTTAAAATATAACATTTCAGCCCAAAAGCGTGATTATATCTCCATCTTCAGGTTAGAACTCGGCTCCGCATTAATTCAGAATCAGCCACAGCTGATGGCTGCGGCGCTGCAGTGTGACGTTGTCTGTGCCGTACGACGTGGCTGAGTCTCGGCCTGGGACGTAATTTTGGGGGGGGACGGGTGGGACATGTCCCCCCCACTTTTTCAAAAGGCAGTTTTGGTCCCCTGCACTTTTTTCCGTCCAAAAACAATGTTACGCTCCATTAAATGGATTTGGTTGAGCACTAGGACCGAAACGGAAACCGGTTTACTATTAGACCCGCCCAAAAGCTAATCTATTGGCTCTGCTGAAACTTGCTAACGTATTATTGGCTGTTGCTGCTGTCACTCAAGTTGTAAACAGTCAGAACGTGCTCACGTTGTTTTGCTAGTGCTAGGGAACACCGGTACTGAGTCACATCGTCAACTAGACGCTACATAACATTTGAATAAGTGTTCATTTGTGAGTCTTTGGTAGTTAGGCACAGCCAGGAGGCAGCATGTCAAGAAAACGAAAAGTGGATATAAGAGACTTCTTTCAAAGTCAAAACGTAAGTTGGACATGTGACACCCCTGCATTAAGCTCAGACTCACCTCCTCCTTCACAAACATACTCAAAACTAACTTTTACAAACTCATCTCCTCCACATAACTGACTCCTCAGACACAATTTGTTCGTATTATTATAATAATTATTTTTTATTATTACTATTATCATCATAATTATTATTACTAGTAGTAGTAGTAGTAGAAGTGTAACTTCAAAACTTTTATCATTTAACTTTATTGTAAACTTATCTATTGCAATGCATATTTTCACATTAAAAAGCTCTGAAAAATGAACAGTATCATCATCGTCAACAGATTTTTTAAGCTTAATGTCAAAGATGTACACTTTTCATTAGATTTATCTTATTTTTTCCATTTTTGTGTGTTGAAATACAACAACTGTTTAAACACTTTTAAGGGAAAAAACATATTTAATATGTTTTTATACACTCAAATGTTAGGGTGATGATCATGTGTAAAACATTAGTTCAGCATGTCCTCTAACACAGCAAATGAACAAATGGCCAGATCTCAGGAGGGACCGTTTTTGTATAAATAATTTTTATACTTTTGACTAGGCCTGGGAAAGTAACAAATTTTGCTGGACGATATTTTGTCCAACAAATTGTTGATGATAAACGATATTGTCAACATTATCTAGACCAAAATAACCACTAATATAATGTTAATATATCATAATAATGCAAGTACACCCTTTAAAATGCAACAAATAAACCTTCATTTAACATTGAAATGTCCAGAACCAGAACTTCTAAATGAATAAAAATAACAAACAAAAATTGAATAAAAAAGGAATCTCACTCCCTGTTAGAAAATGTTGCACCAAAAACAAAAAAGACCCAAAACAATAAATACAATGGCCTATCCATTGTCAACAGCCAAAACTGCACTTCAATAATGATAATAAATAAAAATAATAATAGAGTTGTACATTTTTTAACTTTGATATATATATATATATATATATATATATATATATAGAGGATGGAAAAATTATTGAGATGGGCACGTGACGTGTCAAGGGGTCTTTACATAACACCCCCCACCCCAAATCCGCACAAGCCTGCTGTGTCCCCCCCACTTCTGAAATCAAAATTTCGTCCCTGGTCTCGGCCACGCCTCCACTTGGCTCAGCCGCTTGTCTGCTGATATGACACGTTGGCGCTTGGAGCTAAAAGACGTCCTCTTCTTTCCTCTAGTGATCACGGTGAACAAGAAATCCTCCTTCCTGCAGTCAGTTTCAATGTCTGCTGTTCTCCTGAGCGGTGAGTTTGCTCAGTTTGTGCACGCACTTATTGACGACTCATTTTTCCCGCTGAGACGCTCCAAGAGTGCACCTGGGGGGAGGGATGGGGGTTGAGGGGGGTGCAGTCAGTCATTGCATCGGTGCATCTCTCTCTCCTCCAGGCAACGTCTTTTTTCAAAGTATTTTCTTAACAGGAAGTCAGGTTGAAATAGGTCTCCATCCACGGTGTTACTAACCCCTTTAAGTGACCACATGTATTTTCCCTGGCGATAGGGTGCAGTACCATGGGCGTCGCACCTGTGGGGGGATGTGGGGGTTTCAACACCCACACTTTTCCAGCCGTTTACCTAGGGTGACCACCATATGTCCTCTTTCCCCCGGACATGTCCACTTTTCACTCTCTATCCAAGGCGTCCGGGGTGGGGGTCTTGTATCGATGAAAATGTCCGGTTTTTCATCCAGGAGCAGGGATGAAATTATGGGAGAGCTGGATATCCTACACATCCAGGAAGAGCCAGAGAAAAGGTTTCTACCTACATTACCTCATTTATGGACTCTCAGCGGACCGGGTTTTTTTTTTTTTAGCGGAGAGCAGAGAGAGCGGCAGAGCGCTGATCGTTGATGCGCTCCAGGCTGCTGCGTCCAGCGCGGTCCATTCTCAAAGCGGCGCAACCAAAAAACTATCATTAACACACGATCGTTCATGTCCGCACATGTTCTCAAATTTCTGTCTCATTTGTGCCTGAAGCGCTCTGCTGCTGCGGAGCTCATCACCTGTGCTGCGGTGATTTCACCTCACCGACGCAGCATCGAAACGCGCGCTCCGCTACGGTCAGGAGATCCCTTTTATCTGCTCAGAAGTAACTGATGAGGTGAAAAAGTAAGAATCCAGGCAACAGATTTTCTGGAGAGTTTAGAGGAGATGCAGGAAGATGAGAGACAGACAGGACAGGAAAATAGCTAAATAAAAACAAGAAAACAAAAGTGTTTGAAAAGTAAAATGTGGGTAGATTTATCTCCACTACACGTTTTTACCGGTATAAAACAACAAGTTACACACATGTCATATTTATACGTTTGAAACAATTCACACACCCCTTTTGACTTAACTGCTTATTGTTGAAATTGGGTGTTGCTGATGGAGAACACTCGGGTTCTGTTGTTTGGAAGATTAGTTCTTCCCGTTCTGCATGTGTGCAGTTTATACATGAGTGAATATTAAGCACGATTTTGGAAGGACTTTATTCCTGTGAATTATGCGTGGAGCGTCAGCCTGACGAAGTTTGCAGCCGCAAACGAAACGTTGCAGGTAAATAAAACCTTTCTGTGTTTTAAAAAGAACTAAAAGATGGAGTAAGAATTTCAACACGGCAAGAACACACCAAAGATGTGTGGACCCGGTACTGGATTGAGGTTG